GGGCTGATCAAGACGCTGGAGAGAGCTCTTCAGCCCCTCGACAATGTGCTTGCGGCTCAGGCCGCGCGTGTTTGGCTCCTTGCGACCCGTTCCGAAGAAGATCTTGGTGGTGAGAACGTACTCGTCCCGAGGCCAGTTGAGCTCCTTCAGGGCTTGGCCCATCTCTACCTCGGACTCGCCGTTGGCATATGTTTCAGCCGTGTCGAAGGTGTTGATGCCATGGTTCCAGGCGGTTTCCAGGCACTCCTTGACGATGCTGCCCTTCTGAGTGCCTCCATACGTCAACCAACCCCCCAGTGACAGGACGCTCACCTTGAGCCCAGTAGGACCCAGGTGGCGGAACTCCATGTCCTTTGGGTCATAAGCGGATCGAACTGGCGACATTTTGAATCAGGATAAATCTTAACCGAGGAAAAGAAAACTTTTTCGTGAAAGAATGGATTATTGATGGCGGGAAAAAAGTGATGGGAACGAGGGAGGGGAAGTCTTAAATCCCACTCCCCGGCCATTACTAATTGCATATAACATCATAGTTACGTGAGTTATTTAAATCGCGTCAACGACTGGACACGTTACCAAAAACAACGAGTATGGCCAGTTTCATAGACATCGCACAAATGTGAATTTCCGCATCCGTATCTCGTTCAACTGGCCAAACACAGTGTCCAAAGTCGTTGCGCGGATGCATAAGCAGAATAACGGTCTCCGTCCTACCTCTGATGCATTGTTACATCATGTTTGAGTTCTCTCGCGTCAACTCACGTGACCTGCTCTTTTCACACTAAGCCCAAACCAAGACCCTGGATAGACCCCGGGGTTAAGAAGAGTCTAAACCCGCGGCCTACCAACTGGCATTTGTAAGCAGTTGGTTCATGTTGTAACTAGTCCATAGCACATTATTGTGTTATTCCACAACTTATGGGCAAGCCTCACTATCCTTTAGCTATAGGCACAGCTCGAATCATTTCATTTTCATAGTTTATGGCTCTCGGTAGATACTCTGTGTACTAGAAAATGACTAGAAGTACAACTCCATCTGAACACTCCTCGATCCCATCTCTAAGACAAATTGCGAATCAACGTCGTTCGTGTTTTGAATCAGACTCCAGGTTTCGAAAGGGTTTTCCGAAACCATCCTTTGATCGATTGAGTTGCCTTTTCTGTATCATCGGCGCCTTCTTCCCAGTGCCGACATTCATCATCAATTTCCTGCTTCAGTCCACCAGCGAATATGTCCACTTCAGCTGCGTTGACAAACCTGGTACGCTTGAAGATTTTCCAGAATGTAAACATTCCAAAGAACCAGGCGAGTCCAAAGTAGCTTGTAATGAAGCCTCGGTAAGAAAATGGATAGAATACATCAAATCCAATGAAAAAGCAGACACAGCTACCCAACAGTAGACAAGTGTAGGGGAAGAACCAACCCCCAGGAGCGATATATGGGAAAACGATGGTCTCATCATTGACTTCCGGAAGCTGATGCTTTCGGCCAAGGAGCTTCGCCAACCGGCCTGGGGCTTTGAAGTGGTTCTTGCCAATGAGCGGAATCCCTTTGTGCTTCAGTGCTCGACGCCAGCCCAGGAAGACCCAGGACATCGCTGTAGCATTGACCACGAGGGAGACGGTGGTCAGGTCCAGGAACCAGTTAAACACCTCGATGGTGCCATTGGAAGCGACCAGGAAAGAGAGGCAGGAGATTGCACTGACCACCATAACGCAAACCCAAGGCGCGCCAGACTTGGTGCACTTGAGGAGAATCTTCGGGGCCTTTCCATCCTGAGCCAGGGAGTACAGAGTGCGGCTGGAACTGTACAAGTAGGCATTTCCACACGACCATCCAGAAAGCATGATGAGAGCATTGATAAATCCGGGGAGAAATCCTGAGATTCCTACATTCATAAGACCTAGGACCCAGGGAGATGCAGCAGCTCCCGCCTCACCTGAGTCGATGGCTCCCATCAGACGCGGATCGCGAGATGAGCAGATAATTCCGACAGCGATAATTCCGATGATATAAACACCAACAATTCGGTAGAGAATCACTTTGGCGACTGAGGGGATGGTCTTCCGGGGGTTCCTCATCTCTGCGGCGGCGAGTGCCAGGATATCGGGACCAGCGACGGTAAAGCCAGCGTATCGGACGGAAATACAGATACTCAAGAAGACGCCGGTGGCCCCTTCTGCATAGTATGAATGTACGAAGTTGCCTCCAGACCAGTTACGAAAGCCATAAGCATCGTGGTTTGGGTTCCCTCCAGCCATGGTAATAATTGTGGCGAAAACAAGGCCAGTAAGTAGGAGGATCTTTGTGGAAGACATAACAAACTCGCTTTCGCCGTACCATCTACATAGAAGATTAGTACAAGCCAGGGGCATTAGGGAACTCAGGAAGGAGACAACTTACTTCACAGCAACCAGATTGAGCAGTACGCAAACCACCATAACTATGGCAACCCATACGGCTGGGTTGACCGATGTGTTCCAGAACTGTATGACAGTTGCCACCGCAGAGTACTCCGTACATACTAACATGGCGCCGGCAAAGAAATAGGTCCACCCCATGGCAAAACCAAGAGCGGGATCTACATAGCGAGCAGCCAATTCGTAGATGGAGCCACGGATGGGAAGCCAGGCGAGCATCTCAGCGACACCAAGCGATGTAGGATAGATAAAGCCGACACCGTAGATGATGTAGCCGATGATGAGAGGGAGCGGCCCGGCCTTGCGGAGGACGCCGCCAACGCCGACAAAGAGCCCAATTCCGATGGCTCCGGCAATCATCATAAGCTGAACATGTCGAGGAGAAAGACCACGTTTTGTCTGTGCTTGACGGTAGGGTTGGTTATCTGCATCGTGTGCAGATGTACGGTCCTCTTCAATCTCTTTATTCACCGATGCGGCCACCGCCATGATTGCTGTGAAAAAGCTTCGATTACGAAGCAACTTCAAAGAAAATAGGAGAAGTTTGGAAAAAAGGAAAGAGAGAGAGGTCCTCAGTGGGTGTTTCAATTCTGAAGAATGATCTGTTGGAAGGTGAGTTGAAGAATTGAAGGTTGGGAAGGAGGCCAGGCCTTCTATTTATCCTGGCCAGGGTTGCTGGTGACATGCGAATAACTAGCTAGATACCGGGCTAGAGCGCCCAAACGAACTCATATAGCTCCATAAAGGGGCCATGCCAGATAACGATGGAGATGAATCCGGCCGAGGGGTACTCTAGGGTTCCATTTGCGGGACGGTGCAATCTGGGGTGAAGTGGCAATGGCGCCCTATGTTGGGACATTCAATTAACATCAGGGCTTTCGCAGACACTGTGAAGAGGGGCTTCAGGTATGTCTAAGAAGTCCGAAGCCAATGGATGATTTCGATCTTGGGAAGAATCCAGGTTCCCCAGACCTTGGCACGTTGAGGTCCCCATAATTACCGAGTCAGATGATGATGTGAATGGTGGTTATGCTCGCCATCCGGGATCATGGCGCGCTGCTATCCCCGCCCAGGCTAGCCTTGTTTATCCCGCTATCAAAGGTCTCTCTCAACCTACCTAAAACGGGATTTAGGTAATCATGATTTGGCTGATAAGATTCACGATATCAAAGATGGTTCTCAAATTCATCAACCTCATTTAAAAAACCTCACTACAGATGGAGAGAGAATCGGTTAGGAGACTGAGGTTATCGACATAGAAATGAGCTATTTCATTATCTCGGTTGCAATAGAGAGCCCTAAGATTTTTGGTAAAGGAGCTGAATACCTACCACACGTTTCTACCTGCAACATGTTGGCGATGACCTAGCAATACCCCGAGTTACTGACTTTGTATTGTGGGAATACGGTGTATACGTGCAGGTGACCCAGGACTGATCAGGGCTGGCTTCCGTTTTATCATTCAATAGAAATCCAACAATTAGATACGTTGGATCCTGATATTAATATGGTGAGAGGAGATAGCGTGAGATCGATGTTGAACCTCATGGTTCAATGTTGGCGTTTGATTGTATAGGGTAGGAGAATCGCGAGCGGCATATTGATTGTCTAGATGACTCCCAAATTATTTTACCTGACTCATTGTGACAGTAAGCAAACTAGATGAAACGTCGCACTCGATATAAGGAGAACATAATCCCTTCGCTATGAGCAATCATGCTTTATCCACGTGAAGCCATATTGTCAGAGGCTGTAGAGCAGTGAAGTCTAGACTTCTATGAATGCCCTCTACCTATGTCCAAATAGAGCATCGGCCCTTATTACATAAGCGAGGCTCACTTATCAAACTGACTCAGGTACGTGGTTAATTATTCCTATTAAGGCAAGTCGAGTGAGACCACCTATCCAATCACATCCATGGGCAGCACATCGTTATCATGGATCATCCCCGGGATCTAGACCATTCCGTTACCCCGCGTCCACTGGAAATCAGGATCCTAGATCGGAGATAGGGACTTTATTTGCTTCTTGCCAGCCCACTTGAGGTCCTGTCGTTTTTGCACAGGGATTCGTCTAATGTTCCCAACCGCGCGCGCACGTCTCCATCACTACCAGCATCCATCATAGAGCTCATCTCAACTTCCCAATTTGATCCTGCAAGACCTCGGTACGATACCAACTAACACTGAGCCACCCACACTCGCCAAAACGAGGCAAGCAGAGACATGCCTCAACGAAAACGACCGTACCGCCCCAAAGTCAAGGGTTAGTGTCTAATTTCTTTTCCTGTTTTCTTCCCTAATACTCTCACCCCTTACAAGATTCGATGAGTACACTGACCAAGAATCGGAAACGCAGGTTGTTATGAGTGTTCACAACGTCGCGTCTCCTGCGACCGAACCGCTCCACAGTGCAATAAATGCCGTTCTAGAGGCCTCACATGCAGTGGCTGTGATGTTGGTATTCGATATCGTTTTACTCAGGGGGTTAGCACCCGCGGCAAGTGGAGGGGGCACACTATCCAAAGTCTCTGTGAAAAGTAGCATTCTTCCCATGATATCACCGTCAGTGATTCCTCTATGCTAATACCCTTCTCCAGCCGCTTTCAGCACCAGGCGAAGGTGACTAGCAAGCATGAATCTTCAAGAAATTGGCCCGAGGGGCTGAGCTCTGAGCAGTCTCCTGCAGGCCACGATTCTGCCCGGTCACCAAGACAGGAGACAAGTCGGCCGAGAGCGTTGAGTTTTGGTGATGAGAATTTTTACGCCGACGTGACAAGTGCGCTACTTTTGAATACGTTCGATGACTACACAGGCTTCTTCTCAGAGACGGCTGAAGAGGCTTCCTGGACCCTGCAAACAGACGAGCGCGAGGGGTCGTCAAATGATACGGAGCACCTTTCACTATCTTCCGTCACATCTTCTTTCATTAATCCAGTTGACCTCCTCCTCATGGAGCCTCTGCTCGATGATGTTCCCTCATGGAAGAAAGCTTTGCTTATGCACTGTGAGTTCATTGGTGAAAGCCGATGTTATGGTCCCCGTTCGACCCACGAGAAAAGACTAACTTATTTGTCTCGATAAGATTCAGAACACATCGCTAGCGAAATGCTGGCGATCGATGGAAGGCACAACGGCTGGAGGTACATCGTTCTTCCAATGGCTCACACCGACGAGCTGGTTATGGAGGCTGTTCTCGCCGTATCGGCTTTCCACCGAGATGCCAAGAAAAGCACAGATTGGGCGGAACACTTTCAAAGCGGCGGCTTCAATTTGCAGCATTCATCCCAGCACCAGTCACGCTGGCTGGACTCGATTGCCAGCAGCCCACAGACCCTTTACAATACAGCCATCAAAGGACTACGGAGGCGTAGCAATCTGGCAGGGAGCAGTTATGAAGCGAAACAAGCCATTCTAGTGGCGGTCCTTGTGCTGCTTGTTGCAGCCATGGTGACAGGGAGAGACGACTACTCCATGATTCTTGGGATGTTACATTCTGCAACAGACGTCTTCAAAGGCGAAGATGAGTTATGGGCCAGCGACCTAGGCCGCTTCTTGGCTCGTCAGGTACAGAAGTAAGTCTTATCCTGACTTCTTTCCCTCAGCACTTATTCCATGTTTACCGTGGCTCTTTTCATAAAATTGGGTTTGGTAAACTATAGAAGGTGGTCATGGAGACTTGAGCTAATACCGTACTAGAATGCGAGTCTACGCCGCCCCCCACATCAGTGAAGTGGCAGGCTTGGAAACTCTCACCTCTCAATCACAATGGGACCAGTACTTTGACTGTGTTCGGTACTGTTCTCAAAGCCAGTCCCAAGGTACCGTTCGGGTTGCCGCCATCGTGGACGTGATGCAGCAAGCGCACGACATATACCTCCAAGGACTGGACTCAGCTAGTTGGGCCCTCGATGATGAGAAAGGGCGCGCGGCAGATACCGATCCTGAAGATCGTATAGAGCGATTCAAGATAACACTGGAACGATTGCCAGCGGATGGACCGGGTGCCCACGTTCTAGTCTGGGCGATATTTTTGGTTGCTGCTGCTAGCTCGTCAGAAAGGCACAGGGTTTTCTTTAAGGAAATCCTACTCAAACGCTATAGTCAGAGCAGATTCGCTAATTTGCTCAAAGGGATAAAGCATTTACCGCAAATATGGGTCAAAACAGATAATGGAATAAGATGGACCCAGCTGTTATCAGAAGCGAGGTTGTTCGTCATGTAGTATCAGTTTACGGAGGAGAGTTCGAGATATAAAGTAGAAACAGCAATGAAAAATGCCAGACCCGACATCCCAACACAATGACTACGGAAAGCAAAAATAAGCTCTGCCAGCCCAAGGCTGCAAGCCTTGGGGAATGAAAACTCTGTTATACTACAAGCACAGTAAATTAAAGGCAAATTTTCAGGAGAAAGAAGGCCAGGTAGGAGTACAAAAAGAGGCGGATGAAATCCGATGTTGAAAAGAAAAAAAATAAGAGAACAGTGAGGCAACCACTGTGGTCAACATTATTTGAGGTTTCATATTTGATTGCACTATCCTCCTGCTTTTGAAACGAAAAGTTGTCTAATAATCATGTCTATCAGATGCCATCCAGTGGCATCCACTCCACTCTATTGCATATAGAACACGGGATACTTATTCAAGGAGAAGAAGGCACTTACCATTGATGAGACCAGCAAGCCCCTACCATTCCGAAGTCAGTTTCCGGCAGATGTAGCAGTCCCCTTTCGCTTCTGACGCTGTGCATTAAAGAGACTTTTCGGCGTGACAGCCGTACCATTGCTGACTAGCGTTCCATTCGACACTGATTCGACAGGTCCAGTGCTACCGATTGCCCAGTTGATACCAAGCGGAGGGCTTGAGACATTGACGCCTCCTCTGACATTCCAGGCCACTCCTGCATTGATGGGCCAGCCTTGACCCGATCCTGCGGTGCCGCGATTGACATACATGACATTGGCATTAGTGTTTTCCACGAGGAAGCCGTGAGCCCAACGTTGATGTGGGTAGAGTTCCTGGAGGTCTGATTGTACGTGGTGGCGTAGGACAGCGTTGGGCCCCGGGGCGCGGGCCTGCGTGATGACGGTGAACGCCTTGGCCGTTTTACGGCCATACTGACCGCTGTCCTTGATGAGGACCTGCGTGCCAGAAATGTTAATGTCCGTCGGGTAGCCGCCGGGTCGGTCCGTGTCACGATCGCGAAAGAAGCTTGCGTTCTCAATTGTGATCCGGCTCACGTTATATTGCACGTCGATGCAGTTGTTAAAGCCCGTGATGTTGACGTTTCGTACAAAGCTGTCCACCGTCCAAGGGTTCAGCTGGATGGCCGGAGCATTGCACGGCTCTGACTCGTTGAACACTCTACCAGCGCAAGTCGGGCTTAGTGTGATAGACAAGTCCTCAATACCGATCTCTAGGTTTGTCTCTGGCAAGTCATAGGCTGCTACGTAAGGCTCCATGTACGTCTGGTCCAATGCATCGGTAAGGGGAATATCCAACGTGAGCTTGTTGCCAGACACGGCTTGAATGGTGCGAGGTTGTTGGATCAAGTTGCCAACCTGTGGGAACTTGTTAGTATTTGCATTGGTATTGATTGATTGCATGTGGTCCGTCATAGACTTACTGGCACCCAAGTTTGCTTCTCGCCATCTCGGACAAGATCTCCCATGCCATTTTGACGAACCCACTTCTCTGTAGCTGCCCGCGAGACGAAGACGGTCTGTCCTTTTGCAAACTGCTTACCATCTTCCACGGTGACAGCTCTGGCACCGATGCCTACGTACTTGTCTGTGATTTTGCTAGTAAATGACGGGTTAATGCGTCCGTTTGTGCCGTTGCCCATTGACAGTAGAGGAAGCCCAGCGGTCTTCAATTTTGTGACGTCAAGAGTAGTGGACTCAACGCCTGAGCCTCTCAACCGCGTGTTGGCCGAGATGTTCAACCCGGGAGAGATGCGAAACGTCCCCGCTGCCAGCTCGACAATGCCTCCTCCACTGGCAGCGGTTGAGTCAAGCGCAGCCTGTATCTCCTTTGTACGATCGCCCGACGAGGCCTTAATGACAACGGAAGCGGCGGTAGAACCCGGGAGCGACTTGTCTGAGCTATGATAGCCGCAGTAGCTGAAATCGGGAAGCTTGTCGCCACGGCTGTTTTTGATCGACTCCCAGTCAACATCCGCGGCGAGGACAGACTGCCCTACGGCCAAGAGCCATGACAGCGCAGCAAAAGATTTGACGCTCAGCATACTGGTTAGCGGTAGTATTGGTAGAGAGCACGTGGATGAGTTGATTGCCCTTGTTGTGCGTACGGAGTTAATCCATATTAATACTCTGTTTGATTGAATTGAAGGATTCCCTACAGTGAAAGCTCAAAAGATTTGATTAGGTATGCTAATTCATGCGGGTGGCCTTTGGCTAAAGAACTTGCGTAATGTCGCACACGAAGCCTACGGATCGAGCAGATCAGCGCGATGATCGTGCAGTTTTTGAAACGAGCTGAAAATCTACGTGCTAACAGCCACCTTAACTGAGACGTCAGCGTGTTGTTTTGCATTCACGGCACTCCCAGTCCAGCTAGTCAATCATGGCTGTGCCACTGGGGGCAGAAAGCCCCACGCTGACCCTTCATTTACTCTCAGTCATCTCATATTGCACGCTGATTCCCCCCAGCCTGGCGTGGGGCATCTTGAAGTGAGTTACCCGACACCACTTCTAGGTCCAAGTCAGAGAAACCTAGCGGCATACGATGTCGTGTTATGCATATATTTGCAGTTTCGACACTCCAACGACCAACAACTAAGAATATGTTTGCTATAGACTTTCCTAGAATTGACAGTTCCTGGGCTTAACTCTTCTTGAATTAAGCGAGCCGTAGCCTTCTTATCTCCTAGTAATCTTAACTGACGGCCTGAGATTTATCTATGAAGGAGACATCGTTGAGACACGTAGTTTAAGTACTAACGCATGCTAATAACGCTTTCTTGACGCTTTATCAACTCAAATAATGCCAAACTTCAACTAGGATTCTTTTCTCCGTCTTTAGTTGTGTAGGTCAAGTTGACGAGTGGAATTAGCTCATCTCAATGCTGTGCAGTCACTCTTCTCAATTTTAGCTCTCTTGATCAATTTTCCGACGGCCACTTAGTGGCAATATCGCGTGGTGCCAATTGCGCAAGATTATGGTCACTCCTCATAACGTTTGTTATGCTTACATATTTCCTGGTGATTCCTCAACCCAGATTTGCGGCTACATTCAGCCGTGCCACTTTCATGCATCTTCTGGTGAAGTAGAAATGCAAGTTCGTTCGTAAAAGCTCTTTGCAATCGGGCTCAGGGTTTATGTCGCCGTCCAACTTGTTATTGAATGGCGCGGCATTATCTTGCCCTAAGGGATATTATGCAACGGGTGTTAATCCAGGCCCTTCTGAGGTCTAGTCTTTCTGTAAGTTCATCACAACTGTTGATCATAGCCCCTCGATTCTCCTTCACTAAACAGACAAGATGAATCCAGTCCCAACCTATGGAAATTACCAGCGGCCCAGAGGATGTGAAATAAGTAGAAAACCATCCCTTCTGTTTCGGGGTCTGGAATAACAAGGCGGATGTCATCCTTAGGCTCCTCCATGTCAAGCCCGGCCACCGCAATTTCGTGAAGCTCCTCGTACACTTTCAACCAACCTATAGTAGCTTCAGCAGAACTCTTGAGAAACTATCGTCAGGCTAAGTGCGGTAAAAGATGGACTAACAATCGAGTCACATGCCACTGTATTTTTTTTTTTTTTTTTCATAATAAGAATAGCGCCTACTTGTTTCCAACTAATGTTATAGAGGGTCTAAAAGACATATTACCAGCAGCCCAGTGGTATACTGGCTTTGAAAGAGTGTCTCCATATACTTTTTAGAACTTTAGAAGCCCAAGATACTCAAATTTCGACTTCATTTGATCCCTCAGAGATAGCTAGCATGCGCCGGTTGAAAACGGGAGAGCGTCGCTTCTTAAGATGCTGAAAAGAATTTGACACCAATACTTTTAATATTCCATACACTCTGACTTTCTCGCATATTCAAATTATTAAATACATTCTATATGCCGGATTACCGCAACTGGCAGTTGATTACTGGTTGGACTTTCGGAGCTGGATTCTGGTCTTCCCATCAGTGTCATCTCCGTTGGGCCACCAGAGCAATTTCCAGACGCCGTCCACTTCATGAGGCTGGGCAAACCACCAATCCTCTAGCTGTGAGTTTTCTGGGTTTTGAACAAATATCTGGGGGTTGTAAAGAGCAAAGTCGTCCACGAGGTTGGATAAGTCTGACGCCGGATCCACGAAAACCACATCATGTTCGGTAGACCCGCTAGCTGGCACAGCAATGCGCACTCCTGTCCAAGATGGGCGGACGCCGTTGGTCGCCCCTGGTGCAGCCGACCAGTGCGAAACAGCAGTGTCACCGCGTTGGACTGGTACACAGTTAGATTTCAAATAGACAAAACCCGGTTGGTTGAATCACTTACGGATGACAGGTGCAGCATCAGTACTGTTCAACAGACTGTAGTCTCCAAGATACGCGGCCCCTATTGTAATTAGGGTCAGCGAGTACTAGCCTCGGAATTTAAATCAACAAAGTTAGCCTTACGACCATCGGAAAATAAAGGTTGGGCTGGAAATGCGTTGCTGGCTTGGTATCCTTCAGCGCGGAATGCATCGGTAGCGGCGATGCTTGCTGCTAACGAGCGGCCCGCAAACACAAGCGCAAGAACTGAGCAGAACTTCATGGTGTATCGTACGAGATAGGCGTAGGTTGGTTTGTAAGTGTTTGACAGAGCTGGCTGTAAACACGGCCGGCCATCAATGTCTATTAAGTAGTGGCGTACTGGGTTCTACTACCCATTCCATCAATAGGGGGAAGGGGTGACAACAAATGAAATCTCATTTAATATGACACACGCAATGGGGCGATGAATCAGCACCAAAGCGTTACCTTCTGCTCTAGATTTGATAGCTTCCTTATAGGGAGAGTAAGCTTGTTTGCGGCGTTAAAGCACCATAGGACGTATTGGCCAGAATGCGCTACCTTGTAGGATCGAGAGCAGGGGTATCATATTTACCGCTTATGGTCCCAAATGTGCCCCGAACATGATGAATCCCCCGTCGAAACGGGAAGCTACACACTGTTCCTAGAAACTGGCAGGGATCCAGCAGATATATTTGACCATAATATCGGCAGGGGAGCGGAATGCATAACCGCCCCAAATCATGTGCACGCTGGCTAATCCTGGACCTACCTTCCTATTTCTCTAGCCTGAGACTTCGAAGCATGACCTAATAACTTTTGTTCAAGAATTGCCACCCTTACATCGACAAAGAATGCCCGTGGTGGGCTGGGGTGTAGCCAACCATTATTTAGCGAGATTCGTGGATATGCGTCACATCGGCTCAATACCATGAATAATTTAGTCAATGACAATAATGTCGAGTTTCTGGGGCTCGTCTCGCACAAATTTTGCGAAATTATACATGCCATGCTATCAGTAGATTGCGGCGAGCAAATTGTTTCCATAAAATCTTGCTGTGAACTTTTAAGAGCTCTACTTTGACTATCATGATTCACTAATAAACACTAAGGCAGAGCTGGCGTTGCACATATGATCTTGCCCTTTTGGTTTGACCTGTCCGATATTGCAAACCCTGCTGAGTGTTGCGGCATTGAGATTTAGCCTAGTAGTAAGATCACACTAGAATGGGCATCTGAGGCTTTAGCGGATGTATTTCGAACGACATTGACGGGAGAAACAAGCACCATCTTACGGCGTGAATCTCGACATCTAGGTAGAACGTACGCCAGTATGGTGGAAGGAAGACTGCGGCTACAGCGATTGAGAAAATAGCCATTGCCATGCGATTAGCTTGTGATCCTTCATACCTAACGACTAGGCGAAAAAGAAACCCAAACGATAGGATATCAAAAATTATGGCAGCATGCCGTTAAATTGCAGATAACACTAAGTCCAGCGAAATACACGGTGCAGTTCTATTCTTTCAAATTGCAGTCCAAGGGGATCTATATAATTGATTAGGAAATGCCATTCCCCATGGAACACACACTCTACTATCTTCCTCTCAATAATCTCAAAGAAGTCCGCCAGTGGCTGTCTTTACTTTCTCGGAAATTCCTTGATGGGATAATGGTCTTCCTGGAATAGTTATGCTGGCCAATTAAACAGATGTTTTAGGATATTTCGATCACTTACCACAATTTACGTGAACTCAGCCTACAACACGCATCGTCAATATTATCGCTTTTTTTTACGCTTTATGTTTGAACTTATATAACTTCTTTAATTTTAGGTATTTCTTATGTTTAGGTTTGGATAACTACAAATGAGTAACATATAGTCGATTCGGATTGGATCAATCAAGGCGCAGACTAGGGCCAATATCATGGTCACGCGAAGTGAGAGTTAAAGAGATGGCCTAACCCACACAGCAAGATACAAAACCTCTATGACAATGTTTGATAAGGTGGGGCGAGTCTATAAATGCTGAGAGTGTGCCCGAATGGAGTGATACGACATCGTGACCACGTACTACCGCGTTGGCGAGTGGTTGTTGGGGGAGCCTCTTACGTGCCACTATCTAGTATTCTAATCTTCACTGATGCGTACAGCTAACAAATCCTCTGGATGTATTTCCATATACGCTTACGCTAGCGTATAGAATACTTCTACTGGTATAATAAAACGAGCAGCCTGAACGGAGTGATAAAGCGAACATTGTTGTTTCTATCGACTTAATAACCTCGACACCTTTAATCCACTTCATGCGAGGCCCCAGATCTCTTTAAACCTATATCATCCTATAAGCCATTGCTCCACCGCTGCACTTTCAACTTTTTAATTCCGGAAGCACAGATCGAGTCAGCGAATAGAAGTAAGTGATGTGCTCTCATAGATGAGAAACATTATCAAGTGGCTTCCCTCATGCGAAGTCGCCTTGTCCATTGCAACGACCCAAAGGAGGGTTATCCTGTTGTTTGGTGCACATGGAAATAGCGCCCTGAATCCAATCAATGCCATTGTAGCTCCCGTTTCCGTGGCTATCAGCATACCAGGTACCAACCTGGGTAGCAGAGCCAATACATCCACGGAAGAAACGGCCAGACCGTCGGGTCGTAATGGGCTTGGTGATCATAACGCCACAGTTGCCATCCTTTACTGTACCTTTAGTGAGCGTGGATGCCGAGGTTGTCCAAGTCTCTGTGTAGTCGATACGGAACGAGACTTTGAGAATATCTTCAATCAGGGTTTGATCGATCCCCACGCTGGTAGTCACGGCATTGGCGATGCTGTAACCATCCATGACGGTAATATCCATATCTCCAGCCGCGGCACACAACACCGGAGACATCTGGACATCCCAGTCGATAAAAGTTTCGGTCTTGTCAGTGATGATGTACTCTGTCTCGCTGCAACGTTTGTCAAGGCCGCGCCTTGTGTGAACGTTGGATGCGCTGGTCGAGACCCAGGATGCGTCAAGTTTGGGGGTTCCAATTGTGACGCCCGCAGCTTTCAAAATGGCAAGGTATTCGTCCACCTTGGCGACATACGCTGTTGAATGATTAGATCTCTCTCTCTGTCGCCATTTGTATCAATCAACCCACAGTTATTGCCAAAACCAACAATCACCTCGTCTGACTTGAGGGTATAGGTGGGCGCCCACTTAGGTGCATTCTTGAAGGCGCTTTCTTCTAGAGACATGCCACCGGTAATGACCGTGAGAAAAACACCAATGTATTCAAAGAAGCGCATCTTGATCGAGGAATATACAATCGCTGTAGTAAGGAAGATGAAAAGAATTACTTGTGAATGATGAGGAACTGTGACTTTTGGTGAAGAGTCTTTCTTGGGCAGAGGAATGACGAACTATTTAACTAGTCGGTATCATGAGTAACAGGGCATCTTCGCAATTCTCAGTCTGATTTCTATCCAACACTGGCTTCATGCAAATCCTTTCAGACTCTAGCCTGAAACCCCCCATCTGCTGTCACTGCCCTAACTACCAAACTTGAACATGCATCGGTATTGCCGAATGGAGCCACTCGACTCGTCAGCTCATTTGATTGATTTCAGCGTTGAAGCCTCACTGCCTTGTCCTCTTGACTTATTTGAGAAGCACTTCTGTGTCTTGACGGATTTTTTTGCACTGAATCCCTGGAACAAGAATGAAGCAGTCCTCTGGATGCTACGATAGTAATTGCTTTTGAAACTCTCGAGTCACAAGGGTCATCAAACTGCTAGCACCTGATTCGCGGAGGTTGAAGTTTGCTGTTTCTAAGTCTTGCAACAGTATCCCTGGCTAGATGTCGGTCCGAAAACCTTGCATACACGGGCTGCATGACAGTTGAAGTGGATGGTTTCAGGTGCCATTGGTTTCTTAGTTTGGATGGCTAATATCTCGAGTTTCAATACGTAGTTGATACCCTGGCATTTGGACTATCTTAAACACTCAAGTCAAGAAAAACCCTATCCCACTAGTATAAGTAGACGGGGTTGCACTACAAGCCAAGTTTTCAACCAGATGACAACATTCTGCTTCCCCTCAACGATTTATCGGACAAATCATATCAGCCACCATGAAGCATTCTATCGTTGTGTTGTTTCTCGCTATCGCTAGAAGGTAGACCCCCCTTCTCAGAAGCTCACATAGTATTGCTAACAACCAATTCTCTTCAAGCGTCCATGCCGACCTGCACAAATCTGCAGCATGCATTACCGGCAGGGACGGATCCAGCTTTGAACTGCTCCCTAACGCGACGCAGTGCGCTTGCGACTTCTATTTGCAGCGCAACACCGGCGACAAGCAATGGGACCAATGCCCCGACTGCACTTTTGTAGGCTACAATCCACCCATTGCGAGTTCTTGAAGCTGAGTCAGGATTTCAGGATGGGACTATCTGCCTTTCGGCTGAGAGCCATATCGGAGGCGATGAGGTAAGAGGCGCCCTGACTTGAGACCATACGCTATTGCTAACGTTCCTATTGTTCACTTATTATTGCGAGCAGAAGTGTGGAGCGCAGGGTGCCGAGGCGGACTGAGGGTTGAACATACCCTTCCGCTTACTAGCCTGGTTGCGTCACTTCTCCAAGGAACGGGGGAGCCGAGATGGGTTATGGTCTAGAATTATGTAGATATGCAGGGCGAGGGATGGTAGGATAGTATATGGCAGTGATTTTCGCTAGGTCCCACTGTAAAACCGTTCAATTTCCTCAGTTTCGGACCGTGCCGAGCTTGGCTCGTGTGTGATTGCAACATCGCGTAGTCTAGATTGAATTAGAGGATGTCGTATCCTGTCTAAATGTATCTACAGCATGAGCAGAATGACGCCACTGGTGACATTCCGTGCCAAACAGGGTTCTCTGCCTTCCCCGCGTACCCTGCCGGGTCTACCGGCGGAAATTATAGGGTTCTAGAAGCCATGATTTGATCGATTTATGAAACTTTCATTGCTAGACGGTGTCATCCCGATAGGTGGGCTGGACTGGTTAGCTGAAAAGTTCGACGAGCCCACCATAATCCCTGGGATTATCTCCCCTCGTTTCGATGATCCTTTAGATTCGATCCAGGCTCTTGGCTAGCCGGTATTGTTCTTAACTACATATATATTAAAAATATTTCCCAATTCTCAAAGCTGTAATCAACAACATTAGTAGTGAATTATCACAGCATTTTTCCACCAGAAAATTGTTGATTCTTATTTGGCCTGTCCACTGGGTAGTGATAAAAACACATGACTGCCATGGGCTTAGAATCGCCATAAAACTCGGGAATGGTTTCGGGAAATGCTGAGACAGTGGGTACATAGGTCCATTGGGAGACGAATCGGAATGGAGTCGCCGTAAAACTCGGGAATGATTTCGGGAAAAGGTCACCAGGGGTGCGTGAAGGGTGGGGTCCACCAGGAGCTGGCATGCGTCCGTCACTTCAACATATCAGTAGTCTTATATATTATGAAGGGACTCAAACTCAGGGGCAACCTTGAAGTGAAGTTTCAGGTGCTTTGACATCCGTCTCGCGGGCCGTGACAGCAGCGGCCCGTGGCAAGGGATGCATGCCACTGATCATGCAAGCTCTGAAATCACTTCGGCCTCACCGTTGTGAATCATTCAGTGAATCTCTTCTACTCCTACTCTATCAACTCGCCAGCTACTACATAATTTGTTCCAGTCTTTTCCGCTTGATCAATTTCATTTAGCGGATGCCACGGCCTCAACTGTTCTCTACATTATCAACAGCCAGCTTCACATGTGAATACGAACATAAAGTACTTGCTATTTATTACCCGCCCAATTCTTCCTGACCATCAGGAGCCAAAACAGCATTTATGGTTTTTTTCTTCTGAAATCAAGAAGATCATGGATACTGCTATTGCAACAGTGACATTAACCGGGAGCCTTCTTTCGAGTATTGCGAACGCTTTTGTTCTCGTCTCGTTCTTTATCTACCGCCATCAAATCCGTAATATGCGACATACATTGGTCCTAAACCTCACAGTTGCTGGTAAGATCTCACAATGCGGTATGTGATGGAAACTAACCGTTCCATGTGATACAGAGTTCATCAATTCTCTGACAAATTCTGTGTCGGGCATCATACGCTTGCGAGATAGCCAACTTCATCCCGGCGTTGGGTGCACGATCCAAGGATTTCTTGGACAGCTTTCAGTGCAAGCGGCCGACTTCTCTATATTCTCTATCGCACTAGTTACTCTCCTGATCGTGTTGAGAATTGGCAACATATTGAATGCATCGCTGAGGATGATGATTCTTGTGTGTGTTGCTGTCTGGGTCATTCCCCTGATAACGAGCACCGCCGCTACTGCCACGGATAGTATGACGGTCGTCGGTGGGAATTGGTGTTGGATCTCGTCGAGCCGTCCTGATATGCGCTTGGCCCTCACTCATAGCTGGCGATTTACCGTAATATTTTCTACTGTCATCATACATATCTGTATCTGGGGTTATTTGAAGTGGCAATTCAGCTCAAACCATACACGGCAAACCCGATCCCATGACTCGGCAATGATACCCCTGGTGGGCAGTACACGTTCCTCGCGACCTCGGGGGATGATAGTATATCAAGGAATACGACACGAAGAGACAGATATCAATTCCTCTAATCACGACAAATCATCCAGTCGAACAACTATGCAGAAGGGTCGAGACAAGTCAGCGAGCACACCGAGGCACGAAATCAAAGAGCTGGATTTGAAAATACCAGAGGCGGCTGTACATCCTGCACATGGCCGCGACGAGGGCAGCAATCGAGAGTTGGCAATGCGAACAAACGCTAGCGAATTCCCAATCCGATCGGAATCCCGCCAGATTGAGCGAGAGATTAGAAGAATGCTTCTGCTCAATGCCTATCCTATCATGTATGTCATTCTTTGGATACCGGGCCTTGTGGGCCGCCTTATGGAGGCAACAGGCCATCCGCCATCAGCGAGGACAATAGCTGCACTCCAAGTCTCGACTCAGTTTATAGGGTGTGCGAATGCGTTGACCTATGGGTTTGACCGTCATTTACGCCACAACCTTGGGGGAATCTATGTAAGCAAGATCCTGCCCAGGATCAGACACAACTGGGCTTCATGGCATTAGAGGAGGGGTATAGTGAACACAACCACGAGCTAGAAATGGAAACATCTATGTTATCAGGATATGACAATACTTCAGTTATAACACGTCCCTAGGGTCTGCATGGCTATATATGGCTTGCATTCTGATTCAAGTAACTTGTCACTGATCCGATAGCCTGAGATAAGGTTAAATGGATGGAATGTGGAGAGAGGGGGGACAGAAATCAAGAGTGAGAACTCAGAAACGAATCTGAGCTGCATTTGACTACGACTAGCTGCCACCACCCTTCTTGCGCTTGCACAGAGTAGAGCTGCTCTACGCAAAATCTCCAACCATTCATCATGCAGTACTAACTGACCCGATTTCTTCACCGTATCCGCTGTTTCCTCTCTCCTTAAATATTTTACATGATGAAACGCGAGGCAAGTAGCGATCGAGGGCTGGCTTGATGCATGGTAAGCAAGCGCATATAAGCCCACACCAGGTTTCAATGAGACTCCATTTGACGCTATTCCCCCAAACATAGGTTGTATCCAGTTCCCCGTCCGTCTGAATAGTTATCACTAATCGCAGTATACTGACGGCGGAGACACTAGTAGAATTAGCATATAACATGGTATGCTCAGAGTGTGGAAATACATACAACCCGCCTCCCATCAGCACCATGCCGATAGCGATCTTTCGCCCGGTTGATATTTGTAGTGGATGAAGTATCCAGAACGGAAGTAGTAGAATTGCAATATCTGTCGCCACATTCAGCGCCGCGCAGACGATATAAGCTACAAAGAGCCGATCACACTTTTCCGGGTCAGAGCAATCTAGCGCAAAGCTGGCGATGATGTTCACCAAACTGTACGCTACGACTATCGCGAGAACGGCGTAGGTGGCGGCCTTGAGAGCACGATCTGCGGTGAAACGCAGGTAGAACGTAAGAATGCTCGCCTTGATAAACACCGTAGTCAAATTGTAGAGCGGGACACCACCCCATCTGCCTACCTGTTTGCATTTATTACTTTCGTCAGCGCATGGTCAAAGTGCAGATTATGGTGACTGCGGGGGGTCTCAATACCGTACATTAAGGAGCAGCACCAAATTTGAGGGAGAAAAATTGAAGAGGTGATCGCCAGCACCAAGACGAGCCTCTAAAGCAGTGCTCATTAGCATTTTCCTCATGGGTGGTGGTGGTGGTAGACAGGCCGCTGTTACCTATACAAACAATTACTGAGTGAAGAATCGCAAAAGTCTAATCGAACGCGAACGTTGGCTTATGCAAGAGATAATTAGAGTAACGATAAGTCTTACCGTTGCAATCATGGCGAGGGCTAAGCTCGTGTTAGTTTCAGCACTGACTTCCAGGGAGGTCTGCTCACAAGGCACGTACTATCATCTGGGTGCCACCTCCTGACAATAGACTTACTTGTCCAAAGACGTATCACGACAATAGGGATGGAGAAAATAGGGAGAAGGATCGCAGTGAGAAAGACATCCGTGCTGCGGCCCCCTGTATGTGAAAATGTGCCTGGTAATGCCTCCAGCATATTCGACATGGTGGCGATGGCCTCCTATGATTGACTGGGACGTTGAAGGAGATAAGAATCTCATATCTATTTATGAAAATATGGATAATGGTGCAATTTATTAAGAACGAAATGCAAGGTACGGTGCTGGTGGTACTAGTTCGTATTTGCGTGTTGCGTCAGTAAGAATAAAACAGTCACACTACCGAAAATCTGTTCAAAAACTTAATGAACTTTAATTTAGACCCATCAAATCCTTTCATGACATACGCTTGTAGTTGAAATACGCTGACTTATATAGTTTGTTAATATAGATCTCGAAATCGAAAGATCCCATAGGAGCATCGCCAGTGTGCTAAGGGGCTTGCAAACAGCATTCCTACTTTGGCTGATTATATCAAAGCAGTCGACTTTTGAAATAACGACTACTCTGTCTTGGCTCGAGATCACCCCAAATTCTCAGATAGGTCATCTTGGACTCAATCTCTAAAGCAAGGTTGAGTGGAGAGACACCATTTGCGGGAATGAGCCTAAGGGGGGGAGGGACTTTAGGGCCCATTGGTGGTTGGGATAGAGGCGTGAACTAAAACATCCCCAAAAATTGCATTCTTGATGTAGCTATGACGCCGGGCACAATGATGCTCGTGCTGTTGTTCATGCTGAACCTTGCTGTCGTCGAGTAACGGGGCTGAAGCTTAATTCAGGCGCCACCACGGACCTCTCGTCTTGATGGATTGGTCGTAGTTTAATGCTACTTTAGGCATAAGATCAATTCATCACCATCTTTTTATTGAGTTGGCTTCTCCCACTTCCTTTGATCAAGCAAAGGCCATTAGGTCTCACCTCCTATTGATGGTGCCAGCCTCTACCACCGCCCTATACCTCTTAAGCATAGCCTTCAACCTTGAACCATCTAATCAATAAAAGGCAAGTTGAACAAGGTATTCTATGGATTTTTATGCTTAACATGATATCTGCCCTAATTGCTCTGTCGGCTGTTTTCATTCCAGAACGGGAGGTCTGCCTCCATCCGAACAGCACCATACATAGACGAACTATCAAGGGTCTCCCCAGCGTACTCCCGCGCAGCTGTTAAATGCCCAAGTGCCGCTTCCAATGTCTTCAGACGCGTCCCGTTATCTCGAGCCATTGATAGAGCGTGTTTGCAATCCTTGGTAGCTAGAGCCGCCGAGAAGCCAGGGGGAACATCCAGAGGAGGTGCGTAGGCGCCTGAGGTCATGCGTTTCGAATAACTTTGGAGAACAGGTCCAAACATACTCCCGATAAACTCTTCCATCTGTGCCGTCCCGAGCTCTGACTTTTCTGCAAAGACCTGGGCCTCGGCAATCAACTCTTGGAATCCAAGCACAAAAATATTGCTGGTAGAATTTGTATTAGATGAGTTTGAGCGTAATCGTAGAATCGGACATTGAAAGACATACCCGGAGATTTTCAGGAGACTTGATTTACGAACATCTTCCCCCATTTCGATCATCTTTCGGCCCATGACATCGATTACAAAGGGCCGTAGCCGATCAATGGCACTGGCTGTGCCAGCAATGGCGAATATCAGCTTTCCCTCGGCCGCTACCGGGCTGGCCCCGAATACAGGAGATGCCACAAACGTAGCGCCTCTCTCCGTGAGCTTCGTAAAGCATCTATAGCATGTTTCGGGGTGTACCGTGGAAGTGTCGATCCAGATCTTCCCCTGCAGATTGATGTCTTTCTGCAACACCTCGGCGACAAGCTTCTCCAGCACTTGGTCATCGGTAATCTATCAAACATAAGCAATTTCCCATGTGATCTTTTGGTACTAAACACGCTCCTACCATAGTGAAAATAATAGATGATTGGTTCACTAACTCCCCAAACTCAGATTCCGGGATAGCCCCGATCTTTTGAAGTTCCTCCCCTTTCGATAGGGTGCGGTTACTGTAACGCAGAGGAGCCATTCCTTGTGCAGATAAATGCCTCTGGAGGTTCAGTGCCATCTTGATGCCCATGGATCCAAGGCCATACTATGCGATTCGATGGTCAACGAAAATAGTGAAAGCAGAGCGAAATTATACATACCCAACCAATCGTCTCCGGCTGCATTTTGATCTTCGTTTTTTTCAGCTGAAAGATGGGCAAAAGTCTTCCGTAGAGTTCGTGCGAGCAATTGTCAGCGGAAGTATCTCAAGGTCAAATGTAATAGACTCGCGAGGAACTGTGTTTTTTTTCCAGTGTTGAAATAGGAATTTTCGAATATCCAACAGGTGGTCAGGATATCTAGCCAAGCTTGAGGCGGAGCTCCACCACCACCTCCACTTCAGGAGCTCACCGTGGTGGAGTCAGCATATCAAACCTCACTCTAAAATCAGGACAGTAGGCATGTTGTAGGCATTCTATAATATGGATCACATGTCCAACTGGTGGAGGGTGCACCCCTTCCCTTTCTTCACATCCAAGATAGTGAATCAAGCCTTACACAGCTGGCTATTTGCTACCCTCCTCTGGAAGACTATTCTACAGGCAAAAGTGCGAATGAATCACAAGCTGGATCAGCAACAAGATTCTCCATAAACGGCCCAATTGCCCAAACACTCCTCTCCTTCCAGAACTGCAGCACAGCCTCTTTGAATCGCACCTCACTTGTACTGGGGGCCATAACATACGATGTCCACTGTACCATCCGTTCCTGTTCGGACAAAACAGCCTCCATGATCGCATTCAATACTACACTGGGTACAGTGAACCGACGCTCTAGTGAGGATACTGGTTCTTCTCCGCCATTCCTATCGCGGACTTGGCCAGCGGCCCATCGGAGAGAACGCCATACCGTGAGGATCACGCGGTAGGTGGCTACGGACGTCCATGGGGCCTCGGAAAATGCGTCTTGGCGGTTCTCCCCAAGGACTTGATGAAGAACATCGGAGATATCATCGAGCATCACAAGGATGACATCGTCGCCTGTGATGTTGTCAAGGAGCGACTGCAGCGACCGCCTTGAGCCAGAATAGTGGCCCAGAGCCAAGTGTGTTGCCGTGGCCAATCCGGCAAAGATGTTGCTGTCGACGATTCCGCCAATCAGCAGATCGTCTGGCTTGCAGAGGGATATTCTCACGTCCAGCACCATCCGTTGGATTGTTGTCCATAGCGGCTGGTTTTTCGCATCCCAGTGGATGTCTTGATCAGTTGAGAGCCGCAGAATGTGTTTCAGCGCGGCAACAATCTGCCGCGTCTGGGTCTGTGTGAGAATATGATAAGCTGAGGGGTCGGCCAAATTGGGGGGAAGTTGGTAGTAGGAGCGTGTGAAGTCCCGAACCAAAGCATCGATGCTGGTCAAAACGAAGAGAGTGGTGAAAGGTGACGCTGCTAGGGCGGTAAGTAGAGCAGGCCTCGGGGAGTCACTCATCAGAGACTGCATTGCCAAAGTTAGTGACTTGGTGGTAGGGCAAATCAAACTGAAGTCTGTCGCTGACTCTCTTAGGCGCTTGACCCGCGAGTCATCGTTCAGACTTCTCATCCAAACCACTTCGTTCTCTGCTTCCCAGAGCAGGGAGGAAAATGGGAGCTCCCAGTCCATGTCCATAGAAGATGTAATAGATCTGATATTGCATGGATAAAAAATGTGGAAGTCTAGAAAAAGAAGGCTATAGATGGCAAGTTTCATAGCTTCTTCTTCCACGTAGTTCATCCAGTTCTCATGCAACGATGGGGCGTGGTTGCTGGGAGAATCATCGTAGGCTTGAATCCAGGATCGGGGGGATGTTAGAACTAATGTCTGCGTGAGCAAGCCAAGTTCCTGCGAAGCCTTTTTTCTCACCCAGAGTCAGCGTTTTGTCACTCTCGGTTCACAGTATGCGTTCATACATCTACAAGAGCGCGCAGCATCTTTCTGGCTTTGCTATAGTGCGAAGGCTCGCCCATGTAGGCGCCATATATAATGCACAGGATCGAGGCTTGAATAACACCTGGTTTCCGAAGGTTCTGCCAATCAGAATCTATCTGCACACGCCTCATGGTCAGAGGAAATGGGGAGCTATGAGAAGAGCAGGAAATTCTCACAATGGTATATAGGTGAGCGTAAACAGTCTCCCAGGTATCTCGGCTTTCACGTAGACCAGATGCAATTTCATCTTCAGGGAGTTTCCGAGCGCTGTAAACACTGCCTATGGCAAGAACCATGCTCTTTAGCGACTGAGGGCCTGTACTAAGCGCAGTGGATCGATGGAGCAGCGGAAATGAAGGGTGGAAATAATCAAAGTATGCTAATATGTGAGAATCATAGCTCGTTTTGAGGAATCTGGCCGAGGTCTCACAGTTAGTAGGTGACGTTGCGGCACATGAGCAGACGGGAGTTTCTACCCATTCTCTGGTGGAGATACGTCAGAGAGTGTGTGACCCCAAGAATCTCGGTGACTCCCTGGGCTGATAATGGCGGCCTTTGGGCTTGTAAACACCCTCTGTGGACTAGCAGATGAGTTTTGGATCTGGATCGTTTCCCTGATTGCCTCCTCGGATGCTTCTCGGCGAGAGGGGTGGGCTGCGATGCCACGGCATCTTTCGACATGACGTTTGCACACATCCCTTCTTGAAAACGATGCGTTGCAGGAGAAACATGCATATGGCTTATTACACGTGCTATCTCCATGTCCTGCCGGCATACCCATCCAGTCAGCTCCGCTGGCTAAGGATCTGTAAGGGGGAGACAGGGAAATGAAGGGCCGTACTAGATCGTCTATGTCGCACTAGGTTCTCCTACGGGATCGGAAGAGGTCAGTGCTCCCGAATAAATGGTATGGATACAGAGCTGCTCACATTTCGGGTGAATGTCTGCGAACATGCGCTGCAGGCAAAAGGGCGATCCAAACTCATCGCAATCCTTGTCCGGGGCAGCTAGGTGTGTGCAGTGACAAAGTTGGTCGCGATATCGAGTTCTGCAAGTATCGTTCTGTCTCAGTCTGTCCAATGAAAGATGGGATTTCTGTAGACTTGATGGGTCCAGATACCAGTTGAATGAATGTGCACGAAAGCCAGCATTTCCGGGGTATCATCCCCCTTGGAGAGGAGAGGAGAAGCCGTGTATGTTCTTGCTGAGTCACCTATCTCATGTGGGTGGAGGGAGTGTGGAGCTCTGGTGTGGCTGCTAAGAATGACCACTTGACTAGCGACTGCACCTCGGCAAGTGATTGGAGGGTACAAAGAGGCTGAAATAGTGCTGAGGCAAGTGCATCGAATTGTGCACTATAGTTATGCACATTATGCACTGGGACCATCCGGAATAGGAAAGGCAAGTGCTGCACAAAAGCATAATTATGTCAGGTCATGTTTACATGTGCCTACCCTAGAGCGAAAGTCTTGTTCACGAGTATTCGCATGAGAAAGATACATAAAGAGCCCATGCAATGAGCATACCTTGACTATTACGTAGATGCCCCACAAAATGTATCACATCAAGGTCGCACAGGTTTAGTAGCCTTGGCTTTGTTCAAACACGGAACATCTATTGAAAAGATACGGCGTTTACACGCTCAAATCCCGTCCCATGTTAGTTTAGAATGTCTGTCAAACTCGCCTCGGTTATCATCCGCGATTTAAATAATCACAAGCAGCAATACTCGGATCTTATCCGAGGCGGTTTGGCCATGGCCAGTCATCGCTAATTCCATGACTTCTTATTCCAGGATCAAAGGGTGACAGTTGATTGCTGGTCCAAGCTATTGAGCGATGCTCCATCAGGTGAGCCAATCATAAGGCGGCCCAAGCTTTTGCAGTGTCAGAATTTGGCGCCACTGGCCTCGAGTCATTGCTCAGAGGGACCCACTACATCGTCTGTAGTTAGCTACTCTGATGGAGCTCCACGGCCAACTTCAAGTCATGCCCATGGATTCGAGCCCACAGACGTGGAGCTCCACCAGCACCAATGTAAACCTTAACGAGTCGCCGCTCGGATTTCTGAGGCTGGAACAGCCAACCCACAACCAATGCGGGGGGACCTTGACCTCCCCCAGATTTTGCTATCAGTCTTGTGCAGGGGAGAGAGATAACCCTGAGGCTTGAAGCACAAGATCTGGAACTGATATCACGGGAACTTCGGGGGGAAGTCAGGGGGCCAACACTGTACCCTGTCCAGTCCTGAGATAACCACGCGTTACCGTAGTCCAGCTACGTGTGCGGCATGTCTCTGTTCAACCATTAGCCTCATGGATACGCCTTGCCTACATAAACCCCCCTCGGCCTCACATATTTTCTTTTATCAACTCTGGATTCTGCCCAAACCTTCACTGAGCCCATCGACCTAGAAGATATACACATTCTGGATAACCTTCCGCTAATCTTCCTTCCTCTTCATCATCGAAAGCCGTCATGTCTGCTGATAATCATGACAAAGTTGACGGTGGGCATATTGCTCCCATAAGATCAGATGTCGACAATGGTACCACAATAGAGAAGGAGATTGGGCATTCCAAGGACGTGGACCCAGCTCTTGAGTTTATGGGTGGTGAGCAAATTGAATTCACCGAAGAGGAGGAGAAATCTGTCCTGCGCAAGATTGACTTGGCTCTCGTGCCTCTTTTGTGCTGGATATATGCCCTACAATTTGCTGATAAGACCTCGCTCAACTATGCCTCCCTGATGGGCATTCGCGAGGACACCAATCTGGATCCCAATAGCCAGCAGTACAGTTGGGCCTCGAGCATCTTCTATGCTGGCTATATTATGTGGGAGTATGTCAAAGTCATTTCTGTTTCTTTTTCGTTATGCTAAAACAACAACTAACTAATCGTGGTAGATTTCCTACAACCTATCTCCTTCGAGCCCTGCCGCTGGGTAAATACACATCGGCCAACATCGTCCTTTGGGGCCTCGTCATTATTTGCCACGTATTTGCAATGAACTATGCCGGTCTTCTCTGCGTTCGATTCTTCCTCGGTGCCCTTGAGGCCACGGTCACGCCCGCCTTCGTGCTTCTGACATCCCAGTGGTACAAGCAAAATGAGCAAGGTCGACGAATGGGACTGTGGCTCAGCTGCAATGGTGTTGCCCTCCTCGTCATGGGACCCATCGCGTACGGCCTGTCTGGCGTCACAGACTCGCCCCTGGCAACCTGGAAAATTCTCTACATCGTTTTGGGTATACCGACAGTTTTCTCCGGCATCTACTGCTGGCTACGAATGCCCGACAACCAAACCAATGCTAAATTCCTCAACCACCGGGAAAAGATGATTGCAGTCGAACGAATCAGAAAGAATTTCCAAGGAATCGGAAGTCGCAAGTGGAAGTGGTCCCAGTTCTACGAAGCCTTCCGCGACCCTCGAACATACCTCTATGTCTTGTTTTCGATTCTCATGAACACCCCCAATGGCGGCATCACGTCTTTCGGATCAATTGTGATTAAGTCATTTGGTTTCAGTTCTCGTCTTTCCCTTTTACTCAATATGCCTACTGGGATTGTAGATATTGCCTGCAAGTTGGGATTCACCTACTTGTCGGACAAGCTCCTGGACCGTTCTTTGTTTGCATTCATCGCTATTCTGATCCCAATGATCGGAGGCATCATGATGGTCGTCATCCCGCTATCCGCCAAGGCCACCTTGCTCGTTGGATACTACTTTATCGGGGCGGCAGGCGCGTCTTGGTGCCTGGTCATGACAATGATTTCCAACAATACCCTCGGATACACCAAAAAGGCCACTGTCAACGGGCTCCAGATCCTGGCCTACGCTGCCGGAAATTGGATTGGTCCTCAAACCTTTCGCTCGAATGAGGCTCCAGAATACTACCATGGCAAGATGATGGTGGCCATTATGTATGGGTGTGCAGCTCTCACTATTGTGGCGCTCCGTTATGTCAATGTGTGGGAGAACCGACGCCGTGATAAGTTGGCCGCTGAACAGCCACAGACGGCGGTTGCGCAGGATTCATCTACTGCGTTTTTGGACCTCACGGATTTCGAACAGCGGGAGTTCCGATACATTCTGTAATGAATGGAGCCGGGACTTTGGGGTAGTCTGTGGCGTTGACAGAAGGAGGCTGTTGAGTGATGCGATGGGTTGAAGCACTACATGGTGATGATGCGAAGAGTGGAGGTTTATTCTTCTGGGGTAACTCACTTTCTATATGATTGTGAATTTTAGTTAATTGTGTAGATTTGAATTCTACTTCCTCTTTTGCTTTAACCATCTGAAGTCCGATAGTGATAACAATTTCCTACTCGAACCGCACTTACCATTCAGATGAGAAAATCAAGTCTTTCGAGGGTTCAGGGGCTAATAACAATGCACCACCATGAATAGCCAACAACTGAACTCTATGTAGGTAACAAAAAATATATTGTTTTTGTCGATGAAGGTCTTTTGAAAGAGAATCATCAATTCCTGGAAGTTTTTCATGCTCTGGTACAAGAATTGAGAAGGAAGTAGACCAACAAGTAACGGCAAGACAGACCTCGTAACTCTAGAGGAGACAAAAAAAGAGAAAAGATTGGGTGTGAAAATTTAAAATTGATTGATTGTTTAGTATTCTATAAAAACTGTATGCTTCCGCTCCTAGGCATTAACAAGAAAGTCCACAAAATCTTCATCAGGAAGTGCAGGCTGCAAGCCCGTATCATCCAGCGGACCCAGATACCAAGTCAGGTCGCTTCCATCTCCTTCACGAGCCGCAAAACCATTTCCGAAGTAAGCAAAACGGTTCATCGTAGTGTATTTAAGAACAAAGTCCTCCCATCGTGGGCTCGCGATGGTTTCGAAGAACTGGATACGTGATCCAGGCCACATCATTGGCTCACCGTCAACCGTACCCTGTTTAAACCAAGATCGGCAAGGTGAGGTCCATGCCGTGCGAGGCAAGAACTTGCGCCTGTGCTGAGCAAAGTCGGCAACAGCTTCTTCTTTTGGAGCAAAAGAGGTGATTTCTTCCTCAGACATTTTCTTGAGGACCTGCATTACATAGCGGGAGACGGTCTCGGTAATGGGAAGGAAGCTTCCATGCCCGTACGGCCCAAATGGACCATTGAAAACTATCTCTGATTAGATTATCCTCTTTTTGTTGATACCAAGGAAATGGGAAACATACTGAAGTAATTGGGCATGTTTGCTACTCCCAATGAGAGATAAGTGTTGGGGACATCAGCCCAATACTTGCTGAGATTGACGCCGTTACGACCAATAGTAGGGTATCGGGGTTTCCAGCTGACATCAAAGCCAGTGGCGCAAACAATGACATCGAACTCATGTTCGACTCCGTCACTAGTTTTGACACCCTTGGGGGTGATCTCGACTATGCTGGACGAGACAACCGCTACGTTGTCCTCGCAAAGAGCTTCTAGATAGCCATTTCCAGGTGTGGGCCGGCGGCATCCAACTGCAAAGTTCTTTGGGACAATCAAGTCTGCAATCTCAGGATTGCCAGCCAGCCTGGTTCGCATGTCTTTCTCGGCGGCCTGGAACCCGAGAGAAGTTTAAGGGTTAGTTTGGGATCACAATAGCGTATCAGTATGATCATGCTTACAGTTCGAGCATCTTGCTGCTCTTTTGAGCCATTCAGAATAAATCTGAATCGAGAATTGAGCTCAGACTCGATTCGCTTTCTATATGCGAGGTATTTTGTCGGGTCATTGCTCAGAATTTCTTTCTGCTTTTCGGAGTCTTTTGCTCTATGTTAACAAGTGAGCTGGGGGCGTTGTCTGGGAAGCACTTACATTCAAAATTGGTTCCACCTTTACCAGCAAATCGCTGACCGAAGGAAGCGGTAACCCAGGCAGCACTTCGAATGAAACACTTCATGTGTCCAACAACTGGAAAGCGACGATGTCAGCCAGACGCTTGTAGATTATGGGAGAAGAGAAAAGCCGTACCTGGCTGGATGCTGGGAACGATTTGTACAGCGGACGAGCCGCCACCAATAACTCCCACGCGCTTTCCTTTCAACTCAATGCTGTCATCCCAGTTGGCACTGTGGAGCATTGGGCCCTTGAATGTCTCACGGCCGTTGATATCAGGCCACTTCCATTTGCTGAAGTATCCAAATTAGTCTGAATTCTATCAATGTAGATTCGGTTCACATACTTGAGGACACCACTGGCGTTGACGAAAATGTCGGCTTTATCGGTAATGACATCTTCAGGGTTGTTGCCTTGCTGGATTCGGACATGCCACTTCTGCTCTTCTTCTACCCACGTTGCACCAACCACAGTATGATTGAGGCGGACGTACTTGTTGAGGTCATATTTCTCCGCAACATCCTTGAAATATTGCAAGATTTCCGTAGCGCTGGAGTAGCTGTGAATGAGCGTTAATATTGGATCCCGAGAAGTCAAGAAGATGCAGGCTTACTAATGCGACCATTCCGTCGATGGTGCCCACGAGAATTGGTAGTTTACCGAGGGGATATCGCATCCACACCCCGGATAGCGATTTTCGTACCAAGTACCTCCGATAGATGGGTTCTTCTCGTAGCAAACCAGGTCTAGGTCAAGGGAGCTGATGCTAACTTCATGAGCGAGATTCAGAGCGCTGGCACCACCGCCTAAACAGATGATGCGTATTTTTCGACCAGAACGACTGGGTTTTTCCAGAATGTGGTAGTCCAACGCGCTTTCCGCGAAAGCACTGTCTAACGAGGGCAGGGTAGCTGATGGACTCATTTTTAAGGTTGAAGTAGAGGTAGCTGTAATGGAGATGGTATCGAACACTGATCACCCGCGTTATAGAGGGATGCTGAGAGGCTATTGAGGACAGCGACTGGACATTTAAAAGATATTCCACAAACCGAGGTTCACAGTTGAAGTGCCTATATTGAGACCGATTAGGAGAAATCGCATGTTTCGCTTCGATTGCTGCGTATCAGACTCGCAAACCTCCACCTCCACCTCCACCTCCTCTCTCCACCCCTCCTACTGATAGGCTGGTCAACCTCCACCTCCACCTCCACATACCTCCACCTCTAGAAGAAGGGGCTAGACTTCTCACATGATTAAGAAGGGCCGTTAAGGTTGCTGCTTAGAAAACTTTATCGTGTAGTCACGGGAACAAGTAATCAGAAGAGAATATGGCGATGGTTAGAAAGCTTCGTGAATATGAATGTCGTCACCCCGCTTGTGAAGTTCACATTACACATCTGCCTAGTTTGGAACTGTAAACATGCTAGACATGAAAACCTGGATGTGAAAAATAACCATGCTTGCTTCGGTATTTTTAATTCTCAACCGGCAAGTAATTAAGGGCCAAAGGGCAAAGTTACCAGATAACATCCTGGCTCGCTCTAATTTCCGGTATTTCGATATTAGGTAAATTGAAACATTTCAATGTATGCATCTCGGACATGTCTTTATTTTGTTCTTGAACTATTCTTTTGTACGATTACATGTATGCGAATCCACCCTAAAACCTAACCTGGGGTAAGGTCGATTTGTTCCTGAAACTGGCTGGAAACCCTCTATCAGGCGGATATGAAATGTGACTGGCCCCCTCATGAAGCATCCAATCTAGAAGAAAATTGAAGTAGTTGGCCATATAAGATATTCTCCTGAGTCATCCTGAAGTTTTGATGTCGGAATGAATGGGGCGCTTCCTGCTTTAGGGATGACTTGAAATGGCCGCATCTTTTGATCTTCGAAGCGAGCCTAAGCGATGACTGTGTCAATTCCACTCCCGAACCCTCTCAGATACTCTATCCTACATTATGTTCTTCAAGATATTTGAAAACTCCTAGGTCAAATTGCCAATGAACCATTTGTAGATAGGTTAGGATTCTGCCCCCGAGATACAGCTTTTAGCAGCGTCCAGTACCGATTTGGCCACAGAGACGCCGGTGAAAAGCTCCCAGAAGCGAGCCACACCCGCGTCTCCCTCATCTTCACAGCCATTAGCAGCCACAGTATTGTATAGAATACCAGTTGCAGATGATACAGGAGAGGGCAGTTTCAAATGCCTGGCCTCTTCGGTAAACATACCCACAGCCTTGATAAACGTGGAAAGAGGTAAAATTGGTGTCCAGTCTGCATCGAGGATTTGTGGACCTCTGTTCTCCAGCATATAACTCCACGCTGAAGTGTTAATCAACACGTCAAACACAATATTTGGATCAAGTTCCAGCCGTGCCGCGAAACTCAAGGCCTCTGCAGCAGCTGAAATGTGAATCCCTGCTAAAATCTGGCTGATGAGATTAACAGATGAAGCGGCACCTATTCCTCCTCGAACTCCTTGCAAGTTGGAAACATCTTTGGCCATGACTAGTAGTGGAGCCATGACTTTTCGGACAGTGGAATCATCTCCCGAAATCATGATCTAAAACGGTGAACTTGAGTTAACAACAGATAGGGACAGTGGAACGAACATTTAGACCACCATTGGTGGTATTAGTTGCCCAATCACCCACAGGGGCGTCCAAAATACTTATATCGCTTCTGAGGCGCCCAAGCCTACCTGAAAGGGTTTTCATATAAGAAGGAGGAACAGAGGAGCTGATGATAATGACAGCATTATCAGAAAGGTTCTTTACTACCTCTTCTTGGCCAAAAAGAACCTCATCGACTTGTACTGCGCTCTGTACTGAAATTATGACCACCTGTGTACCTCGAACTGCTTCTGCAAGAGATTGAGCGGGCAAAAAATTGCCCTCAATTGGAGGAGCTCCCTCTGAAGCGTTGGGGACGGCGCCATAGCCCTGCACCACGTAACCTGCTCGAAGGAGTGATTTAGCCACTTCCATGGCTGTGGCATCTGATCCTACCACACTGATTGTCGAGATGGGAAACTGGAAATTGTCCAAATCGATTCCGTTCGACTGGCTGAAAAGATTCTCTGAACCATGGTGTGTTTCGGCTTCATGTGGGAAGTCAGGGCTATGGACGCGCATTAGGTTGGTATGGGTGTCTTTGCCTTTGGCAGTGGCATGTCCAGTGCCTCTGGTGCAAAGCTGCCCTGCGACTTCAGATAAAGGGAGAGGGAACTGTAATGACCGAGACATAGACGTGATCAGGGACTGTGGAAGTTAGATTGCGTTAATTCATGTAATGGCATGTGGGATACGTACCAGATCATCGGCCAGATTTTCAAGAATTGGATCAACAGTCCAATTGACCAAGATTTTTGGCACCCAAGCCTCGAAGACCCTGGAGCTGCCAGTAGTAGCTTTTGCGATATTGTAAACCTCGAAAGGGTCTAGCCCCTGTTTAATAGCAAATGATATTGCCTCTGTTGCTGCAGAAATATGAATGCCAACGAGCATCTGATTTATGAGCTGAACCTTAGTAGCAACTCCTAAGGTACCGGAAATCATGAACCATTGATCCGATATTTCGTGCAAAAGAGTTGAGCTCCTGCTTAACGCGTCTTGTTTTCCGGCGGCAAAGGTTACCATGCCCCCCTTGGTGTCATTTGTTGGACTTGCGGATATCGGGGAATCTATTAGAAGGAGGTCTGATCGACCAAGCCTCGAAATGTGATCTTCTAAAGCGTTGTAAAGGTTGGTGTCCATAATTGAGCACAGGAGAACTGAGCATCCGACTTGCAGTACTATCTTATTGTTAACAGAAAGAAGACTCATAGATTGTGGGACAAAGTGGCTGAAATACCTTCTAGAACACTGGAGTCGCGGCTGAAAAACAGAGCCTCAAGCTCAGATTTATCCGCCAAGCAGATAAGATATTCAGCATTTCTTGCGACTTCCTGAGGGCGTTGGCAAAAAGTTCCCCCTAGGGCACTGATCCTTGTTTTATCAAGCGCATTGTTGTCATATATCCGGACAGTATAGTCTGGGTTGCTGAGGAGGCCGTAAACCATTCTCAATGCCAGGCTACTCATCCCGAGAAAGCCAACTGGAGTTGGAACAGACCGTGTTGCGGCCATATTTGTAACATCTGGTTGAATCAAGACAGATCATTCAGGTAAGAGCAGACCATCATAACACGTAAACAGACTAGATTGATGATAGTCTTGTAATAAGATCGTTGCACTCTGTTTTTCTTTCGGTCTCAATCTCAAACCTGCAGATCTCTTATTGGCGGAGGTGGAGTGTGGAGGTTTTGCGTCAAGTGTGAGGCGGAGTTGTGGTGGAGCTCCATCAGCTTGACGTCGGCCAGCACTTGAGGACTGAGCATACTTTGTAAAGCTAACAGGAGCAAAGAAGCGAGTAATGATATTTACGTGATTTCTTAGCGCTTTATAGTTTTAATTGAATTAGATGTAGTTTAATGCTATCCAGCTTGCACTTGATTCTAGTGATATAATTCTTAATACCAGTACTAGGTAACCGAGAAATGCACTCTACCTTTCAAGCGTTTCCTCTAAAATTGATCGAAGCAGCGCAATGAAATCCGACATAGCCCGTTCCGACGTAATTCTTTTGTTCCCCTCAAACTCCAATTCAAGCTTCCCATTTCGAGGCGTGGCATAGATCTCTGGACGATCACGCGCAGGCAGGCTGCTTTGATAGAAAGAAATATTGCTTGGAGAGCCAAGGAAATTGAAGGAATCTCCGTCGTCCGCTTGCTGGAAAGCGGTACGCCATCCAAAGTTGGTTGCTTGCTCCGGCCAAGTGGTGCAGTTCCTAATGATCTCGACCATACCTGCAGCTTCATGAGTGGAATCCTGAATAAACTGATCATGCAACTGCTGGCTAACATCATCAAGCGTATCGGTAGACTTGATATTAATGCGGATAGGAAGTTCAGTCATCGTAGGTCCCACGACACTCTGTAGACTGCTCGGGAGCATAGAACGGCCTGTAACTAAACGTCCAAAAATCACTTCCTTTTGGCCGAATTGTCGCGAAAATGCCAATGCACAAGCAGCATGGAAAACTGTGGCGGCCGAGATACCTTCACTCATGGCTATATTAGTTGGCATTGTAATTGTCTCGCTTGTACTCAGCCTATCTCCTGGGCTACATCCGATGTCGTCCGTAGTTGTTGAGCTCCAGTTGGGGAATGACGAATCAGTAAGTCTAGAAGCCCAGTACTCTAGACTATCATTCTTCTGCCTTGCACAAAAATAGCTATACTGGACAAATTCGGGTGTTATTAGTAATGGCTGGTTGTTGTATATCGCAGACAGAGTTTCCAGTACTTTAGGCCAGCTGTATCCATCGAACTGAGAGTGTGATATTCGGAGGACAAGCTTGTGACTCCCTGAATCATGCCTTATCGCCAAGAATCGGATAAATGACGAACCAAGCTTCCTTGGGCGTCTCAAGTCATCCTCACAAAGGCCATCGATGAAAGACTTGAGCTCGTTACTCTGGCTATTAAAGACGTTGTAATCTGGTTTCATTTCACTCAATGAAACCTGCCAGAGTTGACCTTGACCCTCGACGAAGACAGTGCGGAGGACATCGTAGTGTTTTACAAGCCTGTAGCACGCCTCTTGCAACCGCATGAAATCCACATCTCGAGGAAGGTCGAATATCCAGTGGGGATATCTACCTGGAGGGTCCTGCATGGCATCCAACACTGCACGCTCTTGAAAGTCTGTAGCAGGAGTTATGTCTTGGATATCTGATACATCAGAATCCAAAACAGGCTGCACATATTCATTGATGAATCGTTTATAATCCGGAGTGCCCAGAAGCGAGAATGGCTCATAGGATACCTGCATCTCGGAATTTTCACCAATCCCAGCAATGAGCGATGCTAATTCATGGAGACGAGGAGCGTTGAAAACGTCTGACACGGAAAATGACAGGTTCTCCTCCCGGCTGGCTGCTACTAACTGCATTGCAGCAATTGACTCTCCGCCGATTCTGAAGAAGTGGCTTTCAGCACTGATCATTGCTGGGTCGACACCCAAAGCCATTGACCATAGGGCTTGCAATTTCTTCTCCAAGGCTGTATTCGGCGCTCGTTGTTCTTTACCTTGAGCCTGTAACTGTGCAAGTTGCTCCTGCGATAGCCTGCCGCCGATTCCCCTCAGAATCTTTCGGTCCGTTTTGTTTGTAGTAGTCATGGGAATCTTGTCAAGATGGATGTATGCAGCTGGAACCATGCTAAGAGAATCTAATTAGTTTCGTTGTTTTTTGGGGTGATATTGATTACGAGTTTGTTTGTAAAAAAAAGCCACGGGAATATGTCCAACACATCAGGGTATGATTGAGTGAGTAGGCAGCCAAGGACGGGAAGAATAGAAAGACTTACTATATGGGCACACGGTCGGAGAGCTTTCTCTCCATCTGTTCGAATCGCTTCATAGATTGAGCTTGGGCATCCTGCACTTCTGATTGATTACCTCCTTTTGCTACTAGACTGGCAAAGATGGCGAGTAGAGGGCTGTTGCTATTCTGTGGAATGATGATCTCGGCTACGATGCCATGGTAGAGGCAGGCATCATCACCAAGACAGGACCGAACGTGATATTCCACTTCAGCCAGCTCGATTCTTTGGCCGCGTAACTTGATCAAGCTGTCTTTGCGGCCAATGAAATCCATGGATCCATCCTCGTTGTATCTCAAAAGGTCACCCGTTCTGTAAACCCTGCCGCTTCGACCCGGGTAATCTTTAAAGCCCTGTGTGAGCCAGCTTGGGTCGTCTACATACGATGCTGCTGCTTCGCCCGAGCTCTTGAAGTATCCTTCACTGACAGTTGGGCCTTCAATAACAAGATCTCCGATAGTCCCAACGGCGGCTAGACGGTCTGGTCGACCGGGTTGCACAAGCCAGGTCCTTGCACCGTAGGAGTAACCAACATGGCCATTGCGACTTGTTCCACTCAGGCATGCGAAACTTAGAGCTTGAGCACACTCCGCAGGCCCATAGATACCAATCACCATATCCACGTGATTTTTCCAGCGTGCAACTTCCGTTCCCCGGATAACTTCTCCTCCCATGGCAAGAGTTCTAAGCCCAGGTAGCAAGGCCGGATCAAGTGATTGTGCTACTGAAGGGGTGAAATAAGAGTAGCTGCAGTTCATTCTGTTGAAAGCACCTACAATATCGTTTTTCCGCTCCCATTCTGATGGGATACAAAGACAGCCCCCGCAAATTAATGTTTGCAGATGATTGGACCATGATACATCAAAGCTGTAGGACACAAAGTCGAAGACTCTGGTCCCGCCTTTGATGTGGAGTATATCGGCCTGGTGTATAGCTGCGGATGCAAAGTTACTATGACTCGTGATGACGCCTTTGGGAGTTCCCGTTGATCCGCTAGTAAAGACAACTACAATTGGTTAGCGAGACAAGATTAAAATCATGAATGCAGGTACTCACTGTAAAGGGTATCTGAAGCGCTGATTTTGGGCAAGCAGTCTTGGGCGAGTTTCGATGAGTACTCATCGATATGCTGTTGGCTCACTATTACGCTCGTCGCGGCCGATAGTTGTTTGACTAAGGAGTCATTCTTGGACGATGATAACACAAAAACTGGATCGACTTGACAAATAATTGTCTTGAGGCGTGCTTCAGGCTGAGTCGAGTCAATGGCGATACAGGCAGCACCAGTCTTCATGGCTCCAAGTGCAGCAACAGGATACCACATAGACTTCTCAAAGCACAAAGGAACTCGCGTTCCTGGTTTGGCTCCAAGAGAAATAAGGTACAAAGCCAATATACCAGAGAGCGTATCTAACTCCGAATATGATAGGTTGCCGTCCCAGGCGCAAATTGCAGGCGCATCTGGCTGTTCCTTGACCATCTTGCTAATCAGGTCGGGAATGCACTCGTTGATCGCCTCTGGAACAGGCGAGTTCCACTTCCAGAGTGTCTGAATATCTCGAGGACTTGCCATGCTGATGTCCTGGACGGTCTCAGTATTGGCGACACAAATTTGACGCAAGACATGCTCAAATTGGGACGCGATGAGCTCCATTTGTGAAGTTCCAATAATACCAGAGTCAAAGCTGATTTCTAACTGAAGTCCACCGGCGTTTGAAAGTTGACACATTACCATGACAGCATTGGGGTTGAAATCATCGAGATCGTCGCTTCCAGAAATGGTCTCAAAGTGATGTAAAAATGGACCGTCATCTTGCTGGCCATATCCATCGGGAAAGGGAGGTTGCACGACGAGAAGCGTGTTGAAGCGTGTTCCTCGCTCAGTGTTGGCATCGATCCGGCGAATATCCAAAAGCTCGGTTTGCTCAAAGGCGATCATATCGATCGACTGCTGTTGGATATCATGTAGCAGACTATTGACGCTTTGTTCGGGCTCGAATTTAACACGAACTGGAACAGCATTGACTAGAGGTGCAATCATTCGATCAATTCCTGGTAGCGGCGCCTGTCGCCCAGTGACCATCGCGCCAAAGACCACGTCGTGGGTATCAGTGTATCGTGCAGTCAAAATGGCCCAGGCAGCACGTATTACTGTGAGGAAAGTTAGCCACCGTTGGATTTTCCAATAAATGCCACAATAGATACGTATCGATTGGACCGAGAAATCTTGATCACTTCTATTCACGTCCAACGCAAATTAAAGCAACGGAAAAAGTATAAACTCACAAGTTGATGGTGTCTCATCTCGCTCTGGCCATTCAAGATCAGAGATGTCGTGTTTTACAGTACTATCCGGCTTAGGCTGATAGCCTTGCCCTGGAAGTTCAGGAAAGATAGCAGTGTCAGCGTCGGCAAATTGAGACTGCCAAAATTGCCGGGATTGTTCTTTGCTTATGCTGCCTACATGCTTGACAAAGGCCTGGAAGGGAGCAACAGAACTGTCATCTGCAATCCCTGAATAGATATTGGACACCTCGTTAAGCAGTAGGTTTAGCGAGTACCCGTCATACATGGCATGGTGCTGGGTCAATATGAGACAAACCTCCCCAGAAACATCGTTGACGAACGAGAACCGAGTGAGGCGAGTGCCTAGGCCCATGGGATTGACCGTGTCTTGGCCAAGGAACGTTTCCATGCTATTGTATGCAGCGAACTCAATTTTATCGTTCAAATGAACTTGAACTAAGCCTTCGTCTGGAACATTTACAATTCGATAGCAAATGATCGGGGCAGTAGTTTTGCTTGCAATCTCCCAGGCTTTTTGCAGTCGGTCCAGGTCAAACTGCTTCCTGAGCTTGAGTAGAGGCCTTGCAATATATGAACCTGACGATTTAGCGGTCATTGATAATAACGACTTTTGTACACCAGTGCATGGAAATAAATCCATGATATCGGTTTCTTCCACGTTACACTGTGACGCTGCGTATCGTACAGCCTTGTTCTTGTTCTCCGGACTCTTGAGCAGAGAAAATGGCTTTATCTCCTCGTTTCCAATCTCGTAACTTGAGTGTAAGTTCTCCATGAGGCTGGACATTTTGGAGAGCCTTGGAGCTCTGAGTATATTTTGCACAGTAAGTGAAATGCGGTGGCTCCGAGCCAAAACCGCCAGCCGCATTGCAGAAATAGAGTCTCCTCCAAGACGGAGGAAGCTGCTTTCCGAATGGATTTTGTCCAATGAGACTCCCAGAATACTAACCCACAGTGTGCGGAGTAGCAACTGTGATTCGGTAAGTTCCACGACCGTTGACTGATTGTCTTCTGCACCGCCAAACTGTTCTAGAGTGATATTTTCCCCCAATTCTCGTAGGCGCCTTCGATCCGTTTTTCCACTGACGACCAGTGGAATCTTCTCAACGGGCATGAATGCAGCAGGGACCATATACGAAGGAACAAGCTCGGCTAATTCGTCTTTCAGGTCCTCTATACATTGATAAAATGTCGAATGCTCACTCTGCTTGAGCTCGACAAATACCATCAGTGAAGCTCGTCCCGTGATCTTGGGAACAACAACTTCCGCCGTCGTTTTTGGTGCCACTACAAGTCTCCTGGCTAAGCAATTTCGAGCGTGATACTCGACCTCAGCAAGCTCAATTCGCTGGCCTCGGAGTTTGACTTGAGTGTCCTTTCTACTGACAAAAATCAAGGCACCATCGATAGGATCGTACTTAACGAGGTCACCGGTCCTATACATCCGACCAGCGCGTCCAGCCACACTACCATCTGGAGATCCTCGGAGCAGCCAACTAGGGTCTTCTAGATAGGATGCCTCGGTCCGCTCCTTGTTGTTCAGGTAGCCTATTCCTACCAAAGGACCCTCTAGCCACAACTCTCCAATCGTACCAACCGGGGCCAATCTATCATTGGATTTTGTATCAACTATCCATGTGGAGGCACCTACTCCATAGCCGATGGGTAGTCTATCAGGCACAGTTTTTGGTACACGCCAGAACACGGTGGTAGACGAGCATTCTGACGGCCCGTACATTATCGTGACGGTAGACTGGGGCATCCATCGCGATAAATCCTCTTTGGTCACAGATTCCCCACCAAAGTATATCCTCTCCATAGTTGGGATCTCCTCTGGATTAATCAAGCGAGCAAGAGATGGTGTCGGCCCTATGTGTGTCACTTTGAAGCTTCGGATACTCTCTGTCAGGTTGTTCTTTCTCTCGACGTCGCTCGGGACACACAATGTCGCCCCAGCCGCGAGTGTGTGGAGAATAGTCCAATGTACCGCATCAAACGAATAAGATGAAAAGTCATAAACCCTAGCACGATTGCTGAACCCTAAGAAATCTCGCTGTAGAGTAACTGCACTACTGAAGTTGCGATGTTGTATCAGGCAGCCCTTGGGAGTGCCCGTCGTTCCACTTGTGAAGACAGCGTAAAGATAATCGGATGGGTCCACGAATGGTAAAGCATCTCTAGAATGTTTAAACATCGAGGAAGTGGGTATCAAATCTGCTTGAGCGCTTATTACTAGCACATTATCGACCAAAGTCTTTGCCATTGGCTGGTTCTCAGGAGATGAAACGATGAGATTTGGGTCGAACTGTTGGACGATAGACTCAAGTCGTGAACCAGGCAGAGCCATATCCAAGAATACGACACCAGCTCCAGCTTTGATCACACAGAGAAGAGCGACCAGTGTCAAGACGGACTTATTAAAACACAAAGGAATAATTGTATTTCTCTGGACTCCAAGGTCAATTAGGCGATAGGCAAGGGTAGTGGATGCAAGGTCTAATTGTGCATAGGTGACCTCCCCATCCCAACCAGTAGCTGCCACCGCATCCGGAGAAGACTGGACAACATCGGCAAATATGTGGTGATAACATCTCTCAACCGGCTCTGGATTTTCAGAGTTCCACTTCCATATGATATTCAAGTCCTCGTCTGTCGTAGTATTGATATCGCCGACTCGCGAATCATCCAGTTCTCGATTACAGAGAGTCTTCAATAGTTGGCCGAATTGTCGCCCTAGTAATTGGATAGAATCCTTACTAATGACAGCGGAATCAAACGAGAATTCGATCTTGATCCGGTGATCATCCAAGGAGCAGATGATGGATAGGGCATATGAATTGAACTGATGGTAACGCCGAGCTTGGTCTTCCGCTATGCTGTCAAGCCTCATTGGTTCGAACAAGCTCAAGTCGCCAATTTTCTTCTCCTGGGGTTGAATAACCAACATTGTTTGGAACTGGCAGGCCTGGTGAGCGTCCTCACTAAATCGAGAGATATTGGATAAACCTGTCTGTTCGTGCGGTATCATGTCGGTGGTTTGGCGCTGCACGTCATGGAGATGGGTTATAATCTTGCCTTGGTCATCTACTTTTACCCTGATTGGAACACTCGCAATGGTAGGACCTGCAAGTCTCTCAATCCCACTGACCGCTGCCTTTCGGCCATCAACGACAGTTCCGAACACGACGTCTGACGAGTTTGTGTACTGAGCGCAAAGAATCGCGAAAGCAGTCCGGATAACAGTTGATGGAGTAATGTCGTCTGTTCTCCGTAAGATGTTTTCTACCATGTACACATGAGTGGAATCCGTTTGAGGTTGATAATTGGACGATGGAATCGCCGGAAATTGTGGCGCCTCCAAGTCTTCAAATTGTCGTTTCCAGTATTCAGCGTCGGCTTTCTGGTCTTTCTGTCGGATATATTTAACAAAAGATTGGAAAGGGATCTGCGAAAGAGGCTGTATACCTCGATAGAACCCTTCCAGGAATTCCATAACTAGGGGCACTGTCCACCCGTCATAAATGGAATGATGTAAGGTTAAGGCAAAATACCAAGAATTATCGACAGCAAACAGACTGTATCTCATGAGAGGGACCCCTAGGCCCATAGGATGCTCAATTTCTTTTCCCAGATATTCATCGTAGCTTGCTGCCTCGATCCAAGAATTCTGGCTTCGCAGGACAACCTGAACAAGGCCATGTTCTGGGAGGTCTATAATACAAGTCCGTAAGATGGGAATCATGGATATAACCTTTTCCCAGGCCTTTCTAAAGATGCCCGGATCGGTGGAATGGGCAAGTTTGAGAATGTTCCGACTAACATAATGGTCACTGGTTTTCACAGTTAATGCTAAGAGACCCTCTTGCAAAGGTGTGCAGGGAAGCAAGTCTTCAATATCCCCCTTCTTGATATGGAGAAATTCTGCAGCATCTGCAACGAGGGATACAGTTCCCTGGACCGGACCCAAAAGAGAAAATGGCTCAACACGGTCCTCGTTTTCCATCTTGCTCCTCATCATTTTTGCCATGTCCACGAGCACTGGGTTTTGGAATATCTCAGCAACTGTTAATTGGAGCCCTTGTTGTCGAGCGATACCCACCAATCTCATGGCCTGGATAGAATCACCCGCTCGAAGAAAACTGTCGTTGGTAGAGATATTGTCTGTATCTAATCCCAGAACTGTAGCCCAAAGTCCTCGCAATGTTCTTTCAGCCATAGTAGCGGGTTCTTGCCACTGATCACTTAAGCTAGCACGACGTGGTTCAAATGAAGCTCCTACTTCTCGCAGCCTAGCGTAGTTTCGCTTTCCTGTTGCACTGGTTGGAACAGATGAAATTGCTATGTAGCAGGATGGAATGGCATAGTCTGGTAGAACACCCTTGAGCTTTGCGTTGAGCCCAGCAGTCAGACTATCTGCCTCAGATTGTGAGGCGGCAACGACGAATGCAGCCAGACTAGTGCCAGTTCTGTTCCGGAGTGTGACAGCATCGACGACTATTTCGGTATCTGCACTTTCCAGAGCTTTTCGAATTTCGCACTCTACTTCTATCGGAGAGACAAGCTGCCCACGTATCTTGAGTTGAGCGTCCTGTCTTCCGATAAATACAAGTTTCCCGTTGGAGTCGTATTTTACTAAATCTCCAGTGAGATAAACTTGGCCATGCCTGCCTTGAATTTTGGGCACAAGTCCAGCGGACAAGAAGCCTGGGTTCTCGAAAAATCTCGCCTTTGACAGCGCCTCGTTCCCAATATATCGCACAGCAGAGGTAGGGCCTTCAAGGGCCAATTCACCAACTGCTCCGAATGGGGAAAGTCTATCGGGATTTTTGGGATCAACAATCCAGCAGTAAGTTGGGTCGTTGAGGCTTGAGCAATCTCCAATCACGCCCGTGTACCAATCGCGTTCGTTTGCGGAATGGAAGGTTGCCGCGGAAGACTCAGCCGGGCCATACCAGTTGATGAAGCTGCATTGTTGTCGCCACTTTGTAACATCTTCGCTGGTGAGATTCTCACCGGAGAAAACCATTTTTGTCAGACTGGGTACATCCTTGGGCTCGAGGAGCTTCGCAGTTGATGGTGTAAGATTCATATGATTGGCAGCAAAACGCCTGATAGCTGCAGACAAGTCATCAAGTCTGTCAGACTCAGATGGAATGCAGATGCACCCCCCATGAGCAAGGGTTGCCAGTACTTCAACTGTGCTAACATCAAAATCATATGACGCGAATTGGAAAACTCGAGAACTGGCGTGGATCGCCGTTGAATCAGCGTAACCCTTAATATTGGCTGCCGTGGTGCTGTGGTTCCAGAGAATCTGCTTAGGTTCGCCTGTGCTTCCAGACGATACCAGGATGGCGGCCGGGCTGTTCACTGTAACCACTGGGAAAGTAGTAGCATCAGGTGGTTTCACTATTAGTTCCTCGATACTGAAGCAGCAGGTTTGCCGAGAAATGACATCCCTGAGAGACTCTGAGACTACTACAGCTTGGACCCCGACATTGTTGAATACCTTTTGGATCCGGTGCTCTGGAACAATAGAAGATAGCATCAGCACCACACAGCCGGCCTTCATTACTGCGAGCTGCATGACAGGGGCCCATCTAGTCTTCTCAAGGTATATTGCGACGACTGAACCCTCCATTAGCCCTCGGGTGAGGAAATTTTGGGATACAGTGTTAGACAGCTCTTCAACCTGTTGATAGGTAAATTGGCCATCCCAAGCATCTATTGCGATCGACGCTGGATATCGCTTGACTATAGAAGCGATCATGGGGATCACAGTCTGGCCCGGCTGTTTCGGAGGCTTGGACTTGTTGGCCCAGAAAAGGTCAAGATCAGTTTCGCTGGCTACCTGCAAAGACTCGATTTTAGAGCTAGAGTTCCCTTCATCGCAAAGCTGCCGAATAATCCCTTCAAATTGATGTGCTAAACGGCCCATCTGCTTGCCGTCGATTAAATTGTTGTCGAAACTCAGTCGTAGGTGGAGTCCAAACTTGGTCAGCTCACAGATCAGCATCAGTGCATATGTGTTGAATGGGTCCATTCCCATGGTTGAAAGGCTGGAAGCGTAACTGCGGGCTTTGAAAAGGTCGCTATCATCGTATAACCCCCTTCCTTCGGTCGCAGGCTGAACAACGAGCAAGGTTTGCAGCAGGCGAGCGTCTTGTAGCCCAGTTAAGCGTTGGATATTTTGCAGGCCAAACTGTTCATAGTCAGTTGTTGATACCGTTTGCTTCTGCATGCGTCGAAGAAGAGATTCAACAGATTCGTTGCCATGGATTGAAACGTAAAGAGGTATGGTTGAAATTGTAGGGCCAACGCAATTTTCAACACCTCGTAAGTTTGCCTGTCTGCCACTGACTGTCATGGCAAATATGACATCGCTGGTTGCTGTATGCTGTGCTGCAAGTATTGACCATGCGGACCGGATTATTGTTGAGGGTGTTATCCCATCTCGCGGCCATTGAAGCAAAATGTCATGCTCCAGGTCCTCATTTGCTCGAGGCTCGTAGAGTCGTGTAGGAAGAGACGGGAATTGTCTAGGCTCTACACCTGATAATTGGGCTTTCCAGAAATCCGTCGCCTCGTTCTTATCAATATTGGTCAGATGCTGAATGAAGTTGGCGAAAGGTGTAACAGTCATCCCCTGTTTACCGAAATACTGGCACTCCAATTCATCGAGAATCATTTTCAACGAGCTACCATCATATACACAATGGTGGATCGTAAAAATGAAGTCCCTGTCAACGATGGCTGCCCGACACAGTTCAGTGCCAAGATCCATTGGCATGGTTTCGTCTCCATGAATATAGTCTCCCACATTGCTTCCAGTAAGAATAGGATTTTTGCCAAGTATGACCTGTACCAGTCCCTGCCCTGGAAGATCAACAATTCGAGTTCTCAAAATTGTCAACTTTTCGACAGTCGCTTCCCATGCCACCCTCAGTCTCCCAATGTCTATTGTAGGCTGAAGACCGAAAACACTTCTCGAAATGTATTGACCATGAGTTTTCGCGCCGAGAGCGAGGAGGCCTTGTTGAAGCATTGTGCATGGGTACGCATCGACGATGCGATATTCAGGCACTGAGCAAAGTTGTGCTGCCTGCGTGCGGATATCTGCCGCCGAAATCACTCCCGAAAGGAGTGAAAACGGAACAACACAATGTGTCTTCTCTATTGAATCGTCCACATAGACTGTTCTTTGGGCCATATTCTCTAGCTGGGGCGCCTCGAATATGTCAGCTACGCTGAGACAAAGGCCTCTGGTGCGGGCCAGTGCAACTAACCGCATGGCCGCGATCGAGTCGCCACCAAGCCGAAGGAAATTATCTTTGGCATAGATCGCGTCCTTTTCAATGTTGATGATTTCTGCCCACAGCTTTTGTAAAGTTTGTTCCATCCCAGGAGATGGCCTCCTGGATTCTTCCCGAAGTGGCTGCAGCTCCGCCAGCTGTTGGTGTGTGAGAGCACATCCAAATTCTTGGAGACATCGTCTATCGACTTTCCCAGTATGGGTAAACGGAATCTTTTCAACCGGAAGGTATACTTTAGGAATCATATGAGGAGGCAGTTGCATTTCTAGATATCCTTCCAGTGCATCGACTGGGAGAGAGCGGCGTAAGATATCTCGAGCATTATGATCGCTATCTTGACCAGCGGCGATGAATAGAGCGAGTGTCTCGATGTTGCCTTCACGCGGAGTGAAAATCTCTGCCACGACCCTCACTTCAAGTTTGCCGGAGAGGAACTGCTGAACCTGCCGCTCAATGTCGCTCAAGTCAACTCGTAGGCCTCGCAGCTTTCTTTGAGAGTCGTGTTTCCGGCCGAGGAAGATGATATCTCCCGTTGGGCCGTATTTAACCAGATCACCAGTTTTATACAACCTTCTGTGGTGTTCTAGGGCAGACTCTGGGCCTTTAACCCCGTTCCACTGGGGTGAGAAGAAGGATGAATTGTTCAGTATCTGGCTTTTGGCACCTGTGTAGGTCGCAACGATTGAGCCTTCAATACAAAGCTCCGCAATTGCTCCAATTGGAGCCAAACGATCATGGTTATTTGGATCCACAAGCCAGGTAAGACTATTGTGACTTTTACCAATAGCACCATCTACCCAGCTTTCTTGCGTTACTCGATAGGATGTTGCCACAGACGCCTCTGCCGGGCCGTACCAGTTGTGAACGTACTCAACACCTTTCACCCATCTCATTGCAGTTTTTTGTAGCAGCTTCTCTCCCGCGAAAACAAGGGTCGTTAGGAATGGCAAAGATTCGGGGTTCAGGTTTTCAGAAACGGAGGGTGTCAAGCCCAGCCAGTTAGCTCTTGATTCATGTATAGACTCTGCCAACCGGTTGATTCTATCCAATTCTGACGGAATGCATAGACAGCCACCAGCACTGAGCGTTGAGAGTGTCTCAACGATGCTCACATCAAAGTCATAGCCAGCAAATTGGAACACTCTGCTTGAACCAGTAATCCCAAAAGAGGATGTTGCCTCGTGGATGTTGCTTGATAGTACGCCGTGATTCCATTGAATAGGTTTAGGGACTCCTGTTGACCCAGATGTAAATAGGATGAGGGCCGGATCGGATGCGGTGCGTATTTGTTTTGAGGAGATCTCCCGGTCTTCAACTTCATGAGAAAAAGCCTGTGCTGGGATCGAGAGAGTTGGCACAAGTTCATCGAAAGCGGAAGACTGTGATAAAGCTGATACAAGTACCAATTCGGGTCTTAAACTCTCCGCAATTTCTTGGGCACGTTGTCTCGAACATGTTGCAGAAGTTGGTAGCGCAACGGCTCCGATCCTCATCACTGCAAGCATGCTCGCGACAAACCACGACGACTTCTCGAAATTGAGCACAATTATCGAGCCTTTAGTCACTCCTCGCCTTCTTAAGTCGCTCTCGAGACTCAGCGTCAGCTCTCTCAGTTGCTTGTATGTAACCTGCTGGTCCCAGGATGAAACTGCGACGGCATCTGGATTTGTGTATGCGTGTCCGTCTATCGAATCAACTACATCAATGTCTGGGGTTTCAAGCTGCATTTTGTTCCAGCTCAAGATTTGGCCAAGATCGTTCGTGGTAGGTAAAGAGATGTCTTTTAAGCTCAAACGACCCTGTGATGGAGTACACATTGCTTGAATCAGACTTTGGAACTGCTGAGAGAAACGAACAGCCTCCTGCTCCTTGATCACTCCCGTGTCGTAATTAATTCTGACAGTCATTTTGTCCGAAGAGTCCAAGTGGCAAATAATCATCATCGCATATGAGTTGTAGATGCCCATACTGTCTGCTTTGCTGTCCTTTGATACGAGCATAGGGCCCGACTGTTGTTCCGGGATGATGACAGTCTGCGGTTTTGAGAATATACCCCCTTCTCTTTCACTGGTTCCTTGGACAGCTGCTTGGACTACCAGGAGAACTTGAAATCGACTAGCTTTCTCCATCTCTTTGCTGATCCGCTGGATATTTTGTAAGCCATAGTGCTCGTGGTTTATAATATCCAGGGCCTGGAATTGGAGCTGCTTTTGGAAATCATCTACCGAGATGGACCGATCGAAATGGACTCGAACTGGAATTGTCCCGATCGTCGGCCCAGCGATCTTCTCTATTCCGGAGACAGGAGCTTGTCTACCGCTCACTGTTGCCCCGAATGTGATGTCATCTGAATTGGAGTAGGAAGCAAGCAAGATTGCAAGAGCCGAACGAATCACCGTAGAGGGAGTAATACCAGATGATGGCCACTGTAGCCCTTTGATCAGGAGATCGAGATCCGCCTTGGCATTTGGGGTAAAGTTGATCGGCGGGAATGTGGAGGGTAACGAGCCGCTAAGTTGCTTTGTCCAGAACTCGATCGAATCGGTTACGCTCCTGGTTGCAATATGCTTGATAAAGAGTTGGAAAGGGTAGAGTGGTTGTTGTTCTGTCCCTTCGTATGCTGCTGCTATTGCATCCATAATAAGCACATTACACCAGCGATCAAATAATGCATGGTGTATTTCCGAAAGATAGTAACACTTGTCATCATGCTGTGCGATACCGGCTCGAAATAGTCTGGTGCCCAAGCCCATCGGGGGCGCATCTTTTAGGAACGAGATGATGTCAGGGTATTGTCTCAACGATAAAGCCTCGTCGATTACGACCTGAACCAATCCCTCTCCAGGAACATCAACTATCCTTGTTCGAGTGATTGGGGTTGATGCACCGATAGTAGTCCACGCCGTCTCAAAACGATTCAAGTCGATATTGGACGGTAACTCGAATGCATTTCGTGCTACATAGTCTGCAGCTGGCATACTGGTTGCAGAGTGGTTGGGCTTCTCGTTTTTGGCCGTCATGGCTAGCATCCCTTGCTGAAGGGGGGTGCAGGGGAAAATATCTTCAACAGATGTTACGTCGAGACGACAAAAGCTGGCAACGTGTTCGCGCAGTAGAGCCTCAGCGCTTTTGTTGTTTAACAAAGCAAACGGCTTAACAGTTTCGATGCCAGTGAAATCTCCGCAAGTCACTACCTGTGCTAGATCTCGGAGGATTGGAGTTTTAAACAAGTCTGCAACACTCATCGCTAAATTCCTTTCGCGGGCAGCGGCGACAACGAATATCGCGGCAATGGAATCACCACCGAGTCGAAGGAAGCTATCCGTAGTGCTGATACGAGCTGGGTCCAATTTCAATGCAGTGGCCCAAATCTGGACCAAGTGCTGTTCTATGGTATCAGATGGTGCTGTATATTGCACTGAGGAGAAGATGGTCGCTTGGGCTGCAATAATCTCATCCCATGTTAAAGCGCTAGCCATCTCGCGAAGAAGTCTCATATCCGACTTTCCGGTGGTTGTAATCGGAATCTTTGTTACAGGAAAGTAAATTCTGGGGATCATAAAAGCTGGAATGACTTCCTTCAGTTTCTCAGCAAGCCCGTCCATGGCGTGCTTGATGTTGCCAATATCTTGACCTTCCAGTTCAACGAAGACACTCAACGAACGGTCTTCACTTGCACCGCCGTGAGGGGTGATGACATCCACGATGATCTGAAATCTCCTCGGAAGACAAGCACGAACGTGGTGCTCAACATCACCAATTTCGACTCTCTGACCGCGGATTTTGAGTTGAGAGGCGTCCTTGCGGCCAACGAACAATAAATTTCCATCGGCATTGTACCGAACGAGATCACCAGTCTTATATAACCGGCCATGCCTGCCAGCGTGATGCGTGCTTCCAGAAAGAAGCCAAACTGGATCCGAGACAAAAGCCGCATTTGTCTTCTCCAGATCACCTATATACCCTTGGCCAACCAAGGGTCCCTCGAGGTACAGTTCCCCTACAGATCCGATGGGGGCAAGCTTTTCGCTGTTGTCTAGATCCACAATCCACGTAGAGAACCCAACGCCAGTCCCTATATCAGGACGAGACTCAACCGAAGGCGTAAGAACGGAAAAGGCACATTTAAATGTGCATTCGGTTGGGCCGTAAGTATTCAGCAGCCTCACACGGCCAGCCCACTGCGTTATGTTGTCCGGATATGGCATTTCGCCGCTGAGAAGAACCGTCTCAAGGGACGGTGGGATTGGGCTGATTGTCCTCAATACGGTCGGAGTAACATTGATCAACGACGCCTTGAATGCCGTGATCGAGGACGACAGGTCACTGAGCATATCTTTCTCTGATGGAACGCACAGACAGCCCCCTGAGCAGATAGTGTGGAGGAAATTACTCCATGCAACATCGAAGGAGTAAGGAGCGAAATCGAAAACTCTCAGGCCACGGCGGAAACCTAGCTTTTCGCCTTGGTAGAACACGGCGCTTCTCACATTGGCATGGCTAATGCAGGCACCTTTGGGCTGACCAGTACTTCCGCTACATGTAGAATTAATGATTTAGTCATTCATATGACCTGCAGGATCTGGAGCACAACTCACGAGGTAAAAGATATGTAAACAATATCTGACGAAGAGATGGTGCAAGGCGAATAGACGATTGCCCATTTCGAGAATTTTGGGTTCAGAATCGTGTCGTCAATTTGGATGACTGGAACGTTGGCGAGGGAGGTTGCTCTTCGGTAGTGTTCTGGTGACGAAAGTATGACCTGGGGGTATACTTGCTCAACAATGGAGAGCAATCTCTGATCTGGCTGCGTAGCATCAAGAGCTACCGCGATGCAGCCGACCTTGATAATGGCCAGCATGCTGACAGAGGTCCATCGCGACTTGGAGAAAAGCAGCGGCACGATAGATCTGGGGCTAACGCCATGCTCAAGGATCGTATGGGCAACACAGCTCGCCAAATCCTCCAGCTGGGAGTATGTGAAGTCCCCATCCCACGCACAAACAGCCAAGGCATCTGGCTGGCTGGTGGCTATCTCGCTAACAAGATGGTGCACACAGCTCTGCAGTTGCTCATGTATGGTGGAGTTACGATCCCAGATCTGGTCAATATCGTCAATCGATGTTGAGATGTCGCTTGAGGTCGGCAAGGAGATACAGGACACGCTAGGGGATTCTTCTGTGGAGGTATTCCCTAACGAAGATGATGCGGTTGATTCAGCAGCCATACTTGGGAAGATGACAGGTCCAATCATCGGACGCCTTGCTCTCGATCTGCCCTGAGAATGTTGATGGGGGAGACAACGACCGTACGGCGATGGCAACTGGGTTTTTGAGCCAGCTAGATGCATTATGATGCATCTACCCCGGCAGCAGGGAGCAGCTTTGATGCCTCGTACCCACGTACGTGGTCATGGTTCCCATTTGGCAGCGAGGGGCTTGGCAAGGATCGGGATCTTCTCAGGTAATATTCGTACCGGCTAGTCAAAGCCACGCCACGGAGGTTTCAAGTATCGGATCTCATATGGACGCTTGTAGGACCTGCATGAGAAGCCCGCAAAAGACGTATCTACGGTAGCAATGACGTGCAAGTACCGGTACGACGAATCGATAAATTAAGCGAAGGAGGTCTATAAACAAAGATATCTCGTATTCGGAACGAAAACACCAGAGGCATTCCGAGCTGGAACGAGTAGCCAATGGCCTTGGCTGCTATCGCACTGGCCTAAACTAGAGCAGTCCCAAACGACGAACGAGCTGCATAAGAGGGCATGGCTCAATATCGTGCCTGCACATCACTCAGGCGAGTCTAACCAATTCCCGGGCCGCTTTCAGCTCGCCTGAACATGGCTGGCTGGTGTAAAGCGGCCCGTGCAAGGCCACCCGTTGGCACTTTTGGCTCTGGAATCCCCGCAGAGGCACGGCACGGCGCTTAGGCGACGATCGGCCGTGGTGGGTGTTATGCTTCGTGCACTCGGCCAAGTCTAATAACGCCAAAAAGGCGGCCTCAATGCTTCTGTGTATCCAATGCAGGACCAGGGGGGTCCAGGCCTATCTCCAGATCCATGCCTCATTCGCTGGCGCAGCTCGTCCGCCTTTCCCCCCTTCCCCTGTCCAAGATCCGAGGGTTGCATTGAGATCTGCGGTAACTGCCCCGTTACGTCGTGACTGGCCTTTCAATCACCCTGAGGTGCGTCCCAGCCACTGTCGGTAGATGTGTGAATCCACTCCTGCGCACACAATAGTCTGCCTGTGGCCACATTGGACATATAGTACCCAGGTCTATGTTCCACTTTGGTGCACCTATACGTGTGAAGCCCTAAGATTGTGGTAGGCTAGGAAGCATCCATGGCATTACGTCTGACCACTGCATGTCTCAGTCAGCTTCATATGCCTTCCTTCATTAGTTTGACCAAGACGGCACTTGGCATAAGCGCACATCGCCCATAAAGGGGTATTGGCGTCTGACAATGGAGCTGAACTGACACATCAGTAAATCAGGTCGCCGCCGCCCGCATCAGTACCTAAATCAGGTCCCTGTCCTCTCGCCTGCAGTCGATAGTGAACCAACTGGCAGCTGAATTCCGTTGAGAATCCTTGTGGCTAACCAATCGGACGTCATTAATCACCCATTCCGCCTCTAGAGACGGCAGATCCTTGCCGATAATTGGTTGCTTATCGTCCAGTCCAATAATGTCGAGGATGCGGAAAGACATGCATGCCCATGGCGTGCAAATGGCGGTGGCTAGATATCCCGAGCGGGTGATGTCACTGCTACCAGCCTTCGTTTCTTGCTTTTCTTTTCTTTTGCGTTGAACATCTTCCAGAATGAAGGGTGCAGCCACACGGGGCCGATCCTCTCGCGACGGGAGATTTGAAACCCAGAATTCTCGTATTGTCCCTTGGCTACCTCTTAACTCCGATCAGGTCTACAACTGCTTATTTCTTAACTTCTCAAGCATTGTATCTTACTTTGATGCTTTCTAGAAAGCCTCCATACGACAAGTCAATGATTTGACTAAAACGCCGGATGATTTCAGGCCAGCGATCTAATAACCCCTGATCAAACTACTTCTCGTCATGATTTCCACCACAGTCAGCACAGAACGTGCTGTTGCTTCCATCTTCAACTCAGCTGTCGCTGCTGGAGCAATCGGTGCTGCCTGGGAGGTGGGATTACTCGATGCCGTAAAATCCCAGAAAAGAGTGAATATCGAGCTCTTTGCCAAAGACCGAGATCTAGACCTTGACTCAATGCACGGCCTAGCTACAACTCTAGTTGTCGCTGACATCTTAGAGCGTCAAGATGATGCCCTCATCCCAGGTAGACTGATGGATGAAACATACCGGAATAAGTCCCTCTTTCATTGGCTCTGCCTGGGCTCCGGCGGACTGTTCTCTAGAATGCAGTACGTGCTCCAGAACAAGAATCGACATGGCGAATTCTACGAACGCGATAGTGTTGCTATCGCGTATGCCTGCCATGATATCAATAAAGAGCACTTTGATCATTACTTTTGGGACGCCATGGATGGACTCGACTTCAAAATCAACACCGTGGTTGACCTGGGAAGCGGAAGCGGCCAGAGGCTGATGCAAATCTTGGACAAATATCCCGGCACCTCTGGAATCGGCATTGATATTGCCGGACCAGCCACCGAGGTCGCTGAATCCCATGGCAGAGAGCGAGGCCTGGGCGACCGCTTGTCCTTTGTTGTAGGGGACGCGACAAACTTGAGCTACCAGAAAGAATTTGAGGACGTTAATCTGGTGACCAGCTTTCTCATGGGCCACGACTTCTGGCCCCGCGAGAACTGCATCGCGTCCATGAAGTGTCTGAAGAAAGCTTTCCCTAATGCTCGCCGTCTTCTGCTGGGAGATACCACTCGTGTCTTATTACACCCCGACGAGTCGGAGAATAGCGTGACTGAGGACGATGTGCCCATCTTCACTCTTGGCTTTGAATTTGGTCACGCAATGATGGGCACCTATTTGCCTACGGTAAAAGAGTGGGAGGGTGTTTTTGATCAGGCTGGGTGGCGATGTGTGAAGAAGCACGCGGTTGATTCCTCCTATCCCTCTATCATCTTCGAGTTAGAACACGCTTGATTACATTTATTTGCAAGGTTCGAGATGCTGGTTTCGTAACCCGTCCTGATACGGAGCTTATTGGCGGTTATTAGTTTAAAGCACCTACTGCTGTTGCCATATTAATGTCATGAAACTTATCTCGATTTCCACTTTAACGCACTCTCTATATATTCTGCCGGGAAATTCTATCAAAGCTCCAAGATTTACCACGATATGTAGTGTTCTAGAGACCCGTACCTGTTCGCATACTGAACCTTGGCTTGCCTGTCTCCTGATGCCAGTTGTACTTGAACCGTTCTCACTCTCCTCGCCACATGTATCTCATCTCCCGATAGCACCTCCTTTCCATTTTCTTCAACTTCCACGAGAATCTTGGCCACACGCGCAGCCAAGAAACTATTCCACACACCTTCTTGCATTTGATCAGCCAGCATTATCGCGATGGCCTTGCGGCGCACCAGAGGGTCTCGACAGCGCGCGATCAATTGAAAGAGCACGGGCGTAACACCAATCTCCATGTGCCAGGATGCTTTGTTCGAGTCCCCAGAGTCGGTGTCATCCGTGTCAAGTCCAACCGCAACAGCAGCATACGGAATCATTTCTTCGAAGTCAGCTACGTACTGGTCCCAGAAAAAGTCTTCATCCATGGATTCTGTATCGTGTGACAGCCCAGCGAGATTAAGGCTCAAGTTTCGCTTGTGGAGCTCCAAGAGAGCAATGCCTCGTTTTTCGGCATTGCTAAGACTCTGGGTCGAAAGTCGTGCCACAAGACTGTTGAATGATTGGATCCACTGCTGTATTTGTTCAGCATAGCAGATTCGATCAGATCGCAATTCGGATTGCATGGAACTTCTTATGATGATGTTAAGGAGCGTTTCCCTTGCAGCGACAAGAGTTCTGAAGTTGAAAGAAGAGCCGAAATCGCTGTTGCTCGATCGAGCATGAAAAGCTGTAGACAATTCAGGAGACACGTCGCCAACAAGCTTTTCATAGTCACTGTCAATATCGTTCTTCAGTGTTGGGACATGGTAGAAACATACCATTGATATCTGTACTGCCAAGCGCTTGAAGAACGCTTCGGCCAGGTAAAATGTGCGTTCCACGTCAGTGCCCAACCGAAGCCGAGACGCTTGTGTCCTCCTCAACTGCCACATCATCTCGCATCCGTGCTTAAAGAGGTTAATTGCAGACTTTATTTTGCCACGTAGAATCTGATAGTAACTGTTAAATCACAATCATGAATCAAGAAAGGGGGAGGGGGCTAACCTCAATAGATATAAAAATAAGACAGGAGAGCACCTGTAAATGAGGCTCTGGATGTCTAGACGTTCCATCAGAACAACGGGTGAGTTCTTTAATCGCCATATTGTATTGGGAAAGAGCAAACTCAGAACTCCCGCTGCCTTGTTGGTGGAGATATTCATGATGATACGAAGCCAAGGCGACGAGCCCATGTCGAATAGAGCTCTCAGACTGCGCGAGTTGAAGAGCTCGGGTGTGCCACAAATCGTCAGGGAAAAAGGCCTGGAAGGATGACAAGGTTTTTTCTACGAAAAATTGGAGATACCGGGATTCTCCGCTATTCGGTGCGTTGACGCTGAGACTGGTCCGTGGACTGCTGTAAGCGGGACCTCGGGTTAAGGCTTCAGCTTCATAGCCGTCGCAGCTGCGGCCAGTCGAGGTACCTGTATTGAAAGAAGAACTTAGCCTATATCTCTACGGGAGGTAAATTGGCCTGTAAGAAGAAGAGCTAACACCTAAGACACGCTGGGCGGCCTTCATCGCATTTCACACGTCGAACTGGGCAAGGGAGAAACAGCAATTAGCAGACGCTTGTAACGCAAAGTGAAAGTTGGCGAAGTACTTCTATATCACATCCTTGATTAGCCCTTCTTCTGCAATTGACAGCATCTATAAATATATCGTACTCACTTGCATGTCTTGCAGCCTGATCGGACCTTCGGAGCGCGCACGCGTTGGCGATCTTCCACCCTGACACGTGGCATGGCTACTTCAATTTGAAAGAATAATCAAAAAGAGATGACGTATACAGTATTTCTTCCGCAGTTTGCTGGTGATATGTGCAACTGCTTCAACTGCTTCAACTGCCAATATTGGTCAACTGCATGGCAGGTTGGGGCATCTCATCTCGACCATTTGATTTCAAAATAGTCTCCCACAAGCCAAAATGAGGGTTAATGGATTCAACCGGCAATTGGCTTGCTCGTATGGACATGCCCACCGGACCCACTGCCGCGATCTCACGCCCAAACGCCCGTTTCCATGTCTGGCCAAGCTTGAAATACCAGAGGCGAGAATCTACAGGGGTAGACAAAGGTAGTACGGATGCATATGTCAATGCCAGGTCAGTGCCTAAAATAACCATAAGCAAACAATCTCGAATGGTGTGGGCCGTGTGGAGATGGCCTTACGAGCATGCGAACGGCAGCCTTGCAGTTACATCTTGGGATTGAGATGTCGTAAATTGATGACATCGAATAGGTATATAATCATTGGCAAGATCGCACAAGTTTGGTCCAGATTCAAACCTCACATCCTACATTACCGCTAAATCCACAGCCCTCTCAATCGCACAAGATGCACCCCAACTTGATGACCTCAGCCTTGACGGCGTTTAGCGCCCTTATCATTGGGTCCAACGCTCTTCATACAACAGGAAACGATCAAGTTATCAAGTATGCCATTCACAAAATGCGGGAAACACAAAGCAATACGTCCCATGCTGTTTCCACCGGGGTTGCAAACCAAAATTGGCTCTACACAGTGGAACGTAGGTTCTCCTTTCATTTTAACGCTTCCGACGTTCACAACTAACATGCATTTCAGTGTCGATAGGAACACCTCCTCAGAAAACTCTCGTTCAGTTGGATACAGGCTCAAGCGAAATGTGGGTTAATGCCAACTGCAGCGCCGCTCCAACTGCGCTGAATCAGAAGGCATTATGTGACAAAGTGCCCGTGTACAAAGTCAACGACTCCAGCACGGCGACTGGGCCCTTGGGTTCTAGCCAGATTCAGTACGGGGTAGGCGAACAATTAACGGGTGTAAGGTTCAACTACTATAAAGATACCGTTAATATTAGCGGTAAGCGTTGCAAGTCCGAAACTACACCCTCATCTTACTTATGGCCGCTCAAGGAATCGAGATTAAGGAACAGATTTTCGGTGTTGCTTGGGCTAGTGCCAACGTTCCAATTGGAATCTTGGGCCTCGGACCCGACTTGGATCGGGGTTTTGCTCTCAATGAGTCTCATCCACTTGTTCTCGATACAATGGCCCAATCGAAAGCTATATCAAGCAGAGTCTACAGCGTTGGCCTTGGCGGGGCCGATGAAGCGGAGGGTAAGTGCATTTCTTCTTCTTCTTCCTTTCTTCCTACTGGTGCAATCCGTGCTGACTGATAAATAAGGATCATTAATATTTGGAGGCATCGACAAGGGGAGATACACCGGTTCGCTAGAAAAGCTTCCCATTGTGAAAAGCAGGGGGGGCAAATCCAGGCAAGTACCCCAAGCTCAGCTTCCAATTCCTCTACAGTCCAAAGAAACTAACCGCCTGATCAGACTCACTGTCGATCTTGCTGCATTGAGTATACACGGAAAAGGCAAATCCCGCGAGTATGACATTTCTAATCAAACCAACGTTTTGCTTGACACCGGTTACACAATGTCAAAGTTGAACCAAAAGCTAGCCGAGCAAATCTACACAGACATCGGGGCAAAACTAGATGAGAGCCTCGGGTATTATGTGGTGGATTGTTCTGTCCGAGATGTCGATGGGGGCCTTGATTTCAAGTTTGGTAACAAAACAATCACGGTCCCATTTCATGAATTCATTTTCACGGCAGAGGGCATCTGTGCTGCCGGATTGGAACCAGTAGAGGACGATCAGCAGCAAGTATTGGGCCTAAGTTTCCTGAGAGCTGCATACGGTGAGAAAGATCCTGAGTATCTTTACTCAAAACACCAGCTAACTTAATCTGCAGTGATTTTTGACTGGGACAATGAGAATGCTCATCTAGCACAGTCGGCAAATTGTACCTCGGAGATCGTGCCAGCTACAACCGGGCCAGATGCCGTCCCATCCGTGGTAGGAAATTGCGAAGCGAGTTTATCAACCTCGAACCTTTCTTCCGCGGCGACGAGACTAGAAAAAGTGTCTATGCTCATGTTTATACTAACGATGGCGGTTCTGGTGTGATTTCTATGGCTGGTTCAAGTCTATAAATCGAACGCTAGATTCGCCAAGGTTTTATTTAAAGGGAACAGGGGAGAGCAAGGGTTTAAATAATTTATATATCAAACTAGCGAAGATCCTCGTTGCTTGATAATTTATTATGTTTACAGTTTTTCTCGCTTCTATACGGCAAAGAGGTGTCACCTACCTAAGCTCAGCGGGGTGCTATCAATTAACTAGTTAGACAGCGGTGATGTTCGAAAACAATTGTAACTCAGATCGGTACAATCCGTCCAAATCAGAGATTCCCAATGCTTGAGTTGAAGGCACAGTATACCCAATTTTGGAATAGGTTGAGCATAATTAGATCCCTTCTCGCACAGCCCTCCACTTATAATTCGCTTCAGCTTTTCGCAGGTAAAAAATCATTCATAAATCGTTGAAATATCTAATTATCATACCCAGTATGCGGGGGCCCTTGATCTACCTCTGTCATCGTAACGACGTTCGGCTCGGGGCACAAAGAGGTCATACACTGCGCGCCAAAGATGATCGACAACTCTTTCGGCCATATTTGGCTCGGGTCGGTCTTTTCTTTGCGCAGAACGATCAGTGTCATAAGCCGAGTTATCATTCCCCCTCTGTCGACGATGGCCACTAATGGGTTCCTCTCGAGAACTGCTGTGACGCTGTCTTCTCCCAGGGACAGCCGATTCTGGGTCTCGAGTCCGGTGTGATCTCCTCTCCACATTCTTCACCCCCTTTTCGCTCTGATCCGAACGCTCATTGGTCGGTGCAGGCGATACTGGTATATGTGTCAAGATCAGGCAGCCAAAGTAGCATATTAAAATAATTGGCAACTGCAATGGTGAGTTGATAAAGCTTGAGAGCATGGATGGGTTCAGCTTGATGGTGGCTACGAGGCTGAGGCCAGTTCCGGTAGTGAAAACAATGGCTGCACGGAGCATGTCAAACTGCGACCAACCCTTCCTTTTGGCCAGAATATGCAAGATCATCAATAGCATGAGAACAATCCCAGCGCTGACGAATAAGTACGCAAACTGCAGAGCCAAGTCAGTAAATAACTTATATCTTCATGTATTGATTAAAGGCAAACTTACAATAGTATGAAGACGGACTAATGTAGAATTGACAGCAGCAAGTTCTGCACTCTTCCCGTCCGTCGTGCCAGAGTCTTTCTTGTCTTCAGAGGAGAGGCCAAATGCCGTGCTAACAGAGTTCATGGTGGTTCTTGACACACCAAGGTAACTATCAACCCAGGTTCGGTAATTAGGGTCACTGGTATTCTTCATCCCCTGGTCCCAGAAACTACTCGGCAACCCGTTGATGTCGTCAAAGGCGGTGTCGAGGTCTTGGGAATTCTTGCTTCCATCCTCGGGGTCTGATCCATACTTCTTCATGATCGAATAAGCTGTGTCCTTCAGTGCTTCGGCTACCTTGGACGAACGAGTGGAATCACTGTCGGCAATGTTGTCGTTCACGCTGGCCTCAAGTTTTGCTTCCACTTCACGATAGGACTCGATGGCTCGCCACCATACGGCCCATTGACTACTGCCTTCGGATAACAGCACAAGAACTGCGTGGAAAGGAAGGTGAATCAGTGTCCAGGCGGCGTGTCTCCAGGGCGTCATGTGCGGATGGTGATGCCCCTGAGGCATCCAGTCGAAGTAGAGCTGGTATGTAATGTAAATGATTGCTCCAGCCGAGAAGAGCGTGCCAACCAGTGCGGGGGCTGGTATGAGGTCAGTTTTGCGATTATTCAGGATGAAGGAGTTTGTAATATCCGATGTACTTACACCAGTAAGTAGAAATACCCTTGAGATAGGTATACTCTACAATCTTGGCTGCATTTTTTGCTAGAATGATAATGCCTGTTTGAAACGTCAGCCATGCACACAGGTCACGAAAGAAAGAAGCATAATCCGTACCTTCTCCAAGTACAATTAATGTCAAGAGGTTCAGGCGCTCATTGAAGTGGGTGCCTTCAAAGCTGAGAGTCTTGGAGAGCGTAGCATGAAGAATTCCACCCAGTAGCTCGAGTAGACCCACGACATACCAAACGATGATGACGTGTCGATTATTGCTCGTATCCGAAACAATGCCCACTACCAGGTAGGCAATTGCAGGAATGAATGTAAGAGTAGCCGCGACAACAAGAGCCCTGCGACCTCTCTTGTTATGGCGCACCCCATACAATATAAGGCAGTACTGTGCGGTGAGCACCAATCTCGACAGCACGAGAAAGAGAGCTAAACATGTTAACAGGGTCCGGGAGAAAAATAAGACGAGTTCTCAATCACATACACAGCGCCTTGATAATGGACCTAATAAGTTCTTTCCGATCAAAAGCAGCTCCAGCAATAGCGAACCCGATCATGACGGTAAGGTGGCATGCGCGGGCAAGACGTGGAAGTATCCCATCATGGATGAATCGAGCATCAAAGGTTGTCGTAATGAACCAAGTGTTCCATAACAGCCTAGCGAGACGGTCAGCCAATTCCAGCATCGCTGCCCAGGTACGTCAGATAGCGACTCACAAGAAGTAGCCGACAAACGACACCAGTGCGTCCACTTCGGTGATTGGATGCACGGTCGCAAAGACGGTGAGGTTGGCAACGAACCACAAATCATAGAAGAGCTGCGAGCAAAAGGATTTTGTCAGTCACCAGGTTTCGGCGTCTGGATATGAGTAGTTGAATACAATACCTCAGACGTTGTTGCCGATTCTCTCTGTGTCGATATTAGCAAATCCGACCTCTAGTTCAGACGCAGATTGTAACATACTCTGTCAAATTGAATCAAGGACCCTTCCTCGTCTTCTGCAAAATCATATTCGGCAGGGCGTCGGCGACGATTTCTTTCCCGCTGGCCGTGGCCGCCATTCGCGTCATCGCGTTCCCACAGTGGGCTTCGGTTCAGGCTGTGGCTAGATTCAGGTGGTGTTGATGATGAGCGTCCGCCGTTGTGGCGGTGGGATGCTGACATGATCAGCAAGTCAAACTCAATGACGGGTAATTAATGATAAATGGAATTAAAACCAAGCCGCCAAGAGAGAGATCGCTGTGGAGCGAGGACGGCACATATGCAGCTCTCGAGAATAAGTACGATCAGAGGCGTCCAAGCTCAGGGCTGGCAATCGCATCAGGCACGAGCAGAGACATGCATACAAGCCAGACGCATCCCAACGGGCACGGCAAGCCGGCACCTCAGGCGGTCAAACAACAAGCCCTCGGTGTCCGTCAGGTCATCATTCACAGTGCCCAACCTCGTTTCCAGGGGTGCAGCCCTGGCGCGTGTTGGACAGCACAGGGCATCCAGGTGCCATAATACAGGTGGCGCTCTCCATTTTACAGCCTGAGATCGTGTTGCATAACGCGCCACGCTGCCAGCATTCCTGGGCGAACAAGTGTTTGTTTCACGCCCTGCTCCGTGGCACGGTCCCAGCCACCTGTTCTCCTGAGAGAGTTCCACTGTGGCTCTACGACAGCGTCATATACCAAATACTGACAAAATAAGCACACGGAGCCTCCAGGGTTTAATCTGTATTCCTTGCCATTTGCCATGGCCAAACATTATTAAATGGCTGAGTGCCCCCTTGGTAATATCAATGGCAATGACAGCGCCCTCGGTGCCATTTATTTTTGAAAGGTGCCTTAGGTAATCGCGGATGAGTAACCCAGCTGAAACAGACCAGGTTGTGTGCTCATTACATAAGCAGTGTCAAAAAAAGAAAAGAAAAAGGAGAGAGTGAGAGAAGGGAGAGACGTGGAGAGAGGGAGAGAGTTGGCTACCCTACACCCAGCACCATCCCGCCCAAGTCTCGCCCCAAGCAGCGCGTCGAACGAGTCAGGCATTGTTAAATGCCATTTAAAATGCCTCTAATTCGTACAGATAACAAATGGCTTGATTCAAGAAACGATCTGCTAATTCTTTTGCAAAAACTTCTTATCTCTCGAGGAGCGATACCATGGTTCTGCGGATGGGGCCAGAATGTCACTGAATGTTACCATTCCTTGGTGATCATTTAGCCTGTGTCCAATTCTCACCTTTAATTAGTGCATCAGAGTCTTCTCCTGCGTCCAAGCTTCAGATGGCTTCCATTACTGATTCCAACAGCTAATGGCCCGGGCTATTCGACCTTATTTATCAATGGCCTCAGTGCTACGACTGTCACTGACGGGTCTCGGTGGTCAATTCTTGGCCCGAAACATACCTCTGAACTAAAGCCATCGGGGCAATTGCTTCGTGGGGCCTAGTGACATTATCTTATGCTACCACCTCCCCTTAGTCATCGAATCATGTCCCTTAGCAAGACTCACCCTCATTGGCTGTGGGCTTGTTTGGCCGCTATCAGACCCTCCGGACGTCGTATCTCAAGGCCCCGTAGTGCGGCAAATACAGGGACCGACAACGGCCGGCAGTTATCGTGAGATTGAGATTGGATTTGGAACGCTCATTGGAGGAGCGTTGACACAGACTCCATGGACCTGGCTCAGTTCTCGAACCTGTCGTAACCCCCGTGGGGAAGCACTGATAAGCAAGCGAGGACGAGGATCTGGCGAATCAGATGAGCGTTTGTGTATGATGTGCAGTATCAGTTTTGACAGCGTAGGTACTAATATATAGCACCGTCGGTCTGTCCGGCGTTGTTCCATCTCAATGAATTGCCATACCGAATTAATTGAAGAAAATCGACATCATGATTGATTGGAAGGCTCTGCTTTCGCCGGCCCCATCGCTGGATGTGCCTGGCTTGGAGACGGTCGATCTCACCGACAAGGCGATGGAGAAGCGTATTGTCCGCAAGCAAGATTTGCGCATTCTCCCTTGGATCTGTGTGACATACCTTCTGAGTGAGTATAGTCCCTGCGATAATCTGGACAAAGCCCGCAGTGTATTGACAATTTACTTAGACTACCTCGACCGAGTCAACCTTGGCAACGCCCGCACCCTCAACAATGACACTCCCGAGGACAACATCGTGACGGCACTCAACCTTACTGGCCAGCGATACAATGTTGCCGTCGCTCTTTTCTTCGTGCCCTATGTTCTGATGGAGTTCCCTTCCAACATCATGCTCAAATACTTCTCGCCCAGCAAATGGATCTCCCGTATCATGGTCTCCTGGGGCATCATCACAGTCTGCACTGCAGCCGTGACAACATATGGTGGCCTGCTTGCTGTCAGAATCTGTCTCGGACTGGCCGAGGCCGGTTTCTTCCCGGGTATCATGATGTACCTCTGTTTCTGGTACAAGCCCGAGGAGCGGGCCACGCGTATGGCCATCTTCGCCTCTTCCATCGCAGTCGCGGGTGCTTTCGGCGGCTTGCTGGCCACCGGCATCTCATTCCTCAATGGAAAATCTGGACTGGCCGGATGGCAGTGGCTGTTCGTCCTCGAAGGAATCCCCGCCGTCATTGTCGGAGTGATGGTCTGGTTCATGCTGCCCGACTACCCCCAAACAGCTTCCTGGCTGACGGCCGAGGAGCGAGCTTTTGCGGTCAAACGCCTTGGCCCCTATGCGCCATCCATGACCGACAAGCATTGGGACAGCAAGGTTGCCAAGAAGACTCTTAGCGATCCATTCTTCTGGCTGTTCGCTGCTCAGTACTTCCTCATGACAAACTCCCTAAATGCGTTTGGCTACTTTGCCCCTACCATTGTTGCATCGTTGGGATTCAAAGGCTACGACGCGCAGCTTCTCACTGTGCCTCCCAACGTTTTCGCCATGATCATCATCGTTGGCGTCTGTCTTCACAGCGACAAAACCAAGGAGAGATCGAGGCACGTCATTGGAGGGCTCATTTTTGTCTCTGTTGGATATCTGCTCCTGGCTGTTGTGAAGCACTGGGGTGTCAGGTACTTTGCAGTCTGCATTATCGCTTGCACCAACGCAGCCGTCCTTCCGTTTGTCGCCGTATGTTACTACCCCCTGCCCCTACAACATATTTGGATGTATGCTAACTTGAACAGCACCGTACTGCTACCGTGCAAGGATCCGTGGCAACTGCTCTCGCAACGGGTGGTATGATCTCCATCGCCAACTGCGGCGGCATATCTGCCCCTTTCCTCTTCCCAAGTGACCAGGGACCCATGTACAGCATGGGCAATTGGACCGTCTTCTCATTCCTTATTGCTGCTGCCGCTATGACATGCTACACGTGGTACGTGTTTGGTAGTCACTCCGGGTACAGGACTGGGGGTAAGGACGAGAACGGAAACATGGAAGTCCTGGACGCAGAAGGATATGACCAAGATGAAATGATGAACAAGGCCCTTGGAATTAAAAAGGCAGATGATGATGCTGTATGATGAACTATCGAGGGAAGACTGCAAAAATACTTGATGAGAAGTGGTCACAAAAAGTGTCGCCATAGACAGTGCTTTATTCAATTTTAAAACTTTGATATCCAAGATTCTGTATCAAAAGTAGCCAGACTTCTCATGAGACCGATACTGACCCACGTATTGCCACACAGAGACAGTAAAGCGCACCAGTTGGGACAAAGAATTCAAGTTTTAAATGAGCGTGAAATAGAATCAAACTAAGGACAGTGTGAAGAGGGTAAAAGTTTCCAGATGTTACCCTCTCTGTACCCTCCGCCTCCTCGATTCCCTTTCCTCCTCGAGAGCCCCATATTTATTGACAATAGCACCTTAGAATCACCGCCAGTCAGAGCTTGAATTGTTTAGGAGGCTCTGATACGGCGTGCGAGGAATCGTGGGGCTGCCAAGGCGGCGTCGTCCCCATAGAGGAAATGCGCTGGGAGGATGAACAAGGTACCATAGCACACAGCATCAGCAAGTTCACAGTAGACAGCGGTTTGGTCCTTCGGATAGTTCTTGATCCTCCCCAAATTTTGGAGATTTTTGGTGTACCCAAACAGCGCAGCTCCAGCAACTCGGTTTTGAACAGCCGCCGTGAGTTCAGAGATGGCAACGCCCACAACAGCTGTCCCTTGGCTGTGGTGATAATTAGCATGTGGCTGAGTCTGTGTACAGATATCTAGATGAACTTACCTGTAACCAGCTGCTACAACTGGAGTATTGGGACACTTGGAGTAGGCGAGTCCGAAAAGCCTCTTTGCCTCATTTATGGATGCCCGGTTTGTCCCATCAGGAAGGAAATTCGAAGCCAGGTCTGCACTATACGGACCACCCACACCTTGGATCCATATGTTGCTAAATTCTCTCTCAAGCGCACTTGCCAAGATCGGACCGGCAGTGGCTCCCTAAACATATTGTTAGAAGAGATGCGTGACCGCTGATCGAGTGGGGGAGGATATTTACCATGTTACCAGGCTCGGTTGAGCCACGTGCGAAGATGAGAATTGCTTCTGGGCAGCGGGAGGAGGAACCTGATTCTAGGTCGTTGCGACTCGCCAGCTGCCGGTCCTCAAGATGGATTTCCTGGCGGGTTGCAACTGCAATTTTGTCAACATTGGTGTTAACAGGTTGAGCATTGATAAAGGCAACAGCCAGTGTAAGGATGAAGGTGAATGACTTCATGATGGGATCAATCTGTTCAAATTGAGGAGTGAAAGTATTGGATGAATTGCTAGTTATTGATTTGGTTCTGTGATGTGTTGAGGTCTGAATATCATCCTTTCTAGCGAGGACCTCTCCAGGTTTTATAGTTGGTCTTCAACTCGATCGTACTCTAGGAATTAGGTGTACGCTATCTGTTGGCATAATCCCATCATCCGACTTTTCAGCTTCATGACACGAGGAATATTGCCAAGACTGAAAGGCTTCTGATTGATTTATTGATCTAATCCTATTCTAGTGGAGGACGCGAAAAAAACTGAGCCATTCATTCCCCGTGATGCATTCTAAACTTGAAGCCATCGCCAGGCAAGTAGAAGGGTGCCCCCCTAGGTTGCAGCGGGGAAAACCTTAAATTCGCAAGAGTGTATCGCAAATGGAAGTCCGGGATCTCTCTTAAGGCCATATTAAGCCAAAATAGCGAATCAAACGTTCATGGTGCAGCATTTTACAAGAGTACCATGTGGTAGAAGAATGCGGGGTGCGTTAGCAGTGTGACGCTATCCTGGACTCACAGACCTGCCTCGGCATTTTGGACTTGGCAGGTATTAATTGTGAGATGAACTAGATTGGATCTGGTAATAATGTGGAAGATGTTGCGTTGTGCCTCGGTTTAAATGTTCATGATGAAACTTCAATCGTGGGGAAATGGGATAGGACAGCAATCGTGTTTGCATTAGGATATACTCACCTGATGTGACGGCTTGGAAAGCAGCTCTGTCCGGTGGAAGCCTCCAGCTAGAGATCTAGACGGAGAAAAGGTACCCAAATTCTCGCATTATATAAACGAGCCTGGTGGAAAACAACCCCTTTCTACCGACTATTACCGCGTGGCATAAAGCACAGGCAACGTCTTTTGTCTTGATTCTTTGAATTGAGCTACTTTCGTGCCTTTGTGATTTTCCCAAGTGAGTCTTTATCGACTATTCATTTGTACTGATCCATCCATTCCAATTCTCTCATATATAGCCTCTTACAAGCACGGCTGGAGCAGATTTCTCGACAGTCATTGATATGAATGTCGAAGAAGGAGGGTGACGCTGTGCAGGGTTGATCCCTTCAAATGGGGTCAAGGAGACGCTTTCGTGGAATTTCTTTGGGATTTAAAGTTACGGTAACCAGTCAAAGAATCTATAACCCCAACGTCGATCTAATTTGGAGAGAGATCCTAGAATGACGAGGAAGGGGAAGCTCTGCCGAAGGTTTCATGAGGATGATTGGCGGCAGAGGCAAACAATGGCTTGGTGGCCCAATCAGAAGTTCTGAATGCTCCCTGTAACCAACTGAGAGGGGATGGACAAAGGCCGCGGAGAACGAGCAAAATGAATGTACGCTTGTCCGCTTTGTGTCGGTGACGAAACCATGCACACCCTGGCTTCTCGCTCTGCAGGGCGTAGTGGTGTAGAGACAAGCGTACCAATACGAGCACTTCATTTTGGGCCAATATCTCGCGCCAAGCCTCTTGGGTTGCAAGAAGGATGAAAATACTGGACAGATGGGACCAGTGACAGTTCGCGTTGACAGGGCCCCTGGCCTGACCAGTACACGTTCTTGGCCACCGGGAGCAGATTGACCGAGAACCCCATCTCAGCTAAGATTTATTGGTTGGCTAGGCTCAAGAGAGGGTCAGCTCGGGTAGCATTGAAGCGATCACCGCCGTGTTGGAGGCCCAGACCGTTCATGGACCAGGGGCGGAGTGACCTGGGGAAACAAACTTCTGGCCCATGGGGTAAATGCGGGGCCTCCAACTTTATCTCCTGGATGCTCCCTCGGGGTAATGCTGGTCGACTGGCCGTCTCTGATTGATGGAGAATCGAGCAGCAGGCAGATTAGGCCAACCGAAGCGGTCTCGTGTCTCCACTGGACTAGTATCTCGCATATTTCAACCGGATTCTGGGGTCCTGGGTGGGATGAGGTCGCAACGGAGCTCGCGTATTTAACAGCGCATACTCCCCTTTGCTGTCCATTCTCCATCTCCTCACGGCACCGAGCGAAACCAGGACCGAAAGTAACCCCATCATGGCTGTTTCGGACACCAAAGCTGAGCGAGGCGAGAAGCCCACCGTCGAACACAACGACACCGGCGTCTGGGGCACGCAGGCGGAGCTCATTGAGGCCGCCCACGCAACCTCGGACGAGGAAGCCACCCTCCCTCGCAAGGAGCTCTTCTCCCGCTACCTTCCAGCCACGATTTTCAGCGCGTTGCTTAGTCTCGCCCTTGTTATGGAGGGTATGGATGTCGGCCTGATCAACAACTTCTTCGCGCACAAGGCCTATCTGGCCAGATTTGGATGGCCCGATGCCAATGGCAAGCAACATGTCTCCACCTCCTGGCAGGCGGCTATTGGAAACGGCAACAATCTTGGAAGCATCATTGGTCTACTCCTCAATGGGTATCTACAATCACGTTATGGATCGCGTCGAGTGTACATGGCCGCCATGGCCCTCATGACATGCACAATCTTCTGCCTGTTCTTTGCTGTCAACGTCCAGATGCTGTTTGCCGCCAATATCCTGTGTGGCATTCCCTGGGGTGTCTTTCAAACTCTGACGACGGCATACGCCGCCGAGATCTGCCCGGCTGCTATGCGAGGATACCTCACCGCATGGGTTTCGATGTGCTGGGGCTGTGGCTCCTTCTTGGCCGCCGGCGTGCTTCGTGGCTCGCTCAACCTCCAAGGTGACGCTGGATGGAAGGTTCCGTACGCGCTGCAGTGGATCTGGGTCGTGCCTCTCTTCACAGTTGCGTATTTCGCCCCTGAATCGCCCTGGTATCTCGTCCGCCGCGGCAAGTATGACGAGGCAGAAAAGTCTCTTCGCCGTCTCGCGCGCAAGGGGCACTACACGGAGCAGACCATGGCCCAGACATTGGCACTCATGAAGCACACGAACGAGATGGAGAAGATCAATGCGGAGAACTCAAGCTACGCAGACTGCTTCCGCGGTACCAATCTTCGTCGTACTGGGATCGTGTGCATGGCTTGGATCATCCAGATCCTCAACGGTCAATCTATTGCTGCGTATGCTGCAATCTTCTTACAATCAGCTGGCATGCCCCTGGTCCAATCTTTCAACTTCAACATGGCCATCCAGTCCGTCAATATCGTTGGCACAGCCATCGCAATCGCGCTCATGGGTCGTGTTGGTCGTCGTATCTTCTTCTTCTGGGGCTCATCCATCATTGGAGGGCTTATGCTGATTATTGGCATCCTTGGCCTTGTCGCGAGCGGCAGCGGCGTCTACATTGCAGTCGCTGCTATCATGATCCTCGTTAACCTGACCTTCAAGGTCTCCCTTGGGCCCACAACATATGTGATTGTCGGCGAGACCTCTTCCAATCGTGTCCGCGCCCAGACAATCGTCATCGGACGGGCCATGTACGTGGTTGGCCAGATCGTTGTCCAGCAGCTCAACCCGCGCATGCTCGGCTCTAGCAGCGACGCCTGGAACTGGGGCGCCAAGGCTGGATGGTTTTGGTTCGGTCTCTGCTGCATCTGGGCAGTCTGGATCTTCTTCTTCCTGCCCGAGACCAAAAACCGAAGCTTTGCTGATTTGGACTATCTGTTCCAAAAGAAGACGCCGGCTCGCAAGTTCGCTACTACTCCCATCGATTGTAAGTTTCTCCTCTTACTCATGGTAGATTGGTTGCATTGCTAACTGAACCATTGTAGTGTTTGAAATAATTCACGCCGACACGAGCCACAAGTTGGAGGACAACCAAGACGATGCACAACACGTGAACGAGGTTCAGGACGAGAAGCGCTCATAGATTTTGTCGGTCGGAATTTTGGATAATACAGAGAAGGAGTCAACACGCTGCTCAATTCTCTCCACGATTTTACATACACTATGAGGTTCATCTTTTTCACAGCTGTAATCTCTAATAAACCTGAACATATATATGAATAAATGAAGTCTCTTCGACTATATATAAACGTGTCTTACAGCTTGTATTAACTGCATCTTAGATCTCAATGAGACTAGGTTGCAATAAATATGACGTTGGCTCATCTGTTAATCTTAGTATATAAGAAAGTTCGTCTTTATATCATAGTATTCTGGAAAGAAGATGACAGAGATAAAAAAGACCGATAAAATTTCTGGACTTGGATGAAACTAGGCCATTTCTCTATAGGCAGGCGTGCCCTAACTTAATATAGAGAGGATTTTTCAAATAGCCATAAGTTGGTCAAAAGATGACCGAAAACCAAAACATTCTGTGTGTAGCCCTGCGAGACATGAATAGACAAAGGAAAAGAAAGGATCATCCAAACATCTGATGGCCATCCATACCACTTTCAACTACCAGATGGAGCGTCCTACCTATTTATCCCAGCGACTATTCTAATGACGCGGTTCTTCCTGGTTTCGAATCTCGCACGAAGAGACTTCGGGTATTCATAAACTAACGCATTTCTCACTTTCGCGCCTTGGTTGGCTTTCTACCCCTTTTCTTGGTCCATGTACAAATCCCCTCAATATGAGATATATGTTCGCTTTTGTCGTCCGTACTGTGACTGCATGGGCAGTAGTACGCAGTGCAGACTGAGTCGTTCAAGCATCTTCGGACGTGACGTTGATGGTTCTGCTTCCGAGGACAGAGTTTCCCGCACCTGCACTTGAATTGGGATGACTCGCTTTTCAAATGCTGTTCCTGCATGTGTCTATCTCGATCGCCCTTTTTCCTGAACTTGGCTGCGCATTCTCTAAAGGTACAGGAATGGTCAGGAGGGTTGTGCTTCTCGGTTTCGTGCTGCCTAAGTGAAGGACCAAGGTTAGCTCTTTGGCTTTACTAAGGGAAGATGTATACTTGCCTTAGTCTTACCCGAGAAAGGAAACAACTCGGGCAGACATTGCAGCGATACTGCTTAGTTGGAGGCAGAAGCACATGCTGTTGGCTTGACGCTCGATCATCTGAGTATGCAGGTGGTGACACTGTTGGTATGCTTGAGGTTGTATCTGTGACATCGCTTCCTGTCGGGTCCTCGAAAACAGAACCAGGGGAACAGAGGGGCGTCGTCGAGGTTTGAGGGGCTTGAGGGATGTTTGCCGGATTGGCGTTGCTAGTAGAGAGAGAGTAAGAATTGCTAAAAGAACCCAAGTCATCACTATTCAATGCGGAGGCAGAAAAATCAGAAGCAACACCCAGTTCAGCACTTGGAGTGCCCTGAACCAGGAGCGCTGGGTTGATGCAACCCAGAGAACCATCCAGATTTCCATGGAATGGTCCCGGTTCGGTTCTCACTGTGGAACTGGGGCTCAAGATATTCCATCTCGACACATCTGAATACCAGCGACTTGTGAAATCGGTATTGTCGTCGAGTAGGAAGAAGCCCCAATTGGAGTCTTCTGTGGGAGGGGTGAAGCCTCTTTCCGTTACGTGATGATCATGGTGGTTTCGCTGAATGGTAAATGTGCGGAAACGTAGTTCCGCACTTTACTCAATCTTTCGAAGGATCCGTTAGGAATTGAAGCGGCGGCAGCAACCTGGTGGGAAAATACCATAAAAAGTGTGAGTTACCTCGACGAATATGTAACGCGACTGATATATAGGGGCTGAACAAGGCATTGCTACTCACCCCCGGGGATTAGGTGGTTGATGAAGAGCTAGTTAAGATGGAACGGGGAGCGAACACCGCTTCGAGCTTGAGCCCGAGATGTGTTGGAGGGAGGAAAAAGAAGTCATCAACACGGGCGGGGAAATTGCTGCATTAATGGATGCTGCACGTGTGTGTCGGTCTGCAGCCTGCAAAGCTCATCATTCGTTGGCTCAGTTTTGTATTGTGCATGTCATTTTCTTACCTGGCACAGCCACAAAAGTACTTCCAGATACTTAATTGAGGCGCATTGCCGCCCAACTGGAAGCTGAATGGCTTTTCTTTCCTTCAATTATTATGGGGGCACTGCTCTGGCGACGTGAGGCGAAATTCAACATGATGGGCAACTTCCTATGATCAGTTTTTGCCGAGGAGGCGATTACTCGTGGCCAATTATTTTTTCGTATTCATGAGAAAGTATTGAAGCAGGACGTTGAGGCGAAATATGGCCCTTAGAGAAATGACTAATCCAGCCTGTACGACATCCTGTTAAATGATATGGATGTTGTTGTGCATGGAATAACGTTGAGGCGAAATATGGCAATGAAGCTGAAGTTTGGTCTCAGAAGCATAATACCAGTCTTTCTCGCCCGAGACCTGAGGCGAATTCTGGTAACGGAATATCAGTATATTGACTTAGCTTTCTGGATATAAAATGGCATTGATCACGCTGGTAGTAATATCTTTTGACTACAATAATACTCGCAGCAACAGAAAAACGAATCCCTTGGCCTCGAGTATATTGTCACCAGACTGTTCATTCAATCGCCCTTTGCAAGCATGCCTGCCGACCAGAAGCAAACATCTGGCGAGTACAAGAAGCCAATTCAGTCAATAGTAAGACCATACCATGGTCCCCTCGATTAAACTTATATGCTGATTTTGGATTAGATTGCCGCGCCAGGTTCTATAAGCTCTGCCGACCCGGCCACGCGATTAGATGAAACATCTGCTATGAAAGCAAATGAGTCTCAGCCATTGGCACTTTTCAATTGGGTCCAGTCTCCCCAGAAAGATGACCCATGGAATGCCCTCCACCTTTCAATGGCCTCTAGTAAAGAAGGCGACGGCAAATAGTACTAGGAGTTATGTACCATGGTGAAGTTAGGTAGATGAGCAATTAGCAATAGCGAGTGCTCTGTTCGAACCTGCTCTCATTCCACAAAGCATCTAAGTCTTAAATACAAAGAATCTTCATTCCTCTCTAAAAGGTGCCAACTGCAAGTCTTCATGCCGCGATGATATGTAACTGTATATCAGGTAAGCCTGAAATGTCAATGTTCACAGAGACAGTATGTTGGAGATTTTAGCATATATCCCAATAGCATGGGGACTACGTAATTTAAATTATGTGTTTTACTGCAATATTCTGCTCATTGGCGAGCTCAATAAAAAAAAAAAAAAAAAAAAAAAAAATCGGTAACTTGCCAATATGAGATCCGTGTCTTTCCAATTTATAGCCCGCACTCAGATAACAAGTGCCCTCACAATCGTCTCATAGTGGCCTTTATACAAAGGCAGCACTTGCACGATTTCCAATGATTACCCCGACATTGAAACTTATATCGCAAATACTGGCAGTCCCAAAGCATGCAAGGACAGCTTGCACCTCTTCTCAGCCAAAAAAATCCCAATTTCGCCGAGTCATTTCAAGGGACATCTCAAACTAAAAAAAGCTCGCATTTGATTGAGCGCCCTAATCGACACTGCTCTTGTTATTATATAGCCTAATATCAAAATAATGGCGAAAAGTGTTTCGTTGCATAGGTATCAGGTGAGTAGTCCGTCAATCATTATCTGGCTGGAAGTGCTCATTCGCTGAGATCTCATTGGTTGACCGATTTCGCCTCACCAGTGGGGGAAATATGCATTACTTAAATGTGAACATCATCAGGAAACCCCCTGAGAACGACAATTGAATGATCTGATAGAGGTCCCTCCATCATTCATAAACTCATTCCTAACACGACTCGAACCCATGTCGACGTACCCAAGCTCCAAGGCATCTCATTATTTGCAACGAAGCAAAGCGAGATTGCAGATTGTGTCAGAATCACTACAATGTAGCGCAGATAGAGCACGAGTTGCGAGACAAGCCAAGTTCTCAATGCGATCTGGAAGCGTTGGGCCAGATCATAGCAAAAGTCAAAACTCATCTGATGGCAACCAGCATCCAGGTCAAGTGGAGGTCGACGAATCCATTGTGTTCCCTGAATTCATCGATTTACCTGATGATCTACACTCTATTTTCCAATGGGACAGACCAATGAGGCCGGACGACAGTGAAGGCCTGGTCAATCAGGTGATTGCAGAGATGCATCCCGACTGGCGACCCTTAGGAGCTGGCTTCATGGTAACGTCGCGTGGTGCTCTCGTCGATACCGGTCTACTTGAAGAAGGGGATTGGGATTTTCAACGTTCTGCTTCATCGTCCTGGAGGGAGCCTCAAGTCTACCCTGGTCCTTGGGACGCGTTTGACAACCCTCATGTATTTGAAGATGCCCTTGTACGATTGTTCGACAGCCTGTTTACACCTCTTACTCGGGCAAACTTCCTGAACAGAACGAAATTGCCCCTTCACAATCCTCCTTCCTCCACAGAGAAACCACCCTTTTGTTACCAGTATGAGAAGGACCAGACTTATTTTATTAGTCTCAGATGTGGGCTTCCACTACGGTATAATCAGCCCTGGTTTCCGCTCCAGAAAAAAGACCTTCCGGTCCTCCCCAAGAGATTTTTATGCAAAGATGAACATTTAATGAAAGCGGAGACGAGCTTGCCAATCATCGTGTATAAGGAGAAGAGGACTCTTCGCCAGTGGAAAGAAGCCTCCTTGCCTGGTCAGCGGAAAGACTGGCGTGCATGTCCACATGTGTGCACTGCATCTGGCGGCAAGATCCCAGCGGACTTTCTTGCCTATCACGCACCCGAGAACCTTCTGAATATTCGATTCATGTCGGTCGGATGTTTAAAAAAGTCAAAGAGACCTAGTAAACATGCCGATGCTCACCGCCTGATCGCAGCGCATATGGGAGATTGGGTTGACATGACTTTGAGTACAGAGGAATACTCTCTGATTGAACGCAACCCAGATGAAGTCAAGTACCAATTATTCTCTACCTTGGCCAGTTCATTGCAAAACAACCTATCATCCTCTCTGGATGACGCTTACTGCGATCAACCATATGTTTGGGAATCATCCGGTTCGCCCCAGCGCTCGCCTCTAGAAAAGGAATGGCATCCACTTCCTCAGCTGATCAAGGCCAACCGTAAGAAGCGCATCAAGATTCTACTTCCATACGAGAACTTTTGTGGTGCATTATTCGGTAAAGAATTCCAAATTAATCGCCTCATTCGGGAGGAAACTCAATGCAAAGTTTACTCTGTCACCAGACTCGACAACTCGAAAGAGGGTTTGGAGGCAAAGGTCTTTCATCTTCAAGGAGCGGCCAGATCTAGCCGCCAATCGAGGAAGAGAACCATTGCTAGAGTCAAGAACGTTGTCTATCATGTGAAGGAGGCGGGAAAACTTTTCCTCGTTTATCAAGCGTCGAACTCCTCTACTGCCCGGGGAAGGGTGCTCGAGCAGTCTCCCAGACCGGAAAGCAGCGTCGATATGAATTCTAGTATTTCAAAGCAGCCGGCCAAATCCCGAAGGACGAGGCGCAGAAAAAAGGTCCAAGGGAGTAGTACAAAGGAGGTGGGATCAACCATGGATCACATGGATGACTTGAATTTGTCCGAGATCCTTGACCTTGGTGGTAGATCGAGCAAATTGAAGCCTTTTTATGGGATTCTTGACAGCACGTCTACCAAGGAACTATCTCTCCAAATCAACAACCTAACTTGCGAACGAGCGTTCTTGGACAGACAGCTGTCGATTCTACACAACTCCACAACATTTCAGGGCGAGAAAGAATCTACCCTAACGTTAGCAAAAACACGGCTAGTTTATAGAATTGGCCAATTGCGGAACCACATTGAGTTCCTTCAAACGGAACGTAGACTGCGCACGAACTTCAACGGTTGACGAGAAAATGTCCTTATGAAATCTAAAGAGTTACTTCATAAAATATCCGTCCATGTCGCTTCTTTCTTCAACATTATGCTGGAGAGTGTGTTAGTTGTTACAGTTACGGGAGACGAGAAGAATTCAAGTAGCTTGACTCACATAGTAAAAAACAACAATGCAAGATGCCAGATCTGACATCTTAGCACAATGGCTACAACTGCTTATGCGGCCGTCTTGATGACATTTTTAGATGACACTCTGAGAGCTTCAGGAGGATAAGCTGTCATGTATTAAACCATGAAAGTAGTACTGTTTAGCGAAATGAACAACAATATTTCGAAGCACGCTATTCAATTCCAGTTGTTTGAGCAACCCTCCGAAGAACCTATTCTTCAGTGGCCCTTTTCATCTCAGTCGAATTGCACCGAAACTTATGAGGATCATGACCCTGGCTCGTATCGTATACAAATGTCTCGGACTTCACGGGAATATGTTCATTTTCGTCGAAAAGTCCTCCAAAACGCTTGGTATCGGTAACAGAAAGTGTAGGCAGAGAGCCTGAGCTCGCACAGATCGATAGAACAGATTGCAAAAGAAAGGCAAGGGAGGAGAAACCTGAAGCTATACCATTGCTACAAGAGGTGACGACGGGCCGCTCGGCAAGTTATTACAAGGGCAGGGCTGACGCGGTACATTCCGCTGCGAGCGGAATAGGATGTCGCCCTGTTAGTCCGTCCCACGACAGCTGCTCTTTTACTACTTAACATGGTAGGTGGTAGTGTCAATGGCCTTGCCGATTCCAGGGCCTATGAACGTCTGGGTTAGATATGGTCCGATTCAGTAGGGATTCCCGGTCCCAGACAATCCCGTCGGCAGCACCGGTCGGTCCCGAGCACGAAACCCTGTTCTCCGACCAGGCATTAGCCCCCCTTATGTCAGCCCCATATATCCCTGTCCCGACGCCTGGTTTTGAAAGAACAGCGAACGTGGGCGAGCTAGCTGAGGGGAGGGCTGATGATACTACGTCTGTATTGTCCTAGACACACCGAAGACAGATAGGATTTAGTCTGGCGCCTGAACTGCCTCAGCTGCCAAGCATATACGCGTTCCGCTAGTGAACATGGATATCTCGGGTCCTTACTTTTGATGAGAAGGAAGGCCATATTGATCCTCGAACGTGTCAGCTGTGATTTTAGCCTCACCAAAGAATTCCCTGATCAAGACCAGTCAGGAGCTCGGGGGATCACAGTGCTGCAGCCCCCCGTTATCAACTCCTAGACCGCGCGGCTCGGTTATGTAAAGCGAGCCTCTGCTTGGACACCATCCGCTTATCGTCAATACACTTTCTGCACTACCACCTCAATTGGAGGGTCGCACAACACCCTTGATCGTTTCAAGGAGCCAAATTTCATTGATGCTGGGCTACCCATCATCCTTCACGGATATCGGATCTATCGAAGGATCCAGCCCAACATGCTCCATCAAAACAGCCGTCTCTACCCCTCTTGGTCAGCTATTGAGCAGCCCCTTGAGACTAGCAGGGTCGAAATTTGGTACAACCTAATAAAACATATATGCCGGTACTGCCTACGATATTAGTCCCCCAGGGAAATACCGAGTCTATATCTCACGTGCGTCTACCGATCAAGATGAAGGCTAGTGTGGAGTGAGTCCCTGGCATCCGTCAGCTGCCAAGCCTATAATTGAGGAATTCGTCACCCATCTCATGAAACAAGGTGGTGGCCATGATTCAGTAGGCATCACTCTGGTCTCTGGTGGCCCTGTTAAGAGTACTTCGCTTCCCCAAAAAACAATTCCGACCACTCCGCCCCATCAACAAGAGTCATCTAGATTTGGCGTCTGTGGATTGTCCACCATGGACGATCTTCAACAATTTATCGCCGAGGTATGGACACTATTCGCTTTGGCCACGACATTTACGGGGATACGGATGTTTGCGCGATTCAGGAGTGTTGGTTGGAAGCAGCTCACATATGACGATTATTTGGCCTGCTCTGCGATTGTATGTACACGGCCTACAGCAAGCCCGTCTACCAAGAGATCAATGCTTTGACTAACACCGACAAGCTGTTTTACTCTTTTCAGGTTATGATCGCCTATAAGGGCGGCACATTGTATCGCAGCCGATCAACCACCAACACCCTCGCCGAACAGCAGGAATGGCTAGAGCCGAATTCGCCGCCATTGATGATACGGTATGCCAGTCCGCAGGTGCCCATTTTGCGGCAAAGAAAGTACTGATTTGAGAGTCCATGCAGAGCCCAAGGCTCGAAGTATCATCTAGCTTCGTGGCCATTGTATGCGACAACTCTGTGGCTTTTGAAAGCATCTGTCCTGGTCCTGTATATGCGATTGACGGTAATTTTCTTTTTTTTGACACTCGTGAGTGGCGATCATCTGGCTAATTGCTTTCAGACCGGACTGGCGGGTGCATATCGAATCCGAATTATTGTCGGATTCACAATTCTGGCCACGAGCTGGGCTGCAGTCATTTTGACGACACTTCTCGCTTGCCAGCCCTTCCAGGGATATTTCAACACGACCGACATGAAAGTCAGCAGTCAGTGCCGGTGCCCATTTCTCGATGAGACCAAAATTGTTGGACATTGACTAAGCCAATGGTTTCTAGATGTTTGCTCGCCAGCTGTCTCCAAGCCCATAGTTTGGACATGCTACAGTATGAATGTCAGCACTGACATATTCCTCATTGCGCTGCCTATCCCGATGCTATGGAAGACATCGATAAAGCTGTGGAAGAAGATTGGCCTTTGTGTGCTTTTCAGCGGAGGCTCCATAGTTGTCGTCTTCGCCACTGTTCGCTGTGTCCTTTTAACTACAGTCCGTCATATCCAGCGCCCAATCTGTCGTAATTTTCTAATACCTTCTCATAGGATCCTACATATGGCGCCCCTCTCTCGGGGACCTGGGGAGTGCGCGAGGGTTTCGTCGCGATTATTACATCGAATTTTCCAATGGCTTTCACTCTAGTACGAGGCATGCTTGGACCGGCTTTCAATTCGCTACAAACGACGAATCCTTCAGCACAGACACCATCGACGCAACTGGACACTCTCAAGGCGAGTGGCAGGAACGGGAGGAGTGCTAGGTCTGCTGTGATGTCAGATAGGATATTTACGGAGAGCGAAGAGAAGATGGTGAATGGGAGAGACACGCCTCTAATTGAGGAAGTAAGTTCTCCAGCTTGAACGACAGTGTACATAGGGAAGCTGAGGTATATTTCCCGCTTTTCTCACTCATGACCACGACCAGCTTCAAATATACCCTCTGTAGGCATTTATTTATATTAATCATTACCTCATTAATATTGACTGGGGGATAAGTGTGGCAGACTTGCATCTGATCAGCCGCTAAGAGACAGGTGGAACTTGATTGGCAATGAGTTGAGCAGTTTGGTTTATAATTCTGATGATGTGCACCGAGACTCAAACCTGTCATAATACAACTGTTCGCCACGTCCCTATGCCTGGAACAATACTTTAAATGTGTGTATCTACGGGATGATTCCGGTAGATAGGCTCTCATCGACCAGATCAAACCATAAGCCCCGAAACCCAACTCTTTTAGCATCTTGTGTAAGTTTAACGAACTCTCTAAGTCCATCTACACACTTCCCAAAGAATGACTGAGGGGCTAAATGGGACAAGATTTGGTCCGCTGGTTGTTGGACTTCGATCATTGCTAGGAAAAGAGGCAAATATACTGCCATGTCTTTCACTTCTTGAGGAGCCCACTGCACGAAGCACGACAGCTCTGCGACGATTACCATCGCTAGCCTTGATCCTTCCTCGTCTTCAACCCCCAGGGGGTATCGAAGTCTATGGATGAGGAGCAACCCGGCAATACGGTAGACCCGGGCTTGCATCATCATTGCCGACACTTCGATGTGAGAATATTTCGAAAATAGGGTATTGGGACACGACGGTTCCCACTGCCGTATCCGCTGCTCGATTTCGGAATAATTATCATTCTTTATATCCAGACTATTGGCATGACTGCGTACTCTATTTATCGATAAACCTTTTTCGTAGTTGCTGGCCTTTCATAGGTCGTAGAGTATAGGTATAAGAGTCACTGAAAGGCCCATGGTTCTGTCCTCTTTATCGCAGAATGCAGGCGGGATTTCAACGATGGGAATTCGCCGCCGTACCAGAGAGTCAACCGTATCAATTAAGATTGGTGCCATAGTTATGGGTTGAAGGCAAGGTTGTGCCATGAGCATTGGGTACCAGCCCTTTGCCGATAAAAGGCAGTTCTGCGCAATGGTGTGTGCGGATGTGCCCATGACCATGATGTGATAAACAAACAGTATCTGCCCCAGTAAAAGCACAGCTGCAGCGTCGTTCAAGTGTCCTATTGTGACACTCTGCAGACACCGCAGGCTTCGAGCAGCTTCTGTGAACCCAAAGGGGCCAGAGCCATCATTGGGGTTCTCCTTCATATTTAATAACTTGAGTAAAATCTGATGTATGCCCAATACTACCTCTTGTGAATCGTGAAGCGTCATCAAGATTGCGAATCGGAATTGATCGGAGAAACTTGGCCCGATCATGAAGTGATGGTGAAAGTTGAAGAACCTCCTTTGGTCGAAAAGCACATCTATTACCTCATGGCGCCCTTTCGAGCCGAGTGACTTGGACAGCGGTGAACGCAGTGATTTTGAGAGCCAAATGTCGGTACACGGCTCCTCCCTGTATGTGTTTCCTCTCCCCCTCTCCCGGGGGTTTAGTTCGATGCCATCTATTTTTTCTCCTTCTTCAAATTCGATGATGCCAGTGCTGCCATGCGGAAAGACTTGGGTTGCTGGCGGCCGACCCATCCGTTTGCGTTTCCGATCGGAGGAGCAAGTCATCCTTTGGTTTTGGCATTGGCGACAGCCATTTTCACCTCGTACACGACGGCATCGCAGTTTTCTGCGGTGACACTCGTCGCAAGTTTTCAAAACCATCTAGCCGCCTGGCGCAATGAAAGGGGGAGAAAGGGGACGTTGTCACCGGAGGGTTCCGTATGGTTGATTCGCGCGATCAAGTCTGGAGAATGGTCAGGGGAAGAAATTTACAGATCCGCAGGGGTCGCGATTGACCACCGAGATCATTCGGCGATACCAGACGTTTCGCCACGTGATGGCTCCTCAGTAATATCAAACCCTGGCCCCCTCAGCGTAAGTTTCACAATGATTAGAGCGAGATGAACTCCCCATGTCCGTTCACTGATCACTACTAGACACCTGAAGATCGGAGAAATTTCCGAGAATCGCATATACCGTATGGTATTCAAGCGCCACACTGCATTAAAATTCCCATTATTAGTAGGCATGATCCAATAATTACGATGATTCGGGTGGTTGCTCGTATCGCAAGTAGAGGTCCAACACGGTGGATGTAGCAGCAGCCGCCAGCTGAAAGATATTTTGGTGTGAGTCAATGTCGCCCATTTTCCTATATAAACCCATAAGGTCTCTATATCCCTGTAGATATCGGATATTAAGATGGTGAGGACTCCTTTTGCAATATTGTATAATTCGAAGAAGCAGCTTCCCAATCGCCTCGTTATTGGCATCAACGTCGTGATGCGGTATACTGGGGGACTGGTCGATGTTTGCGTCGTTACGAAGAGAAGGAGAGTCATCGCTCACAAGATCAGATACCAGGGATGGATCACTGTGAGTGTCCGTCTCTGCTCTGTAGGGATTTGGCTGCTGGACACCCCCGTGGTACTGTAATATCTCATCCGAGTGAGCCAAAAGCCCCAGTGCGTCATCATGACGATCCCAGGAATCTAGAAGCTCAACAGAGGCAAGAATATGCTTTCTGGTTCGCTTATGCTGGGACCCCAACTTTTGGAAATGGAGGCGTGTGATCTCATCTAGGACTGCGTCGGCTTCTCTTTGTGAGCCCTCCTGGAAGTAGAGAGTCGCCAGTTCATAAGCTATGCTGTTGGAGACTTCTTGAATCACACCGCTCAAGTGTCTCATTCCCTCAAGGGCGCGCAAGAGCATCCTTATTGCAGCTTTGACTTGGCCATTAGCGGCGGCGGCACGGCTACTTTCCTGAAGCCTGAGAACATCGGTTCTCGTCATCCCGTTCCAAGACAGCAATGGAGGTTGATCAGCACTAGGAAGCTCAGTATTTCTGTCTTCCATCACGGGTTCCTCAATAGTCGAATTTCTTGAAGGCGGCAGCTCTGCATTGCCTATGGGAAACGGGGGTGGCGTGCAGCATGTCACTCCCTCTGGCGTGCCAATGTCTACATCTGGGTTAACGCGGTATATCTCCATCGAAATGGACGTATAAAAAGAAAATACCGAATGGATTGTCATCGACTCGTTGTTTCTTACTCCGTCTGAGAGTTGACTCTATACGATCCTTGTCCCATTCTCTCTCGCCGTAAGTGAAGATAGTTTCGAGGCCAGACTGCTGGCGGCGCTTAAGCTTTGTAGCCATGAATCCAGCCACATCTGTGGGAAGATTCTTGCTCCAGTTCCACTGACGAAAGCGATCTTTGTATAGCTTCATTCTAATAATGCATGAGAACACATTGTCTCAGTGATCACCAGATTCTTGTAAACGATAACTTACGAGGCATTGAAGCCGTAGCTGTCCTTCATTAAGCGCATCGTCTCCGAAAGGGTCTTATTTTCTGTCAGATATAGCCTCTTCAATGTTTCATGCTGAGCGTCCCAGTCAAGGTGACAGTACTTGTTGCGCTGGGACGTCTGCCTTGGTGAGGACGAGGCCGTGCCGCTCTGTGAAGGATATGGAGGAGGGAAAACGTCGTGCGCCAACTCGTTACTGTTTAACATGGCTTCAGGTCTATGATAGATAGACTCTTCAGGGCACAATGAATTATGATCAATTGATTGCTTGGCAGGATGAGCGTCGCTGCTGATTGAGGGGTGGACGAATTGTAGTGGAGAGACCTCGTCCTGTTCCGGCCAGTGAAACTGGGAGAGAAGCATAAACATTTCATTGGAGTCCATTTCGAAGGCTTGAAAATGTGACACAACAAAAGGGAGAGAGAAGAAACTTGATTTTACTGATGAGGTGGCCCTTGGTGTTGAAAAAGAATGACCTTTGTAGGGGGCGGGGACTTGAAAGTGAAACGCGCAGGGAAAAGTAAAAAGTTCCCAAAAGTTCCCAAACCTTTCGCACTTGGTTGCCTCATTATATCCTGCCACACTTCCGCCACTCCGCCCCGTGACTGCTCATTGGTGGAAATGCATGTCCTAACTATTGGGAGGTTCAGCCCTGGGGCCTCACCACATCCATAAAGTTCCATAAAGTTCCTGCACTATACCCTGCTTACGACATCAGCTTGTTCCCTATTACCTCTATAGTGTAGATAGCTAATTCCATGTAATGCGATCTCACAGCCTCAACTCCGCCTTTTGAATAGATAGAGCCTGCGCCTTGAGTTTTTTTTTTGTCTGATATTAGCAGCCAAACGACTATGAACGCATGTTTAACGCGTCTACTCTATCATCAAGCCACGTGAACACTATATCTATTTCAGTAGTCTGCTCAAGCCCTGAGTGGAAGCACCAGGCCGAACTGGAGAAGTGGTCAGACATTGAAAACACATACCAGGAACAGCACAAGTATATCCTCTCTCGAAACCATTATATACTCTTATGAAATATTTTTTTAGGTTAATTCATTGCCATATATTTAAGTTTTATTTTTAGGAATTTTTTTGAAAGTATGATAATCTTTAATGTTAATAGATAGGTAGATTTATTTTAGAATTAATTTTCTTACATTTATGATTTCCCGCACAGGATTAAAATACACACGTTGACCAGTCTTCGAGATGGAGAGATTAGGCGCTGTGGCTATCTATTGAGGTATCTCTAGCCTCTACTAATGCAAGTTGATGCAGGTGGCTATTGCACACTTAGAAACCAACACCCTGAATGAAGTCCTTAGCTTAGCACTCCTCCTTCATGTTCTCTCCTTCTCTTTCTTCGTTCTCCTCCCTTAATCCAGCCACATAACTAGCCCTCTTTCTGTCTAGTTAAGCCTGCTTCCCAAATATCACTCGAGCAACCCCCGAGCGCCTTTTGCACAATGTACCCGGCAACCCACATTTTCATCCAAATTCCAAGTTTTTGGAGCTAACAAGGTGTTTTTATCCAAACAAAGACTTCTATGCGTCTTTGAGGTGCGGCAAGGCTAGGGGCTAGGAATCGTAGACATTGAGTGTGTAAATATAACAAGGACGGTTCTGGCGGATCCCCTAAGCCTAGCGTGTTAGTGGAGAGGGATATAAATCGAACGAAAGCACCCATGAAACACAACACTGCCACTACACACAGAAGTCTACCCTGGTGTTACCAGAAGAGAAAAGGACATATACCGCCAAAAGAGAATCACTACATAGACACCCTGAAGGCCAAGTGATGTAATATTGCCCAACGATTGGAGACTTCTTGAACTAGTAACAGAGTGTTTGGTTGCACAAAAGACTTCACTTTCAACAAAATGTAGGAGCATATTGAACATTGACATAAATAAGTAATAGTTAGGGAGTGCCGTGTTGAAACTGGACTGAGATATGCTTTAATCAAAGCTGTGGGTTATGGAACTTGCTGAGAAGGAGATGCAGGAGCGAGATCCGTAAGATCACAACTTCTGCACTAAAAGGATAGTTAATACTTGAATCCAGACTTCTGAACAATCTCATCTAGAAGCCTGTGTGTCTCCAAAGCCGACTCGAAGTCGGCGTAATCAGCCTGATTTCCCCTAGCGTATGCCTCTAAAATACGCCCGGTATTCTTCCCGATCTGTGGGATATGCTTGATGAAGTCTGGTTCTGGGCTGGAAAAATCGATCTCCTGGGTCGGTACACCCTTGAGCTTCAACCGAAGCTTTCGGTTTGGGCTGTTCATCTGCCAATGAGATTGATCCGTCGTGATTTCAATTTCCCCATCTTTTCCCGTAATAATCCACCGGACTCCGACATCATCAACAGCTTCATTCAAGTTAGCCCACCGGTAAGCAATAGATGCCATGGCACCGCTCTTGAGCTTGCCCTGTACAAGGACATGGTCTGGCACGTTTTTCTGGGCCATGTGCTCTTGAACCCCGTCCTCGGCCGGGATTGCAATTTCCGTAATTTCAGTTTTAAGAGAGGATTGAAGGCTATCAAAGCCGCCAAGAACGTGTGTGAATGCGTCGAGAACTGGTCATGTTAGTTTTAATTGTCTTCGAAACTATCAATGCTATTACAGTGTGGAGATGTGCTTACAGTGACCAAAGTAGACATGGAATACATTCGCTCCTGTTTTCATGTCAAGATAGAATTCACTACCTTTAAACCAAACGTCCGAGGGTATAGCACTTGTAGAACCGATAACAGAGGTACTTGTGATAGTTCCCAGTGCCCCACTGTTGATGAGTTGCTTAGTTTTGACAATGAGAGGATCAGCCCGAGCCTGTACTCCGACACTGGTTTTTAGGTTGTTCGCGCGAGCGAGCTCTGTCAACCTTTCTGCCTCACTTGTTGATGCCCCTAGAGGCCACTCGACGAACACTTGCTTTTTTGAAAGTAGAGCAGGCTCGGCTAGCATGAGATGCTTGGTAACCAGGACGCTGACCACAACTAGGTCCACATTCGGATCATTCGCAAGGTCGACAGCACTACCGTAGGCCTTTGTCGTTTTCGGAAGTTTATGCATCTCGATGGCCTGAAGAGCCGAGGCAACAGTGGAATTACAAACAGCCACTATCTCGTAATCAGGAGAATTAACAAATGTAGGGAGAAAAGAAACTACGGCCCAGGTACGCGGGCCAAGGGTCGACGATTCCACAGCGGTGAGGCCGATCATGCCAACTCTGATGACACCCATTGTGAGAAGACCAAGAGGTTTTCAGGATAATATTTTAAAAAATAAATGAAGAAACCACACAGGTTGTTTTCTTCTAAGGCTTTCAGTGTTGATCTAGCGATGATGTATGACAAGAAATCTGATGGCTAGGCTTATGCTTGGTTATTTATGAAGCAGCCTTCCCGAATGAACTCCTCTAGACAAGACAAACTAAGTCACGACAAGATCGGAGAATATTGAAAAATCATAGGTCAAAACTCCGTGATGAATAATTGATTTCTCATCAGCTTCATTGAAGAATTAAGGGAAATGTGCCCACAATTGTTGGATTGGTCGGAACTCCGCGGGAAGCTGACAAATGGAGGGTCTACTGAGCTTCTGCGATGTGTCTTTCTTGAGCCTCTTCCGTGTCTCTTTACTTTATAATGAAAATTGTGGCGGGTTTCAATTCATACTCCAATCAGATATCAGTTCAATGAGACGATCCCGAGAGAAATCGTACGACGATTGCCCGTTTAATAAGCGACTGTCCTCATAGAGGATAGCATGCTCGCACTCCCTAGAGATGAACCTCGGAGTGTTGGCACGATACCAAGATTCACGTAGCACGTAAATTTCCGATTTCAGAGGCATACTACCTTAGTTTTAAATGTTATCACTTAGTATAGGACGCCCACTCCATTCCTTTACCGATTACTCCGCTGCTACGAGGTCTAGACCACGGTTAGTCCTCTAATCGGCTATCATTTTTACAATCGTTTCGAGTATTGTAAGCATTCAATAAAAGCTTCATTTCAAACCTAACTGCTTAAAAAAGGGCACTTCGCCCAGCAGGGAGGTAAAAGTAGAATAGAACGACCATGGTCTCGTTAGACAACAACTCCTTAACACCAATTAAACCACCGTGCCGGAAGATGATCGGAAGTGCCAAACAAACCAGCTATCTCTTTGACTGAGACAGTATCCATATAGATAGCCCAAGTTATTAGTCCAGACTTACATTCAACAATCTTCTATTTGTAAGTAATGAATCGTCTGCGAGCAGAATTTAGCCGCTTCGATGCTCTAGGGTGATAGTGCGTAGTTGATCGAAGCACCCGCAATTCTTTCATGATAAAAGGCTGTATCTTTCGAACTGGAAATAATTGCGATAGACCCGCAACTTTCATTCGCCATTACTCGAAGAGATTTAAGTTGAGTACTTCACTTCTTTCTTCTTCAGAGAATAGAGCGTTACCACGTCTCTTGAACCAGGACACATATGTGTAATTCGCACGATGGGGTCGCCTGGTGAAGGTTTTGACAATACTGTTATACAATTGCTTGGACTCCCACCATTGATGGAGTTGAAATACGTTAAGGCCATGTGACAGGTAAAGGTGGCGGTAAAGGCCGAGCAAGGTCGATTCCTCGTCCAGTGAGCGGCATTTAGAGAACCCAAAATGATCTCTGTTCAATGGTAAGCTGTCATGGGCGATTTCTTGCATAAAATCGCAGGCAGGCCATGGCAGGTCAACATCGGAACATGTGTGCCTGAAAATATTTCCGCGAGATAACTCCCAGCATTCAAAATCGCAAAATCGATCAGTACCGCAGGTGTAACAGACCGTCTGGGCAGGCCTCTCGTTACAGTTCTGGCAGAATCCAGTCACTTTCCCCAAGATCGGAATGAGCAACGCGTTGTCAATCTCCTCGGGAGTGCCTTTACGACCGTAGTCGTTGTCGCTGTCGTAGTCTTGTACGGATATCTCCCCAGAGTCATTCATTTCGGGAGCATCGGTCAACTGGCTCGTCTCGTCACTGAGTGATGACTGGTTATTAACGAATGAAACAAGCTTTATTAGGTAGGTAGATATTGCATACCTGGATTCAGAAGGCTCAAAGTTCGGGTCACGGCGGTGATCATCCAGGCCAGACGAGGCTTCACTTCTGTCTTCGCCTCTGTCACTTGTTCCGGGTTCCCCACTACTGACGGGTTCAGGTTGGGAAATCGGCCCGGCTGGGTCTTCGGGGAAGGTTGGATCGGCTTCATCACGTACACGTAGATCGCCCAAAAGCTGCTTGATTTGTTGATAGACATGAAATAGCTTTCTCCGCTTTCTGTCTGGTCCTGCCGCTGATGTGTTCTCAGTTGGCTCGACGTTTACCCCTTGGGACTCCATATGAGCTACCGCCATCGAAAAGAGGGCCTCGAGCTGGACATCAAGATCTTGGATCCTGCCGGCCATTTCTGACAAAAACACAAAGCGAATTTTAAGAAACCGTTCTTTGCATGCGCCGTGCGTGTGCGAGGCAGACTTGTAACAAAGGATTGCTGTTCACTGACCGGGGGGGAAATGCTGAGGATCAAATTGCAATTTGAAAACAGGAAACCGGGATATTCTGCCTACAGAAATAGATGTGTGAGTGGGAGGGGTTAAGCCGAGAGGAAACTGAGGTGAGAGGAGCGTCGGTTTTTATAGGGTGGCAAGTGAGTGACACAAGAAATGGCACGCGCAAATAAACACCTAAATAAACACCTAAATAAACACCTAAATAAACACCTAAATAAACACCTAAATAAATAAATAAATAACGAGATAGCTAAACAAATAAACACCTAAACACAAGCAGGAATCATAGAGAATTTCATTCGAAACAAATCTAAAGCTTTATGAATGTTCAGTATTCCCCCGTTGCTTAGTTTATCTGAATAATATATTAGGAAAGAGTCACCACCAGTCTACATCATAAATAATAGAGAGAAACGACTCACGGCGATTATTAAGAAATACATTGGGATCCAGGAGCACTTGATCTCAGGGTTTAGGTTCTTAGAAGCTGTGTGGACTCTCCAAGTGTGAGATATAGCTATTTGGTATAGGCCTTCCTTAGCATAGCAGCAGGTGGGCTCTGGCTCAATAATTTTATGGCTAAGAATGATAGATCAAGCGCCTGTTTAAGGGTGGCCTGAAAGAGTGCTTAGGTGTGCCGTTTCCTATGTCACCCGCTTGGGTGGGAAATTCTCAGCACTTATCGAAGAGCGCGATAATGCCCCTGGGCAAGTGCGAGGTGGAGATTGAATTTTTGGAAACAATGTGCTGTCTTGTTACGATGGTTGTTTTATATGTGCTCAGCGGTTAGGAATTCACTACGCCAAACAGTAAGGGGATGTATTCTGATGACCCATGGTTCAATGCTGACCATAAAATACTCATGCGGGGGATGGGCTGATTTAGAAGTGGCCATTCTTTTATGAAAAACAACGACTGAATACTTCCTTCCATTATTTCCTGTGTTGCACGTGCATATGGTTGGGCTAGTGTTCTGCACCGAGCGATACTGGAGTGTTCTGGGAGATGGGTTCATATCACCTGTGGGTATCTGATTGTGTGTATGGAGATTGTAGGAAGTTTATGCTATGATTTTGGTCTGGTTTGACTCTTTTGAGGGACAGAGCATGGCTCGAGTGTCACAAAATACTAGAAGTATATCGTTCGTGTTCAAATTGCGAATATTGTCTCCTCATGTTTCGCTCTGGGCTACTAGTTTCTTCCTGCTGCTATGAATCTGGTACATAAAGTGACCACGTGGGTGTGCCTGCTCTATATGAGGATCCAAAAGTCATGCTGCATCTTCATGGGATCAGGCCCTGGCAAGGTTCGGTCTCTTGCGTAGTTACCACAACAGTCAGGCTTGGCGTCGACCCGCCGATTCACAGTGACATTCCCTAGTCGACTCTTGGCAAGGTAAGCATAATACTTTGAAGGGAGGAGCTGCAGCTCTAAACTCTATGCCCTCAAAGATAGCAGAAACAAGTCCCACTCCTCGTATGCGGTGGCATGACGTGGAAGGGTTTTAAACGCGAAAATTCAACGCGCAGAGCTCCGTCACCAAGGAGATCAAAGATAAACGGAAGAACGGAGGCTGTGTTTTAACGCAGAAAGGCCAAGATATCCGTAATCACGGACCTCGCATTGGGTTGTTGGCCTTACTTGACATGGCAACAATCCGCCCCTAGTCGGATGTTGTCATTTGGACCCAGATGGCGCCACATAAAGCCCCTGCCGAGCCAGAACGGCGGACGGAGTAAACACCGGAAAAGCTGTTAGAAACTAAAATATTCGCATGCTGATCAACAAGCCGAGTTCGGCGCCCCTGTAAGTCCAAGGATGCTTAGTTGCACCCAGGGTGGCACTCGGACAGCACAGCCAATACGGTTCGTTCGGGCTCACGCCGCAAATCAACAGTTTGATGTCTCCTGCAAGAGCTCGCCATCGCACGGGGAAATGGCGAACGTTGCACGGAGACTATGGGTCCTCTTGGCTCTTGATAACATCAAGCTGGTTAAATGGAAATAAATTCAACATATATATCGCGCCGCCATTATGAGCTAATTATTGAGGTCGCCTAAAAGTTTCTATGAATTTTCCAGTTTCATTTCGGAATATTGAAAATGGGTGTTCTGGCTCGTTTCAAGAAGAACAAAGTGGCAGCGGTCATTATATCAGTATTTGACTGGTATCGTACGTTGTTGCATTCTGCTTACTCCTTGATGTATTTGAAAGCTGACGAGTGCCGTACAGCCTCCCACTACCCGACTGAAGAAAAAAAATTACTTCGAAAGCTCGATCTCGCTATATTAATATATGGTTGTCTAAGTTGTATGTTACCATTGAATAAGCCAATGAGAGGTCTACGTATTTACCACAGTCACAGTCTTTTGCCGAGTCAGTATCACTTATTACTACAAAGATTGTCTTAAATTAAAGAATCGACCATCATCTAACAACTAATATGGCTATCAAGTTCCTCGGACAACAAAATGTCACCAATGCCTACGTATCTGGTATGAAAGAGGACCTCAACTCATACGGCAATGAATTGAATTACTATGTCGTCGCGTGTATGTACTTCCCAATCGTACAAAGGAGTCGGTTATACTTATTGCGGTATCATAGACAACACGGCATACGTCTGTGGCCAGATCCCACTAATGACACTGCAAACCAAAGCAAAAATGTAGGCCTCTCTCTTTATGTGCAATTGCCCTTTTCGACCAGCTAACCTATTCAGCGCCCCATTTCTGTTGCCTTCACTTCAGATTTCTTGGGCTATTATCGCTTTTTGTCAGTCACAAGTAACAAAAAACTGGCATCTATATCTGCTCCGAGCCTTGACTGGGTTCCTTGAAGCATCGTCATTCGGCGGCACTCATCTCATACGTGAGTTCACCCGGCCACTTTTCAACTTCCCTTACCAAAAGTATCACTGGCCATAATATGGTTCATGCGCTAATAAACGTGGCACTACAAGTCGGCTCGTGGTTCAAAAATGAAGAGCTTTTCAAAAGGGCAGGGGTTTGGTTCATGGGAAACTCGCTGGGCAGCACATTCTCTGGATACTTTCAAGTCGCCACCTATCGTGGATTAAATGGCGTCTTCGGTTATACAGGCTGGCAATGGCTTTTCATCGTCCAGGGAATCATCACCCTGCCACTTGCCTTCGTCGGATTCGCAGTCTGGCCCGGTCTTCCTACTTCACCGCGGCGGTGGTATCTAACAGTCGAGGAGCATGCTCTGGCTGTCAAACGAATCCCTACAGTCGAGAAGGAGGGCATCACTTGGCAAACCTTCAAGTACACGCTTTCTCGGCCGATGTGGTGGATTTGTGTCCCTTGCTACGTGTAAGCTCTCTCTGGTTGCTTCAAACTTGATGTGTGTGCGGCAGGCTAACATACAACAGATTTTTATGCCAGTCCTTCTACTGGACTGGATATATGCAGCTGTGGCTCAAATCTACAGGGAAATCTGTCGAGCTCATCAACATTCTCCCTACTTTCATTGATCTCCTCAAGGCACTGTCATCATGGCTTGGCACTACCCTCGCAGGGTGTCTGAGCCTGAGAGGTATATGGACTTTCCAGGCATCGCTGACATTTTTCTCGGTCATCGTGCTCTCAATTTGGACAGTTCCCGACGCACTCAAATACATGGCCTATTATTTTGGTGGATTTTCGGGCATGGCATCCCCTATTCTCTACTCCTGGCTCAACTCGACGCTTAAAGAGAATTATGGTGAAAGAGGCCTTATTATTTCATCGATGATGACCATGGGATTTGCGATGCAGATCTGGGTCCCGTTGTTTACTTTCCCTACGGTCGAGGCGCCAAGATTTCCTCATGGGTATCCGGCTTGTGTCGCGTTCTTGTTTACCATGTGGGCGATACTGATTTTCGGATCTTGGTTCATGAAACGATGGAAGTTGAAAAATCCGGACCTGGAAATGAGATTAGCACTCGGATTGAGTGACGATGGCGATACCAGCGAATCACCGAGGGTAGCTACGAAAGGACAAGAGGAAAGCCATAGCAAGAATACCGCAGCCACTGTTCAATAGAGCGGGCTTCTTTTCAAGATCATTCTTATATGATCAAGAATAGATTGAAAGACAATAAAGATCTATACTTCTCCCATGAATATGAGTATTTGTATCTGTAACCTCGTTGACCAAAAATTATCAACTTCGCGTTCCAAGAGCAGTTGCGAAATCGTCTAGGTGTAAAGTCTCATCAAACGTTCTTCCATCAGCCTCCCATCCGTGCAATATGAGAGTGCGAACCATGCGATTGGACATGATGGTAGTTCTTGGGCTAACATTCTCGTCAAGTGAGGATACCATCAGAATACTTCGTCCCTGCTTGAGCTGTCGTTGAACGGCCCGGACGGTGGACACGGAAGGGGTATTGGAAAACATGCAGTCCTCCCAAGCACTACCATTAGAAATCAGACGGTCGAGAAGATCCTCCAGAACATCAATTGTCTCGGTGCGGCAACAGCGTATCGCTGAATGGAGCAACATGCCACAGATTCCTCTGCGGTAAATATTCTTCGTGGAACATTCAGAAATGTCGATGCCTCGGGCGATTCGGACAAGAACATTCATCCAGTGACTAGCATTCGGGCTAATTGGGCTGAGCGGACCTCCGGATGGATTCGTTATACCCAGGATGATGGATTCATCACACAGTATCCGACACCACGCGTAATCGGCAGCTATCATTGATTCTCGATGGCTATCGAACCGGAGAGGCTCGTCCCCTTCGACTAGTGTTGACTCTAATCTCTCTAGATCAGCGACCAGGGCGGACTGGCTTCCTACATCGCTGAGCAGCGGAACCCCTGGAGGTGTGGGCAAAGAGAGGACCTGATCTCTGATACCCGTCATGTCTCCGAGGCACTCCTGGTAGGCAGACACAAGTTGGTGCTTGGAAATCTGCTCGTTCCGATTCATAGGATACAGTGTGTTTAGATAGTCTGATAATTGCTTCATGACAATGTATTGCATGCGGCTCGGGATGGTGAGATGATGCTGCATTGTAGTGAGTAGACAGAGGCGTTCTAGTATGATGGCCATTTCGCATCCAAGGCTTTGAGCCACATCCGGCTTGATGGGCATGCGAATCTCCAGCGTCTGCCAGAACTGGTCCATCATCAACTCGCGCCCACTTGGCGGCCCGATAGGACCGGCAACGAACTTTTGCACAGAACGCGCGTCGAACAAACCACAGAGAATTTCTGGGCCGTGCTTCTCACGCAACAGCTGATTGTGGGTGTTATAAACTAAGCCGTCCACGGTGGAAATGTAGTAGCGCAGCCCTTCAAACGATCCCAACTCCAATTCCACAAATGTGAGCATCAGATGGGCAGCGAGAAGAGTGCTGATGTCCGTAGATCTACAATCGGTGGCTATTTCGAGGGCTTTCCCAGCATAAGCGAGCGATCTAAATCGATGCCGAGAATCTGGTATCCAAGAATATCCGCTTTGCAGCGGAGAGTCGTACACAAACGTCCCTCGAAGATTTGCAAGGTTGGCGGCGCTGATGGCCATGGCAGCATACCGGGCAAGATATGACCCGTTGAGCACAGACATTATTGTCTCTGTGCTGGTTGGCAATATATGCGCTACATGATTCGTGAAATGAGCAAGGTAGCTATGATCGTTGGTTGTAAGCCCGGGGTAAGACAGATTGGGGAAGATTGTCGGCTGCATATATCTTCGATTGTTAATGAAGATACTGGCAGCATCATGTAGCCGCACATTCCCGGGGGAAGCATCCTGCCACTGTTTAGTGCTGTGTAAGCACTCGAGTTGAGTCAATACTGGCCATTGTGCGAGCCTCGCGATGGAATTTCTCTTTGTTATGTTTCGAGGCCCGACTTCTGGTATCAGGCATAGCTATTCATCGTGGAAACAGCCTCGTCTGTGGCCTTGGGTGGCAGCCACCCCGACTGTGGGGTGAACCCATGGTTTACGATAATCCTCTGATGGGATCAACCTAAATGATACATTACACGCAGGGTCGCTAGCCCCCGGATCTTGGGTGCTTGTCTCAGCGTTGTAGCTGCAGCACTCTGCTGTTCGGGCATCTTGGGAAGCATCAATGGGTGACAGGGATGTTTGCTTATTCGGCAAACTCTCGCTCGGGCTCGACGGTTGCCGAAGTAAAGTGCCTGGCCCGGGTTGGTCCTCGAGAAGGCGTGCAGGTCCCACCAGCAAAGGTTCCGAATGTAGAGATTGCCCAGCCCAGCTTGCATTTGATGGGGATGGGGCGGAGCTACTTGATGCCGATTCGAGGTTCAAACGGTCCCCCCTCACCCTCTTGACCTGTTGTGCCGCCCATTCGTTGGCATGTCGAAACTCAACTGTGTCATTGCCATACCTACATTCCACACCAGAGCCTGCGCAGCGTGTGCAGACGGGTTTCTGCTCGTCACACTGGAGAATCACACGTATCAGCACCGCTCAACGCTTGATTGAACGGTACCCACCTTCTTTCGCCTGGTACGACAGGAGTGACATCCTGTTCGGCTTCGGACAATGGATGTCTTCTTGCGGCGAGCTGGCGCCGGAGCGTACGTCCACCTCTCAGATGGCATTGAAGCGTCTCTACAACTTTCCGACCTGCGTTGAAGAAGAAACTCGGTCCAACGATGTTCAGGCTGGGGGTTAAAGCCTCAACACCAGGGGATCAGTTCCACATGACTCTCTTGACAGGGAAAAGTCCTTCGGTGAGTCCGCCTCTTTCAGGCTATTCCTAATCAGGTGAACCAGAGCGCCGCTCCCAGACGATTGATAAGATTCTCTTCTTGGCATGCCGCGAGCTTGATAGAAGGCTGGCTTCGTCGGTCCCAGATTACTTATTATTATACGTACACGCTTAGTCCACTAGCTAGGCAGAGGATTCATACTATTGCGCTTATTTTGAGCCTTTTTTGTGTATATAATGGCGCCAAATGCCCACTAAATGACGCGGGCATTGTGAACACTGAAATCAATACCATTTTGCCCGTTTCAACTACAATGTGAGCATCCCTAAACCTATTTATCGCCATTAGTGTATTCCAACTAACCGATTCTCGTACTGATGATAGGCCCATCAAGCCAGACGTCGAGTATGACTGGCTCGAGTCCCAGACTCCAGAATGCCTCAAGTGGGCAAGGCAGGAGAGCCAGCTCACTGCCAACAGGTTCGACCATCTGCCCCGGAGCAAAATGATTGAACAAGAAATGCAAGCGCTTGTTTCATCAGCGGTCAGAACTCCATCCTTTTGGGTCTGGGGCAGGCATTTGTTCCGTCTACGCCAAGATAATACCAACGAAAGAGGGATTCTCGAGAGATGCGAGAGGATCAACGATGCTTCGCCAAAAGAGGATGACTGGAAGGTTGTCATCGACATTGATGAGTTGGGCCGGAAAGAGAATCGCGTCTTTGAATTCCATTCGCATATGGAGTGTTGTCTTTTTGGTCCCGATGCAGATCGTCTTTTGCTCATGCTTTCCGATGGAGGTTCCGACTTGGTCGAGCTTCGCGAAATTGATGCAAGGACAGGCCATTTGATCGATGGCGGGTTTCACACGTCTTTGGGTCGCATCACTGTTTCTTGGCTGGATATCGACCATCTTTTAATCAGTCACACAATATATGGTGGCCCAAAGACTGCAGGAGACTGGCCCGCGGCTTCTTACATTTGGCAGCGTGGATCAGACCTCAAGGATGCCAAGGCAGTCTTCACGGCTGAGCCAACCGACGCCATCGCAGGCGTTTGCTCGCTCGGTCCTACAGATAGTGGCCGGGCTATCATCAATCGCGTCGTGGACTTCTCTACATTTATATATTATATTGTCTCTCTTGATGGGAGCGTGGAAGAGCTTCCCGGTCTGCCAACAGGCTCGTCCATGGTACTCCCCAGACCTTCAACATCCAAGCACGTGTTCATCTCTCTAGCCAAAGAAACCGTCGTACGTGGCAGGAAGGTACCGGCGGGTTCTCTAATTGCCTACGATGTTTCAACGAATCAGCCGAGCGAAGAGAGACTGAGCATTGTCTACGAGCCTGAAGAGGAAGAGGTTAACCTACACCTATGGATCAATGGGTTGCGGGCAAGCAACTCAAGGGTTCATTTTGCTATGAGCAAGAGAGGTGTAGAGAAAAGAATGGTCTTCGAGAACAAAAACGGAGTATGGCAGCTTGTCCGTAGCGTCCCGACCAGCACCGGATCTCGTGTCACAATTGTTGCCGCAGACTGTTACAGTGATGACACCATCATATGCGAGTCTGGACTACTCTGTCCTTCAACCTATTGGCTGGAGGATGGAGAGGGAAAACAAACCCTGCTTTACGCCGAGAAACCTGCCTTTGATGCTAGCGAGTTTATTCTTCGCCAGATGACAACTAACAGCGAAGATGGCACCGAAATTGATTACCTCGTGTTATCTCCCAGAGTCCCAAAGCATGAACAGGGCAAAGCCCCTGTCCTTATGACTGGGTATGGTGCATATGGTATCTCAATGCCTGTGTCGTACCTTAACTCTATGTTGGGAGGGGTTTCTCTTGTCCCATGGCTCAACAGTGGTGGCTCTCTCGTCATCCCATTCATACGGGGCGGTGGAGAGAGAGGCGAGGTTTGGCACCAAGCTGCAAGACAGGAGAAGCGTCAGAAGTCATACGATGATTTTATTGCGGTCGCAGAGACCATTGTCAGAGATGGTTTCACCACACCGAAGCACCTCGGTGTTTACGGTTCGTCCAGTGGTGGCCTCCTCTCTGCCATAATGTGCATTCAACGCCCCAAACTTTTCGGCGCTGTCGTGAGCGATGTCCCAATCACCGATATGTTGAGGTATACCTTAATGGGCATGGGCGGCGCTTGGATATACGAACACGGTGATCCCAAGGATCCGGAAATGGCCAAAGTACTAAGAGCATACTCACCATTTCACAACATCCAAAATGGGGTGAACTATCCCCCCTGCCTTGTCACGATTTCAACCAATGATGATAGGGTCGGCCCCGGCCATGGGAGGAAGTTTGCCGCGAAGATGAAAGATGCAGGTGCGTCGAACTTTTATTTCTTTGAAGATGATAGTGGCGGCCACTCTGTTAGTGATTCTTTCAAAAACACCAAACTACTGGTTAGGCGGCTCGTTTTCTTCATCGACACGCTTCAATAAAGTCATATACTTTTCAATAATTCTATTGCATCGACGAACAAAGCACAGGTCGCAAAGATGGGCTTATCAATGATATATAATGTTTTCAGGGACTGCGATTTGGAAATCACGAAGCATATATAGAACGTTTGTCAGCCTTGTAGACTATCGTGACAATCTTAAATGAAGTCATCGCTTGAACTTTGAAGAACCTGCCGAAGCACCATGTTCCAATCCATCTCTATATCATCATTCCCATTTCTAAAATAGCAGCGACGGATGATTTTGGCTACCTTGAGTTGCCCCCTCCCCCAGCCAATCTCAGTCTATAACGATGATGAATACCTCCCAAGACGAAAGCCCACGCAGCTCTCAGGTTACGCGTCAGCGAGAATCGTATGAAAGGCCTTTTGGCTAATCAAAAACGTAGCGCCAACAGGGAAACCTCCAGGAGCCCGAGGAAAGATGGAGCCGTCAACAACGCGCAACCCGTCAACGCCGTGAACCTTGAAATTAGAATCCACGCAAGATGTGCTCTTCTCACGGCCCATACGACAACTCCCAGAAACGTGGTGGCTGAATGAATGATCCAAAATATGTTGCTCCAAGGAGATTTCAGCGGGCGGGTCGATGATATCAAAAGGTGCATAAGGCTCGCCTGTGACATTCATAATAGACAGGAGGTGCTCTAATCCTTCAGCCAGGGCGGCCACATCGGCATCTCTACCCTCTTTGTAGAAGTTGAGATTAATCTCGGGAACCTCGCGGGGATTAGATGATCGGAGGCGCACAGTGCCTGTTGGGTTCCGATTCTGCATCTTGACAGCAGTCCAGAAGAAGCTGGTGGGTGGCCACTGCACGGTGCTGAAGCCTGGATAGTGCCCATCGAAGACAGCGCCTCCGGCTCCAAAGATTATGAGATCAGCATCGTTATTGTCGCTCTGACCTGTCCGATACAGCATGAAGATGGGTGCGGCCCCTTCGCCATATGCGCCGTATCCTTCTTCCCACTGGGCCAAGCAAGGGTCGGTCTCGGCATCGCCTGAACCCGTGCACTCCGCAAAGGGGCTGTTCTCCCAAGGGATCTGAGATCGCATATTGATAGGGACCTCGTAATTATCTTGCAGATATTCTCCCTAAAGAGAAGAGTCAGTTTTGCTCAACCTGATATTTCTGATCGGGCCGGTGCTTACCACGGCTGGAAGATCAACGACGACAGGAATTCCATGTTCCTCAAGTTCGTTTCGGGGACCAATACCGCTCAGCTTAAGAATCTGAGGAGTATTAAACGCACCACCGGAAATGATAACTTCCTTTCTAGCCTTGACGACTCGTTTGGTTCCCTGAACTGAGGCATTATAGCGACGGTCGGCTTCATAAAGCCCCTCGCCAACAATATACTCGACACCTTTAGCCACCGGGTTGCCCTTGCCATCATTTGTAAAAACGATTTTAGTTGCGAGACTATGAGTGCTCAAAGTGAGGGGATATAGCGCAGAGCCGTTTGAGGATGTTTCAGCAAGGGTGTCTGAAATGTAGTTCCAGGGGCTGCTTCTACGGCGATTTTCGTCGATGTGGAGCGGGATTTGATAAACTCCCGGGTGCTCATATCTGTCTGCGTCAGGTCGGTTCAGATCTCGTTCCATCAGTTGGATAACCTCCTCTTGGGAAGGAGACTCGATGTTTTCAGTTTGAGAGATGGCATTCTGAACCACTCGGAGGACACCTGGTCGATCAGCAATATAAGAGATGTTGTTCCTATTGGTCTACGTCTCTGTCAGTGCCTATACTAGAAAGAATCATGTTCCTCATGTTAGAGTCACTTACCGAAATAAATCCGTCATATCCATGGTCAACGGATCCAGGCTCCGTATACGTGTTCCGCTCGAACTCAGTAAAATATTGAGCTAGATTTTCTGCTTGCCAAGATTCGTCGCCAGTTACGTTGGCGATGTAGTTGAAATCGGCCGGGGGCGGGAGGACGACGTTCATCGCGTTGGATATGGCCGATCCCCCCACAGTAGCACCTCGGGGATAGTAGATTCCCAATCTTGATGTGTTAGGTCGTGTCGATATGATAGCAGGTAAACATCAGACTCACGGTGTTGCGCCCTCGGGCGGGTCAATTCCGTACCAAAGCGAGCCATTGGCAAGTCTATATGTGAAGTAGCGGTCGCGACGGGCTTGTGTTTCATTTTGGTAGTGAGAGACGAAGAACTGCCAAGACATCTCAGGGTCCTCGGAGTTGACATCGGCCCTGAGAGTATTCTCCTTAGCACAAGACGACTTGTCAATAATCGGTTCGACTCACAGTCCTGGGACTTGTTGCAGTAACTCATCGCCGTGATTTCCACCAGCTTCAATTAAGAACACTGAGTATCCTTCACGAGCCAAATTTGCTCTGTTATCCGTCAGTACTGAACTGAACTGAGAGGAACTAGTAGCACGCACGCCAGAGGGCCTCCGCCAGGTCCAGAGCCTACAACCACATAGTCGTACTCTGACGATACATTATTGCATTTGGCTGACACGGCGAGACCTCCTAGGAGGATAGTATATTTAATGGCCTTTTTCATCGTGTGAATCATCGTGTGAATGATCAGAGAAGAGAGTCGTTAGGCTTGTCGCAATGTTATGAGAAGATCTTGAAGAAATGAGGGTGGACTCTTGCCTCTTTAAATAATGGTTCCCGGCACAGAGCGGATAATCTTCAATCAGTTTCGTAGTCCATCATGCTCCTCACGACACTGCTGGAGACGCGGGGATGAGGCTGTGCAGATGTCTCATACAAGGGTTTTCCACTGCTCGTTTGCAAAGCAAGTTTCTTCTCGCTTCTTCTAGCTATTATCTCCGATAACATCAAGTTTATTCCAAGTTCCAGCGATGAATTCGGGGTTATCGCTCTTGGGTCGCAGTGGGCATCATTGGCTGCATTCGCGGCTCGTGCTTGTACTAAGTCCGGACTCATGGCCCTCGTTAACTGTGACGAAGAATAGAGCCTGGGATGTCCTGAAAGACGTAGACTAGCGCCGTGGGTCTTAATAGATGAACTGCCATTATGGTTTTAGAGCATGGAGCGTTGGCTAGTAGGAGACTTTTAGCTCTGTTCAGGGCAAGGATTGACAACCCTGCTTCCACTCGTACCTGAAGCTTATCCATAAAGTTTTCTATCAGATGACTGCCCGTAACCTTAATGCGTCCAATCCACCCAAAGGAGGCCTCTGACAAAAGATCGCCGATGAGATTGATACAAATGAATACAGATCCATCTACTAGGGCTAAATTTTGGATACGTGGATACCCATCACAGCCGGTAAGTAGTTGGCATTTCGTGAAGTGCGGAGGTAATTTGATATTAGGTAGATTGAGATATTTGAAGAATATAGGCCATTCTCGTGAACACAGCGGGCTTATCTGCTTAATTCCAGTGCCAGTTTCCATTTATCTAATCCTCGGAATGATGCAATCAAGGATAAATCCAACGTAAGATTTTAATTCACAAGCTAAGAGTTAAGCACCATCCTCCAGATTACAAATTAACCAAGTCCCCCACCTTAGCGCACCTCTCAGAAAGTCCGGATGGATAAAACTAGGATCTACAGAGAGTCATTATCCCTTCATAACCCAATGTATGCTCTGCCAAACTGGTTTGATATCCATAGAACAGGCCAGTGGCAGTCTGACTGCTACATTGCTGTGTGCCTTCGATATATCAATGCATATCTTATGCTATCTAGAAAGTCAACTGCAATTATCGGCACATCATTTCACAAGGCCATCGAGGTCCAATCGAAAGGGTTATAACTCCAAAGATATATTTCATGCTACATACGAGTTAGTCGGTCTCGGAGAACCCAAGTTCTCTCTTAATGTTTGTCCTTCATACTCAGATCGGAATAGTCCCCTGCGTACAAGCTCAGGCACAATGTGAGTGGTAAAGTCGCGAAGTCCGTCAAGTAGGAGTGGCTGGATAACAGCAAACCCGTCTGTCGCGTCCGCCTCCAACCAAGCCTGCAGATCATCAGCGATGGATTGAGTGGTCCCAATCAATGGTCTATGCCCAAGCCCAATGGAACAACGCTCGGCTGTCTGACGTATTGTGAGCTTGTTTGATCGCGCAAAAGAGGCAATGGCGGCCGCTCGGCCGCTGGAAAATCCAGGGTCATATTCATCCGGGAAAGGTGAATCTATGTCTGCATTCCCAAACCCAATGTGAAGGTTTTGTACTGCTACTTCGATAGGCCATAAGGAGGTGACCTCTTTAAGTTTCCTCTCTGCTTCCTCTTGCGTTTCGCCCCAAATCACGGCGACACCCGTTAGGATAACCAGATGATCAGGATCTCTTCCTGCCTTTATGGCTGCGTCCTTGAGGGCTCTATAGGTTTTCTGTCCATCTGGTATCGAGTAGTTTGCGCAGTAGATCAAATCTGCCGTGGACCCGCCGAACTCTATCCCTTCAGGGGACGTACCAGCTTGGGCAATCACAGGGTGACCCTGGATCGGGCGCTCAATGCTCAATGGTTGTGTAATCTTGTAGAATCCGTCATCGATGCTAGGCCAATGTACCTTGCTCAAATCAACATAGACTCCGCTCTCCTTGTCTCTGAGCAGTGTGTCGTCCTCAAAACTGTCCCACAGAGATTTGACAGCACTTAGAAATGCCTTCGCCCTGGCGTATTTGGCGGGACTACTCTTAGTTTCTTCAGGTGGCACTCCCAAGTTCCCGGAACCTGGCCCTGGTGTGGTGACAACGTTCCAACCAGCTCGGCCGTGGCTAATGTGGTCGAGACTTGCAAGCTGCCTCGCAACATGTGTCGGCTCGTTGTCGCTGACGCTAGCAGTGTACACCAATCCAATGTTCTTCGTGCGCGCTGCGATCGCTGAGAACAGAGTTGCTGGTTCAAAGTGGCTGACACTCCAGAAATGCTTTGCCAACGGTCCGGCAGGGAAACTGGCACCGTCTGCAAGAAACAATGTTTCGAATTTGGCACTTTCAGCTATCTGCGCGTACTCGATGAAGTAATCCACGTCTAGACGTTCATGAGCATGTTGATTTGGGTGTCGCCATATTTGGGTTTGCTGGCCCGAATAAATAAAGGCGGCAAGCCTCAGTCTCTTCTTTTCATGAGACGACATGGCATCACATAACAATACCGGATAGGTAGGAGAATGAATTTGAAGAGTGGGAGGCTATATCACGCAAACAACCGGGAATCTATCAAGAATCCCCAAAGCAAAAGGGCAACCATCCATTTTCTAAGACCTGGTGATTCTCTTTCCCTCTCTACCATGCCGATTCCGGGAAACCTCCCATGATCCATCCGGTTCGTGCCAGTTGACGACATTACCCCACAATAAGATGGAATCGGGGAGCCTGTACCGAACACCTGGTCGAGGCACCTTTAATGGCAATAACCGGGGATTTGGAGCAAACGCCTTATTCCTAAATTATGGCGATGCCTTACTTCCAACGTCGTCCCAGTCGAGATTGCTTTAGGCTGAGTAGCGATGTCGGATGCCTTATCATAGACAACCACATGGTATAACTCACCTCATTGGACCACCAGGTTCTTTGATTTGTAACGTTTCCCATATGCAATCGCATCTTCTATCACGACATATATCCTAGCAATGACAAGCGAACCATTGATCGATGAGTGGTTTCTCCTGTGTAGCGGCTCCCACGCCCACCCCTGCCTGTCGGTCCTGCCAACACAACTATATACATTTCCCCGATATGCATGATTCAAGTGCTGGCGATGATACCTCATTGTACTCTTTCCTAATTTTTAAAGTATACAGGTATCAACGGAATCTCCAATGACGTCACAAGGCTCCAAGCATAATAACAATTCAAGCTCGTCGGTGGACGAAGAGTCAGGCGTCCAGACAGCTCCCAAAACACCCGTGCTGGCGATAAGAGATCTCTCTGAGTATGAGGACCTGTCAAAGGATCTTCGAAATGATCATGAACTACGAAAAGAGTTTCTGGCGACATTCACGGCTGAAGAGGAGAAAGCGATCATGAGAAAAGTAGACAATCGTTTTCTCATTCTCATTGGTTTCATGTTCATGTTTAAAAATGTGAGAGCTTTCTGGCTCCCTTCTAATATGCATATAATGAGTGTTGACATATGATATAACTAGATCGATTTCTCAAATGTGAGCATCATTAAAACAATGCAGGCAGGGACTCCAAACAACATCATGGCCGAGTTGGGGTTCACTCCAGACGCCTATAACTGGGTTGGGACTATCCAAGGAGTAAGTTCACGCTTTCCTCCCACGGCCAGATTTGATCAACGAGCTGCCTGATATTGATGTTCGGTACTCATAGATTCCATACATCATATTTGAGCTACCTAGCAACCTTCTGCTCAAGTGGATGACGCCCCATGCCATGGAGTCACGGATCTTCTTGACGTGGGGCATTGCCACGGCCTGTTGTGCAGCTGTCCAAACAACCAGTCAGCTGCTCGCGTGTAGATGGCTTGTTGGGTAACTGCTTCTCGTGAATTTTACATCTCAAGTGCATCTAACTAACCTAGCACTAGAATGTTCGAAGCGGGGATGTTTCCAGGCGTCATTACGACGCTATCTTACTGGTATCGAACTGATGAAGTCGGTCGGCCAATACTATGGTTCTTTTGGATCTCCCAATTCTCAACTATAGTCGGTTCCCTCATCTGCTACGGCGCAAGTTACATGGATGGTTTACGCGCGCTGAGCGGATGGAGATGGGCATTCATCCTAGAAGGTGTTGCTACAATCCTTTTCGCCGGGATCATCTTCTTCCTACTTCCTGATTTTCCCAAATCACCTCGCAGTAGCAAGTGGCTCACTCCCAGGGAGCAGCAATTTATAGAAGCACGCCTTCCGCCGAATGCACCAGCCACTGGCGATCCGAGCTGGAAGACCAAAGATGCATGGGTTGCCTTCAAAAGCCCGACGACTTGGGCATTCCTCTTTGACCAGACACTGATGAATCTCTCTCTGTATGCCTTGAATTGGTATATGCCAACAATTATTGCCGGGCTGGGATTTGCGAAGCTGCCTGCCAGTCTGCTGCTCAATATTCCTCCAGCCTTTGCTGCAATTTTGGCCATGGTGCTTTGTGTACTTGTAACATCCCGTGCCTTGGCTCCAAGACCCCTGTTGTGTGTGTAAGTAAATCACCCCTCAGCCGCTTCAAGCTTTGTTTGCTAAAACAAACCCCCTTTCAGGTTTGTTGTTTTAGGATCCATCATATGTTATATCCTCTTCATGACAGTAAGCGGATCAGGCGCACTGTACGCAGCATGCATACTGAGTCAGTTTTTCACGTCTTCTTACTACGTGCCATACTGGTCCTGGAGAACATCGATTATGTCTGGCTCGACGGGAGCCGCGTTCGCCATTGGCTTGCAAAGCAGTGTTGCTCAGCTTGGTGCCGCGATTGGACCACAGTTCTTTCAGCAGAAATGGGCAAGCGACCGATACCGCAACAGTTTCCTCATAGGCACTGCAATTACGCTCGCAGCTTTGGTTACAAATCTTTGGACGTGGTGGCTGACCCGTGACATTGAGCGTCGCGTCAACCAGGTTCGAAAGGCCACTTTGAAGGCGCGGAGGGAGGGTAAAGCATACACTGGTAATGAGGATATAGATGTTCTAGGTGATCGAAGAATCAAGAACAACTCTTGGTGGTGAAATAAGAGCAAGGTCACGGTAGGGCAACGGACGCTACCCAACATCAGACGCTGCATCATGCTCATACCAGAATACCATGTAGAGGCAGCGCAATTACAAATCAGTCCTTGTGTATCCAAATTTAGGCAACGTGAACTGCTCATCGTTCGTTTAGGACATCAATTTTGATGTACGGTTCAGCCCCCAAGAGGCCGCTATATCGGAAAATGCTCCCGGAAAACAGCTCCCGGAAATGGTATGCTTCTCTTGCAAGCGAAACGAGCCCGGCTAAGCTGTTCATGATACAATGATAATCACAATGAGAGAATAATGGATGGTGTAACGTTAGGTGACATGAAGCCTAGCTCCGCATGCCCAAATCCTAAGGATACCCAGGAGTACTTCAACTAGACAGTTGGTCATTGGTTTGATAGGTCAAGGTGAATCCAATCCTAGCATAAAGACGGGGCAAGCCCATCACACTATAGTCTTGAAAACCAATAGTAGCATTTGCGTTGGAGATAACAGGCTAGAAATCACGTCTTTCGCACGACATCTTCCGTTATCAAGTCACCAATTGGTGGGTCTATCCTCATCCACCCAAAAGCTCAAGACCGCCGATGATCGGAAAAAGGATCGTATATCAGCTGAGCCAAAAGGATGCACTCCTAGACCTTCGAAGATTTCAAGTACGGACTGTCAATGCTTAGAAAAGTTCTTTCGGTCTTTGTGCAGACCTCGACTTCAGTACCGACCCAACGCCATGGCGGAAATTGACAACTCGGTAGCAAAAGTGAGCCTCGAAAAGCTCAGCGCTACTCGCAAGATATACGAGGAAGAAGCCAAAAAACGATTAAGCCGAGATGCATCTTCAAAATACCTCCCTTTAACTGATGCTGAGGAGAGTCGAATTCGCTCCTTGGGAGATGACCCATGGGTAGACCATGAGAAGCTCAATCAACGCCCCTCGCCCGTTAAAGAAAATTCTACCTATCGGTTTTTCATTCTGGGTGCAGGATTTGGAGGGTTGCAATTCGCTGTGCGACTTCTTGAACAGCAACTGGCCACCGCAGATGAGATCCGAATTCTAGATTCGGCGGGAGGTTTTGGGGGTACATGGTATTGGAACCGATATCCCGGCCTTCATTGTGACCTTGAAAGCTACATCTACCTGCCACTGCTTGAAGAAACCGGCTATGTGCCCACACAGAAATATGCCACTGGCGCAGAAGTGCGAGGGCAAGCGGAGCGGATCGCGGCGAAGTGGAATCTTACCGACAGCACGCAATTTCGCTCCGAAGTCAAGAGAGTCGAGTGGGACGAAAATTCGAAACTGTGGAATATTTCCTTCGCAGAGAATCGTGGTCCGTCAAGCAGCCCGGTGGAGCGTCGGTTTCGTTCCCAGTATGTTTACCTTGCCGCGGGTGGACTCACACAGCCACAAGTCCCTAGAATCCCTGGACTCTCGTCATTCTCCGGGAGCCTTTTCCATACTGCCCGGTGGAATTACGAAGTTTCAGGAGGTTCCCAGGACGATCAGACTTTGACTGGATTGCGCGACAAACGCGTAGCAGTCATTGGCACCGCCGCCACTGCCATCGGCGTGATTCCCGAAGTCGCAAAGTACGCGAAAAAGCTGTATGTCGTTCAACGAACGCCTGCGAATGTGAAACCACGCAACCAACGTATCACAGATCTAGAGGAATTCAAAGCTTCAGTGGCCAGCACGAGCGGCTGGCAGCGGGAGCGTCAGTTGAACTGGAACCGCTTCGTCACTAACTCGGCCAAGCCAGGAGAGAAGAATCTCGTGGCTGACGGCTGGACGACCATGCCAGCATACTCTGCGTTGCTCGGTTCTCCCTCCCACGGTATTGTTGATCCGTCGCCAGAGAATTTAGAAAAGCATGTGTCTTCTTTCCATGCGTTGGACCTCCCAACCATGGAGGCTGTTCGAGCCCGGGTTGACAATCTGGTTGAGAATCCGGACACATCATCTAAATTGAAGCCATGGTATCCTTCATGGTGCAAACGCCCTACATTCAGTGACACCTATCTACAAACTTTCAATCAGCCCAACGTCGAATTGATCGACACCGATGGTCAAGGGCCATCCCAAATAACGGAAAAGGGTATAGTTGTAGGTGGGAAAGAGTATGAACTCGACGTTATCGTGTTCAGTACTGGATATCAGCTCTCAACTACAAGGGCTGCAAGTCCCAGCGCGAAGAGCAAGATTACTGTTGTTGGTCGGAATGGCCAGTCACTTGACGAAAAGTGGTTGGCCAATGGAGTAACTACTCTCCATGGTTATCTCACAAGTGACTTCCCAAACCTGTTCTTTACTGGGACATCTCAAGCTACAGCAACAGGCAACAACACATTCATGCTTGGTTTCATTGCTCACCACGTCGCGTTCATCATTTCCGAGGCATTTTCAAGGTTGGGGTCCCAGTCACGGCCCATTATCGAGGCAACAAAAGCCGGAGAGGAGGCTCATGCCAAAGAAATTCTACGACGTGCGCCGTTCTTCTCTACGCTTGCCGGGTGCACACCGAGCTACTTCAATGGGCATGGCGATGCGGCTGCTATTAAGTCTGAGGAGCAGAGACTTAAGCGGGCTAGGGGAAGTATTTGGTCGGAAGGAGCAAGATCATACATTGATTATTTGGAGCAATGGAGGAACAAGGGGACTCTTGATGGACTAAGTATAACACCAGCGAATAGCCCTCAGATTCGCTCGAACTTATAATGTAGTCTCCAAAGCTTTGAGATATGACTGAATACTTGCTTCCTCGCACTCAGTGAAAATATCCCGGGCCTTCTATTTAATAAGGCGACTTTTTAGTCATATAGCGATTGCACAGTAAACAGTCGACTGAGAGATGCGGCCAAAATTGAGCCTTAACGCAGGGTCTGTAGGAGAGGTTGCAGCGCTTGTAAATAATGGTACCCAGGATCCAAGGCATTCAGAAATGTCTTGATGATGATGAGTGGGAGACCTGCAGCATCACGTACACAACTTGTGCACCAAAAGTAATGATGGCTTGGGGAAAGCCTTAAATCCAGACGGGGAACATAGGTGCATGTCATAAAGCAGTATAAGATAAACTATGGCCTCATTGGAGCATTGCAAGAAAAAAACAGCATATAGCTCAGATCAAAGTAGGGCAAACTCCTTTAATCGTTACCTGCCCGCGGCATCCAATGTGTTCGCCTTGATGGTCGATCACCACCTGTAGAAACTCATCGGAGCACCTTTGTAATAATACATATCGTACCGCTCGCCGCTCTGATTTCCTCCACTGGCAGCTGCAACTAGAAAGGGCATAAAATGATCCGATTCTCCCCTCTTATGAGCTAAGAAACTCTCCGGTAAATCTCGCCAGCCTAGCAGTAGGCGTCTTCTCTCTGCAGCGTCCGAAACGGCTGCAGAGGCTTCAAGAAACTTCTCAAATGCACCTGCGCTCGGAGGAACTCGTTGATTCTCGAAAACGGCTTTCGCAACGGCGTCAAAGTCGTGGTAAGAGCCCCCACTCCCGCATATAGCATAACCTCTGTCCCGGAAGCCTGCCAAGGCCTCACCTAATTTGATATTCTTCTGAGTCGACTCTTGTTCATTCTCACCTTTGAGAATTGACATTTGGACAATGGGGATATCGGCGTTTGGCCTCATTAGCGTCATGGGGACGTAGACAGCGTGATCAAGGCCGCGCTCTGAGTCCAAGACTGGGTGAAAGCCGAGTGACGTGAGGTGGTCAGCTACTTCTGCCGCCACCTGTGGATCCCCCTTGGCTGGATATTTGAATTCAAAAGCCTCGCGAGGGAGAATGTCCCTCATGTCCTCGTAGTCGTAGAATAATCCTGGATCACTAGCTGATGTGATATGTGGCTCATCAGTTTCCCAGTGCGCCGAGATTAGGATAATGGCCTTGACACCATCAAGTAATTTGCCGTGACCGTGAAGAAGTTGTCTGTATGACTCGTGATCAAGATTCAAGAGAGGCATTGGCCCAGTACCATGAGAAATGAAAAGACTTGGAGCCCGGAGCTCCTTAGAGATGTTCTCAGAGTAAACCATAGTCAAGGATGGGTTTGTTTTGAAAGTGAATAGAAGGGGAAGTGTTGGCTGGATACCCAATGCATAGACCTGCGGGTTGTGCATGGCTTTTATAGCAATTTGCTCCCGAAAAATTGGCCGACATGCTCTTTTCAATGAGAAGAAAAAGCGTGACCTCTCGGTCTCGCTTGTAACGTTGGTGCCAGCCGTAGCCAAAACTACGTCAATATTCATATGAACGTATGTAATATCAACAATAATTGACACGGCTGTTTTCCAGTGTTGCAGCACTACGCTAGCGTCGTAACATTAGACACCCAGTCAGATCAAATCAGATCAGATCATTGGTTGGTTTCGAATCCATATGACGGACTGCACGTTGATATTCGGACTTAAACGATGGTGCCGAACCTCAAATCCGTGATTGTCATCAAAAACCTTTGACCGATTGACACCAGGCTGCCGACCATTTGACCGTGTTTCTTGCGTTCGATGACTTTGACGTCAACGGCGCAAGTATGTCCAAAGCCCCAAATGCTTGTGTGAGCTGCTTTTCTAAGAAGCGACAATGTGACCGTTTGCTACCTAGATGCACCCGCTGTAATCGGTACGGTGACTCCTCTGGCACAGTGGATCTAGAACGTCGCTAATAGAATCCAGTACTGGAGGCCAGTGCTCATACAGTCAGAACAGGAGCATGCTTCCGGGCGTGTTCAACGAAGCAAGACTCCAGCATATCTCATCGCGCCCGCCAAAGATAGTGTCCTGTGCCAACTCTTGGTCCCAACCCCAAGATCTCAGAAAACTTATAATCTCCTATGCGCACTCCATTCTCGGCGAGATCCGGGGTCCTAGCCTATTCGTGAGCAAGCTACATAGGGACTCAGTCCACTCTTGGCTACCAATAATCGACCCTACAAGACTCGCTCAAGCGATTTCGGAATACATCAACCATAGAACTGCCGAGACTGCTGTTCTCTTGTTGCACATCTCCCTCTTTGATGCGCAAACGACAGCAATAGAGGCCAAGGCGGGAAATTCCTCATCCACTCTCTATGCTATCTGCAATTCCGTATTTACGCTTCTACGCAAGATTCGAGGCTCTCCGATTGCCAAGCTACAATCAGGCATCCTACTAGCCGTTTTCGAAATTGGAGAGGGGCTTCTATCAAACGCATACAATACCCTGAATATCTGCGCTCAACTATGGCGCGAGAGCGACCGCAATTACCCGGCCAGTTTTCCACAAAAGGATGAAATGGAAATATTACAGTCTGCAATCTATCTCTTGGATAGACTCCATTATTTCTTCAGTGAATCGCCAAGGCCGTACTTGGTGGAAAAGCTACCTTCCCATCAAGCGCTCAACCTTCTCGGAACTGACATAGAGCCCCCATCGGCCATTGAATTGTCTATGGCATCTCTCGGCACCAAGAGCAAGTATCAGCGGCGACTTATCCATTTTACGCAGCAGACGCAAGCATGTGCACTACTAGAGAGAGTGGCTCTAGTAGAGAACCCGAATCCGAGCGACATGCTGACCCTGGACCTTTTACTCCAGAGAAAGCTTGCTGAGAATTTTGTGCTGAGAGAGGATGATTGGTCCCTACCTGATTTTTCTACGGTCATTCTATTATTGTATGTAGCATGCCGAGACGAACGAATCCCCGCTAATAGTTATATAGAGCTTTGATCGAGTTGCACTTGAAGGTCATCATGTCTTGTCCTGATTCTAGAGCGTTCTCTTTGTTAGCTATTGATACAGTGTTGAATACCACCAGGGATATTGCGAGAATGGACGACATTAACAATATCAGGAGGATGCCACTGGCTGCTGTATTACTGCTACGGAGGACCATAAAAGCAGCTAGCATGTTGAATTCAACCCCAACCCTGGATTATCACCCAGATACCGGGGTGCTGGAAGACTTGGCTGGGTCTTTGCGACGTGCCAGATTTCAGTGGAGAATAGCTGGCGATTTCGACATTTCATAAATCTACTGAGTGCTGATTGGGTTTTTTATAGGTTTTCAGTCTGCTCCGTGATATTATAATGGCCCGGTAAGGAAACAGGCACCATCTAAAGGAAATCATTTGTGCTTTTAACCACACATGAGGAGCCGCCGAACTGAGACGATTATCGGCATCATTTGATTCCCTTTTCGATCTAAGCCTTGCTCTTTTTGAGTAGCAGAGAGCCGACACGCTACTGATCTTTCCGAGACCAAAGAGAAGCATAAAGTAGTAGAATGTCAAAGAATATAGCAGCCAGTTAGCCGAAAACGACTAATATTCACGGCATGTGCGTGCCAGACTTTTTGTTGTCTGAGGAGCCTTCTTCTATCCAATGTGCAACATTGGCCAAATTTAGCTACCAGCAACGATCTACAGCGCCAGTTTCACCCCAATGGACACGTCAGAGTAAGCCTCCTCCTTTTTATCAATGAACTGTACTCCGGGGTTGCAATGTCAGCAAGCTGCCGAGTCTGCTTTACACGCATACTTATCAGCATGTGCGTTTACAATTAATCAATATGTAGGCATCTGGCTCTTACCTTCCAGGGCTGGTTTTTATCTGTGTATAGTGGAAGTCGGGCGGTTTCCTCGCTTGCCAATCTCACATAGAATATGCTGCCAACGGCGCAACTAAGACATAACATATTGCCAGCAAGCCATCCTAAGTTACAACTGGATCACATCTGCAGTGCAACCCCATTACAACAACGTGTAATTCGTTGACTCGCAAACGACTGCATTCCCACCCCACCAAAAACTTGGTCCGCCCAGTGGTGGGTGATCGGCGAGGTGGTCGACACCAAGTAAGCACATATACGTAGTCAAGCTAAGGAAAGCCTATGAAACGCTGAATATCCCGCTGAGGAGATCAATGTGATCTAGCGCGTCTTTGGTTTCTGCGCACCTACTGCTATCCGACTGACTGACCCTGCATCCGAACCCGCTACCCGACATGCGCACCACCCACTTCCTCTCGAGTCCGGTACGTGTTACCCCATGTCGGGATCCCCGACTGCTTGGGGTAATTTCAGAACATGGTGTGGTTGATCCGATGGTCTTCCCAGATTTGCTTGCATCGTCAGACCACCGGAATCGTCAAGCATGTCTTGGCCCGACACCACCTTAGCCAAGGTATAAAGCGTCCTGGGTAAGCTTAACCCCCTCAGCTTCGTCTTTCGGTTCTCCAACAGAAGCAATACGTCAAGGCAATAATTACGATTATCAACCGCTCCGCTATTTATTTGCACATACTATTTGACAAGACATTGTTTTCCATTTCACTTGAGGAGATACAGCATGGCAGAAGATCATGTTGATGTGCTCATCGTCGGAGCCGGTCCGGCTGGTCTGATGTTGGCCACATGGCTGGCCAAGTGCGGTGTGAAGGCGAGGATCGTGGACAAGAGAGGAACAAAGGTAAGTAGGGACATACGCTCGGCGTACTCTATCACTCGCTGACTCGATCGATCGGTTAGATTTTCAATGGCCAGGCAGATGGACTCCAGTGCCGCACCTTGGAAATTCTAGATTCCTTTGGAATCGGCCACCGAGCCTGGAGGGAATCCAATCATATGCTTGAGATTTGCCTCTGGAATCCCGACAGCAACGGCGTCATCCATCGTTCTTCCCGTCTGCCCGATACGATCCCTGGCATCAGCCGCTTCCAACAAGTCGTCTTGCACCAAGGACGAATTGAGCGCTTCTTTCTCGATGCCATCAACGAATTCAGCAGCGGCGGCGTTGCGGTGGAGCGGGGGGTTTTGCCTATGAGCTTGGAGATCGACCAGAGCTGCGTGGAAGACCCCGAGGCCTATCCAATCACGGCCAATCTTAGGCATCTGAGCGAGGAGGACGCTACCCCCAAGCAGAGCTCGACCATGTCAAATGGACTCTCCTCACAGGATGGTCTATTCAGGAGTAACTTGATGGCAGACGACACGGCCGACCTGCTGAAGACGTCCGAGCTCAACCAAAAGGCCAACACCACCGAGACCATCAAGGCCAAGTATATGGTCGGCGCTGATGGAGCTCACTCCTGGGTGCGAAAGGAAATCGGTCTGAAGCTGGAAGGAGAGTCCACCGACTACATCTGGGGTGTCCTCGATATTGTCCCCATCACTGATTTCCCGGATATCAGGAGCAGATGCGCTGTTCACTCGGCCAACTCTGGCAGCATCATGGTCATTCCTCGTGAAAATAAGCTAGTCAGGCTTTACATCCAGCTCACCACGACATCCAAGATCCAAGGTCAAGATTCACGTACGGACAGATCATGGATCACGCCCCAAGTGATTCTAGAGTCGGCCCAGCGAATTCTCTCCCCATACAAGCTGGACTACCGAACGCTCGACTGGTGGACAGCCTATCAGATTGGCCAACGTGTCGGTTCGAGCTTTGGAGTTCATGACAGGGTTTTCCTGGCGGGTGACGCTGTTCACACCCATAGGTATGCGCTTTATTCGTGTTCTCTTCTAGGCGGTGCATCGCAGTGCTAACACCTGGCCATAGCCCCAAAGCCGGTCAAGGAATGAATGTCAGCATGCAGGATGGTGAGTTGCGCTTCTTCTACGCTGAGATAACTGCCATTTCACATCTAACACGGGCCTGATTAAAGCGTATAACCTTGGATGGAAACTTTCCAGCGTCATCAAAGGGCATTCAAACCGTTCGATCCTAAAGACTTATGAGTTTGAGCGTAAAGCCATCGCCCACGCTCTTATTGAATTTGACCACAAATTCTCCAGACTGTTCTCTGGCCGCCCGGCAAAGGACATCATGGATGAAGAAGGCATCAGCATGGACGAATTTCGAGATGCTTTCCAAAAAGGAAACTTGTTTGCAAGTGGAATTGGTATGCACAATTCTAGATTCAGGGATATTTGCGAGGTAATTTTGCTAACCATTGGCAATAGCTGTCGACTACGGTAGAAGTCTCATCGTAACCAAGCCAGTGGCTGGAAACGGTGCAAGTGAAGCAACCGCGGCAACCACCTCCACGCCAGTCACTGGCATCCAGGATCTCGCGCCTGGGTTGAAGGTGGGACAGAGGATACCAAGTGTCAAGGTCCTAAATCAGTCTGATGCGCGCCCATGGCATCTCCAGGAGCGTCTTCCGAGCAACGGCACTTGGAGACTCCTCGTAGTTCCCGGCGACGTGAGCCAGCCGGGTCAAAAGTCCAGGTTGGAGAAACTCTGCGGTCAGCTTTCCAGCCCAGAATCATTCCTGAGACGTTTCACACCCAACACGGCTCGCTATGACTCTGTCATCGAAGTCGTAACCATCCACGGAGCACCCCGACAGAGTGTCGACGTTTTTGACTTCCCGGAAGTTCTTCGACCGTTTCATGAAGTTGATGGCTGGGATTATGAGAAGATTTTTGTGGATGACCAGTCGTACCATGAGGGTCATGGAGAGTTTTACAAGACGTTCAACATCCGCCGTGATGAAGGATGCCTTGTTATTCTCCGACCAGACCAGTACATCTCGTACGTGGGAAAGCTTGACGACTATGAATCAGCTGATCGTTTCTTCTCTGAATTCATGCTACCGCAGAATAATCTAACCCTACCCAAGGTCTAGCTAGCCGAGATAGGACAAACGGTAGTTGAGGAGGTGGAGGACATTATACCTACTTAGTAGATAGCTAGAAGCTCCAATAGTGTCATTTCTGGCACATGGTCTTACTCAAGCTGAACAAAATAAATGTGTAGTTCAAATGTCTTCTCTTGACGAATTTGGATCGCTATTAATCGGCCTAGTACATAAAGGTAGGAGGGAACGAGTTTGAGTCCACTGCATCCTTGTCAATCGCATGTGCGTCAACAACAGGGAAAAGAGACATGTTATTACCCAAAGAATCAAACCACAGCATGTTTGGCGACATTGAGGGAACCATTGTAGCCAGGTTGTCTTCTGTCTGCACACTGTCCGACTCTCGTGTGCCGTTTGCTGCTTCATTCTGCGCGTCGCTCCCTGTCAGGTTGATTAGTCCCATGTTGATGCCCTGCTCGCCTACGTTACAAAATGCCGGTAGAAACGAGGCATAAATATCATCAGAGCCACTATCTTTCAGTTGTTTTTCCGTGCTCCTCCGTCCACTATCTGGAGCATCCTCGCCGATCGTGTTGATGCACCCGAAGAGCCCCTTGACGAGATGGCCGTGACGCTCCATCTTTCGCCGAGTTCTCATTTCTATATACTCATCGTAAGCTTCTTGCAGGTGTTCGAGAATGACCGAGTGACGCTTTGCGATTGCGTCATGTTGGCCAAAACGTTTGAGGGCGCTCCTCGCCAGCCTCAAGCTGTGTTTGAGCGGGAAGTTTGTGTCCAGGTCTCCAAAAATCGCCGCCCCAATCACCAGACCTGAGACGAAGATGGAGTTCATAACAAATGGCAGTCGCTTTGGGAGGCTCTCAGATTCCAGTAGGGGCTGGAAAAGATCGATGCTCCCAATCGCAGACTCCAGACAAGCAAATACGAGTGCTTGGTTTGTAGGCGCTTTGCCTTGGTCTATGAGGTGGTCCCCCACAGTAGAGTCTACGTGCGATGAGACCATCTTGAGAAGGAATGGCAGAGATAGTAGAATGATGGTCCAGTAAGCTGTTTGCTTGAGATGCAGGAGCCCAATGTTTGGCTCTTGACCACCGATTTCAGTTTCACCGCCAAGTGGGATGCCGTCCAACTCCAAGCCCTGGGAGGATTGTGCAGCCCAGCGTCGGTGCTCTTTGCTGATCCTTTCCAGAACCTCTGTAGAAATTACCCTTTTTGCATATACATCTAGCAGCACGGATTCGAAGATGTTGGAGAGATCGTTGCATGCAGAGTAGTCCTCTGCGCTTGATGTGTTGCGTGTCTCGGCGGTCGAAGGGGGCCGGCCAAGAGATGCGCTCATGAACAGGTCCAAGATACGGATAGCTTTCCAAGCCCTTTCTCGACGCTGGCATTCGTCTGGCGGATAAAGGGCCGAGATATCTTTACGGTGAAGGCCCAGCGCATAGGCTGCGCGAACAGCCATGCCGAGATACATGAAGGCCGAGTTCCGCCGCGATGCTCCCAGTAGATACATCGCAATCAGCGCAAAGGCTTGGATGGTTGGAATATCAGGATCCTCCATCAAGGTGTCGACAGTCAAATATCGGCCATAGTTGAAAAACGCCTGCGCCAGATCGTCCTTATCATGAGGGCCGGTTTGAGCACCAATTGCAAACACGAGATAGTAAACGGAGCTGGCCGGGGTAGCAGCGTCATTTCCATTCTGAAGCCACTCTGCAATACGGTGGTCCAGATCTTGGTCGTCGAAAAGAAGCAGCACGCAATTGGCTGATCGCCGATACCAAGTCTGGAGGTACTCGGCCTCGGCAACGGATGGTCTTGGTGGCGGGTTTCTCGCACTGGACATTATCCAGCCTCGATCAGAATCAGGGCCAGAGCCAGAGCCAGAACAAGGCGTTGCCTCTACGATTAAATGGCGTAGGGGGTCGCTCACAAACGCGCAGCTGTCCAATGAGCGGCGAACGATCCGGCGAATGTTCTGAAGAAATGACAAGGTTGCCGAGTCCCCTATAAACATGTAGAGTCCCTTGGTGTCCTTGACAAGCCGGGACATCGGTGGGACTCTGGCTCGGTGTGCTTCTTGGAGAAGCTGTAGTGAAGACGGCGTATCTTGTGCAGCCGGCGCCTGCTCGACGGACAAAGGGAAAGGTGATCCAAATGCCACACCGGGCGCAGTTTGCCTGGAGCTCTCATGAGGCGCCAGGTCCCTGCTGGACGATTGATCCAAATCAACCTGGCTGCTCGACAGTCTAGACGTGGGATTGCCTCCATGCTCGGGGTCTGGGCTTGGAAGAGAAGACGCTACCAAGCCAGAGGGGATTGATGGGGATGTTGGCAGTGATGATCGTCCGCATTCACGCCCCAGTCCGCGCTTCACGCATCGCCGACATGGACGCAGACCGTCACATCGCTGTTTTCTATGCTTGCAGGCTTCGCAAGCTTGAGCACAGCGCCGCCGGTCGCTGTCACGTACTTTCTTCGTAGGCATTCTCAGCAGGGGCTACCGACACTGGCTACCTTGCTTGTGATGCATGGTCAGCCGCACCGGTCGCGTGTATTCTTCTTTTCGATGGGCCGGTCGTTCCGGCCTGCGTGGTTGCTCGGGGAAGTTGGTAGTGTTCAATGTTCAAGTTGGTCCGTCGTCAGTCAGGGGAAAGAGGCGGTCATCAAAACACTGCCAACCGCCCACTCCCTCGGTCAAGGTTGTTCTGTCTTGTGTTGGCCAATTGGCTCTGCTCGCTTCGTAAAGCAGCAATGCACGGCTCCTTCTGGCGTCGATACTAACGAGTAGTTAGTGGCGAGCAGGCATGGTTCTACCTAATGACGTTTGGTGTCTTTGCTCTGGCCCACAGAACCCTCATCCGATCCCGGCACCCGATTCCCATGTGGCCAGAAGGGAGAAAAGATGGCTGCCACCTGGATATCATAACCCGGGTTCCGACAGTACTCTGACCTACTTCCCCACGATCCGTCCACTCACCCCGCGTTCTCCAACATTGCTCCATAAGAGCGGCGTCAGCTTGGTATGGGCTCCTCGGAGCACCAATGGGGATGAGGGCATTAATGAGATCACGTCCGGGTTAGTGGATGTAAGAATCAGGTGTCACGACACCCTTGCCTGTCTTGCTCCTTTGCCCCTCACACTCATGGCACGCTCATGGGCCAGTAGCCGACCACTTATCGCCCACCCCTCACTATCTTACTACAGTATGGCTTCGGGGTGAGATCCGACCCTTCGTGCTCGGCTGGCAGCAGACCTCACAGTGTCATCTGTGTCATGGTTCTAACGGCCATTTACTGTTTGCGCGTACAAGTAGCACATATTCCGGGAAATCTCCTCTCATATCTGACATTTTAAGGCAGGGAAAGAAATAAAAACCTCGGCTTAGGTGTGATCGCTCTGGACAGCGGTGCCTGCTTACGGGCTGAGAAATTAACCATCAACCATGCTTGGCATTCTGGGTTCCAGTCGGATATGGAGGAGCATTGATCCGCGAGGCCCTTCAACACGACCTAAATGAATCTTACGTAGGGTCTCGTTGCAAGGTTAGTTGTTCGTATTTTCATTCACAGGAAAAATGGAGGACTCATCGCCTGCTCTGCAAATACATGATGGAGAAACAGGAGATGGCAAAGAGTCAACTGAAAATGGCGGCGGCGCTGGGCAGATTCGTTCAATCCACAAATTGACGCGCAGAGGGCACACCAAATCGAGGAGAGGATGTTCAACTTGCAAGCGGAGAAGGGTCAAATGCCCAGAAGACCAGCCCGCATGCAGCAGCTGTGTGCGCCTCGGTTTGATTTGCGAGTATACACTGAAGAATAATCCATCTGCTCCTCTACAATCGACGGGGGGTCAGTTCAACTTGAAGGACCTCAGGCTGTTCCATCATTTTGTCCTCCACGCATACCCTCCACTTCCGCTACACGGGAAAGCTGTGTGGGACGATATAACATCTTACTCTCATAATGTAAGCTTCGAGGTAGTATGAAAACATAAGCCCATGGCTGATTTTATACCAAGTATGAGTTTCTCGTCCATTCTATGCTTGGCCTCGCGGCCTCGCATCTTTGTCTCAGTGGCGGGGGGGACCACGAAGCTGAGGCTCTGGAACATCGCGTCAAGTCGATCAAGCTGTTGAACCAAGCGCTATGCAAACCTTCAATCTCGAAGACTGAGAGTGATGCTAGATTCTCGACTCTCATGGTACTTACATTCCAGTCATCCTATATGCCAGATGGAATGCTGGAGGTGTTTCACATGATCCGCGGCTGCATGGTTTTGACCAAATCCACACTGCCGAAGTACGCCATGTCTTTATTCACGAAATTTTCCTCAGACGGAGTTGACAAGAAACTCCATGAAGTCACAGAAGACAGTTCACAGCAAACGTCTTCATTTCTCACCAATGCTTCCGCCTCACTCAAGTCATTGCGGGATCTGTGTCGCACCAAGTTTGAGAAACAATATCTTGGTATTTTAGAAAACCTCGTGCACATGGCCTCAGTCTCTAACATGGATAGTATGTCCCCTTACTCCTTGGTGAAATTTTTTACCTGACCCCTTTTCCAGCGTTGTTGGCAATCTCCTCTGCATATAATGTATTTGGAGAGCCCGACCAGCCCGATTTTAATCATTTCATGGACAGCCAAAACCACGTCGCTCAACTATTGGTTGCTCATTTCTTTCTACTCGAGTATGTCATTGGGCGAAAAGTACTTGCCCCATTCATGTCAGCCTTCTCCTTCAGAGAAACTATGCTTCGGACGTGGATAAAAGGACTGGCCACAAAGCTGGCTCCGGAGCATGTCCCATATTTGAATTGGCCGCTACAAATGCTAGAAGTGATGGAGCTAGCTCACATGGATCTTCCAGAGATCCCAAACTTGAGAATATCAGACTGATTCAAAGTCTGGATGGGGGTTCTGGTTGGGTTCTTTTCAAACTCTTTCTGTCACTTAGATCAGATCTCAACTTTCTTCGAAGGTATAAACTCATATGAGGCGGACATGATTAGTGATGGGCTGGCCTCTATGTTGCCACAGGGCGGATTGAACCAAAGACAAGAATGATGAAGCGATATTGTAATAAACAGTAATATATTAGCCAGAGACTCTGGATATAATGTATATACACGAATGAATCATAAAAAGTATGCGAAGAAACACCAAGAAGTCCATCAACCCATTGCACGCTGACTTCTTCATTCATTTCCCAATTACCCAAACAACCCGGAATGATATCTGACTCTTCAACGCCGCTATTAATTCGAATCCCATATATTTCCAGAGTGCCCTATGCATCGATAGCAACGCCAAAGTCCAACATCCAAGCGCATTTCTATTTCCCTCACCTATTACCCATCCATTGCTTCGACCGTTATAAAGCGACAAGGTGATATGGATGAAAGGTTAGGGAAATGTGGAACGACCAGCTTAGATATCTCATTCGTCTTGGAAAAGAATTATGAAGGGGCCTCGTTTTTAGATGTGTGCGTCGCATCCAGTTCGGAATAGCGCATATGAGTAGGTGCCTCGGACGGACCAGGAGAGGAGGGCGGGATGGAGCTGAAGGTCTTGTTATGCTGCGACAGGGCACCTCCGTACACCGACGCCGAGGTGATTGTCGAGCCGGCGCCAAAGTCTTGGTAAGGATCGATTTCATCCCGGTGGTAAGGTCCTGCGTGAGATGCTTGCGCCATTGCCGGGGCGGCAGCTGGGGCAGAAGCCCGGGCCTCGTCGAGTTGCTTGTGAAGAGCAAGGTTTTTCCGGTGAAGCGCAAAGACCGCGCCGCCGGCGGCCAAGGCAATGACACCCACCACGACAGCGAGACCAATGGTTGCGTTCTTGAAGGTGGCCGACTCGGCAATTGCTGTCTCGGTAACGACAGCGGTCTCGGTCACGTTTGATGCTGATGATGATCCCTTGATGTTCACCAAGGTGGGAAGCTCGAATGCTCGGCTGGTGCCGCAGCAGGTGAGGTTATTGTGCCCACAGCAGTACTTGCCGTCGGTGCATGGTGTGATCTCTATTGTGCCATTTGATGATCCGCCAACCTGTGTTTCAATTGTTAGTTGCTTAATCCCGTATTCTTAGAGACTGCTGGCAAGCGATACGCACCGACTCATCCATGCACACCTTGACGCAGGCGTCGCTCTCCCAAGACTTGTCCGAGCAGTATCCGCGGAACAGTAAACCCTTATTCAGACAGAGTCCGGTCGTCGTGCAGAGGTCGCGGTCGCCGGCTTTGCCGTCCAAGTTGCAGCAGCCGGAGTAGACGCCTTCCTGGGTGATGCCCAACTTGTTGCAGGGGACGTAGGTCTCGTTGTCGGCCAGTGTCTTGCCATCGGGTGCGAAGCAGCTCACTTCCTGGGCGGAAACAGAGACGGGCAAGTAGGTGACTGCAAGAAGCAGGTTGACGATGGCGGAACCGAACATGGTGACGCTATCAATCAACTTATTTACGCGCGCAATTCGCCAAGTCAAAGATACACGCGCGCGCCAACTTATACACAAGGGGCCGGAGATTCAACGAACGATCAGAGAACAGAAATCGAAGTCAACGGGAACGAGGAGGCGCTGGCAAAGTAAGTAGGTAATCAACTACCACTTCGTGCGGCTAGCCGTCCGTTTGTCATACAGGGCCCCAAATTACTACATATCAGATGCAACCACGCCGAAGCCATCCCGGTCAGCCCGCATGAAAGCTGACTCTATAGCGTCGGATTGCCCTGGCCTACTGGTCAATGCGCTGCTTACCATGGTGTTGTGCAGAGCAAGAGAGTGTGTATTAATATCGCAGCTAGCCATTTGCTCACCACGCTAATGCCCTCATCAGGCCCTGGGGGCTGCCTCGTGCATGGCTAATTCCTCCAGGACAAGACAGATCTCCGGGCTGAAATCCTTCAGAACACTCGTGGATCTATTAAAATGCGCTGGCACCCACGATTACGGCACAGCAGCCCCAATCTTGGATTGCTTGACCCCTCCCTCGGGTAAGCGAGGGGACCGGAATGTGGCAAGTTTGTCCGTCCACCAATTCGTCCGGGTACG